AGTTCACGTGTTGTCCCAGTGTCACATAAAACCTCGATACATGGCTCAGCTGCAATAAGATAGACGTACCCCTTTTGTGAATTATTCCCTGCATTAGTTTATGTAGAGATGATGCCTGCACTTGATCATTAAATAAATACGTGTAAAGACATTTGAGTTTGCAAGCTGAAAAAGCTGCATTGGTTTGTTCTGCAGTGTTGTTGTATGCTACATGTATTTGGTTATTGGAGAAAACACTTTATGGTGATAAACATTGCCCATTTTATGCAACTATGCAGGTTATCTGGAGCTCTTACCTCTTCTACAAAAAAAAGAATAGAAATTAATGCAAAATATTATTTTCTTACATCATTGATGCTACATTATTTAAGCCAATAAATAATTTTTTGGTAAGGTTAAAAACACTTTTCAGTTTTCACATTGTGAAGATTTGATATCATAAGTACTGCATTGAGGGGAAGAAATTCCATAATTTGTCCAACATGTCCAAACTAAGAACAAATGTATTTCTTGGCAAAACTTGCCCATATCAGAATGAGCCATGAAACTGGGTCAAAAGCCACATGTGTGTTATCACAGAAACTAGATACTGGTGGCAATGATAAGGTTTCCACGGAAACCAGAAATCTGGTAACTGTGCCATATAGTCTGGGCCTGGGATGTCCTGCATCACCATCAGTAGCCTCATCACCATGAAACTTCAACAGCCGATAAATGTTTCTTCAACAGCAGCAACAAAAGTAGAATTGTTGAAAAGTAAAGTAACCACTGGTTACCAAATACAAACTATATCAACCAAAATATAAAAAGAATATGTTGTGCACTTGCAATGGCCTGCATGCTCTATTCCCAAGTATCCAGCAGCTCTTGAGGTCTGCATGTCCATATTCCCCAGTATCAACAACAAAACAGTTATTTGGCTTCAATGAAGAAATACATGTAGAAGTCTGAATGCCAAACTTTATTGAAGGCCTTATGAAAATCTATGAATGTACACTATAATTTCACTTATGGCTTCTAAGGTATTCAATAAAAGAATGTAATACAAAAATGTTATCTGAGGTAGAACAGCCATGTCAAAATCCACCTTGGGTTCCTGATAAACATTATTAATTTCTAGGTATTCATTTACTCTATCTCTTAGGATAGAAGTAAACATTTTACAAAGGTTGCTAATATCTGTATCAAGCACCTGCTTACGTGGTTCAGGTAAGTGTATGATCTGTGTGTGGCCCTCAAGATGTCAGATTAGTCAAGTGTTTGACACTCACTGCTTGAGATTTATCAGGGAAATGGACCTTATGCACCCTTTTACCCTGTAATCACCACACTCTATTGTAAGGGTCAGCAAACACTGATAACATGTTTGACTGTGTGATGCAATGTTATTTCTAATTACCGATACAACTTAGACCCTACACTGCAGGATTTTAGTTCCTATAATGTTAAAGAACAATGACTGATAGTCATCAAAAAAAATCCTGAATAGTTCCTTTTTTCAAATTTGGTAAATGTACAGAAGACTGTCCTGTTGATATTTGATAAATAATGAAAATGTTCTAATGCCATTTGTTTCTAGCAAAATCACTGCATTATATATGTTAAGCTATTAGCTATCTTATCCATGGCAGACAATGCTAGGGATTGTGCATATCTTCATCCTGGGACAGCACTTAATCATAAAGATACCCTAAAGATACCAAAGAAGTATTCTAATCATTGACAACAAAGTGTCAAAACTGACTTAAAAGAATCATAACAATAGCTAGGATAGCATGTATAGTGATTTGTGGAAGCAACAATTTATTTTATACTTTATTAGATGAAGCATGCATAAGGATATGTCATGATTTAAATCTGGCTTGTCCACAGATAATTTTAGATTACTTGTTAGGGAAAACAAATACTAAAACAGTTATTCATTATGCTCAGGACTATTCACTGTATCTAACCCTTAAAAGGTTACTGGATTGTAAAAGAAATTTCTTCATGCTTATTACTCTCCAAAGTGCTCTGATAGCCATGATAACGTACTTATGATTAACATAAACTCCCAGTTAGCATGGTTAGGTAGATACAGTATTGGGCACTTCCCATGCATTACAAGCATGGATGTTTGTTTCCTGAAGTCAAAAGGTCACCTTAACCTGTGAGTGCTGAATGTAGGGTATTGTGTTGATGGAAGCAGAAACACCTATAACAGTATAAGCAGTAAAACCTACATCTAAGGAGATTGTTTCTGTGATGTGAGTATTAATACTCTAACCCTGGTTGCTGGCATCTTAACTTGTTGCATTTTATTTTTATATTACTGTGGGTTTTTGTCATTCCATTAAATATTTATCAATGGAAAGTTTTTATTTCCAATATTGACACACACACACACCCATAATAATGTTTAATAAATATATGAAACATCATTGGCTTAAACATGATAAGTGCAGTTAACAACCACTTAATCAGTGATTCTGGGGCCTATATAAATACACATGAAATGTAAAAATTACCTTCTAAATATCATTTATACATGTACATAGTTCTCTAATAAAAACTTGAGATGTAACATTCTAGTCCATCTGATTTCAAAGGCTTTGGAGCCTTTTGAGCCTTTTGAGCTACACATAGTTTACTGACTTTTACTTCAGATGTCTGTAAATTCAGCATGGAACAAGTTTTATTTCACCCTTTAAATTTCGTAAGTTTGCAGGTGCTACTTTAAAATACAATTACATTTTTCAGTGATTTCTAGTAACAGGTTGAATACAAGGTGCATTGTTCGGGGGGGGGGGGGGGGAAATTGAAAAGAAAACATTAAAAGTAATAAATTTGTAAATAAATCTGCCAAATTTAGAAATATGTTTATTTGGAGCTTTCAACATGCTTACTACAGTAAACTACGGTTATAACGAACACGCTTATAACGAACTTACTTTTTTGGTACTGACTATTTGCTGTAGTTATGTTGTGTATATGCTTATAACGAACTACGGTGATAATAACGAACTAAAATTAGTAGTCCCTTTGAGTTCGTTATAACCGTAGTTTACTGTACTTCCATCTTGTTACATTAATGACTTTACTGGAGCTGCTGTTGGTACGATAAGCACAATACATTTGCCACAAAATCAGTATTCTTCACACATACTGTAACAAAGGAGGGGGACAAAGGTGGGGTAACAAGATGGTCATCTTCCAGTCTTGACCCTTGTCAAGTGCATTAGTATTGACTCATGGATAGCAGCACAGCTGCTTGGACCATTGTGGACAGTCGCTGATAAATCAATCAAACCTTCACATCTGTACTCATTATAAAACACTTTATAGTCACATAAATCATAGGCTTTCAGCCTCTTCTTGAAATCACAGATCCCATATATTTTGTTTTAAAGAAATAATTGTTACACGAAATGTCATTATACTACAGTTTATCAATAGGGTGATAAGAAAGGGTATGACATACAATACACTAAGATCCAAACAATGATTAACATCTTTACTCAACTGAATACACAAATTGAGCATTATATGTGAACTAACAATTACGAAAAAGAACACTATTCTACAATGTCAAGGAAATGATACTTGTTTCACATGCATACTAAACAAATGTGGAACAAAAACACAAAAAGGGGTTACTTTGTGCAACACCAAATGGTAAGAAATATTGGTTTGGGATAACACTTTTCAACAGTGTTTTCAGCATGCAATCCTTGCATGAAATACAGGTAGTTTAACCTATGTACTTCCTCTTGCTTATCCAATACAAGGAATAGCCATAAATAAGGAATTACATGTTCTCACAGTGTAATCCTCAAGACATAATCACCTTTCTTCAGGGTGTAATAATAACCCAGTGACAGGTGTTTAGCTGATATTTATCTGTATTGACCTCTGTCTAGGTAGTTAAGAAATCATAATACACATTTCACGTCCCATTGATCTTGAATGCCTCCAAGGTCTAGACTGTAACACCACCACCAGATAAGGTCTGAAGTATTGTTGCATTCACCACAAGTCATCAGATTTCAATGCCGAAGAAATCAACAAGTTTTTAATTTTTATTAGTATGTACAGCTTGAAAATAATCTTTATGTTAGATGTCTGCCTGCACAACCAACCAACCCCCCAAAACATATATGATAAGGATTTGAGCAGCAATGCATACATATATAATTTTTGGAGGGGGATACAGGCAGAAGTCTTTTCCATCTTTATGTTTAGAAGGTCATCTGCCTTATTTTATTTATTTCTTTAAATGTCTAGATTTCTGTACTATTATCAACACTAAAGGAAATTATGTTTTCAGTCACTGATATTATAAATCATCAACTTGTGCATTTCAAGTGGTATTATCAAAACACTGAAGTGCCTAATTATCACAGTTTCTTTGTCTACTACAGCAATTAATTATGTCAGTTTCTTTGTGAAAGTGCGTCATAATTATATCAACAGACCCCAAGCCATTCCTCAAGCTTGAGATGATTAACTTTACAGAACTGCAAATCATCACGGCAAACGTCCCTTGTAAAGCACAGAGTAGAGACACCACGGGTTTTTGCTTCAAACAATGCTTGTAAGCCTGACAAAATGTACAAGTAATCAACATCTCACGCGTGCTGTGTAGGCAGTATACTATGTAGACGCTCTCAGTGCAATGTTAAACAGCTCCCCGGTCTACCCACTGTAATACATGATATTCGCCTTGTCAGCCATTTGAAATGAGATCGTGGTGTGTGAACGAGACTTGTGGGCAGAAATAAGCATGACACCAACATCTCATAACTATATCAGTTTTACTTTGTTTAAAGAGTTAATAAACATATGATTAGTCCGCATAATTTTAGCATACACAATGAAAGTAGAAAACATTCATTTCTTGGTTTACAGATAGAAAGCGATGCAACCCCAACATCGCCACAAAACTTAAATTTTACTCACACCGGAGAGGATGACATAGTTTGAAGGATTTAATTAAAAATTTTTAAACTTGTCAAACATACCTGGCCCAAGTTGATGGTAAGATTGACCTCGTTATACTGAACACCTCGGGATAATGGAGGACTCTGCCACCATCGTTGGGATCCATCTATTGCGTATTCGGGTCCATGGTTTTGGTCGGAGATTTCGGGGATGCAGTAGTCACAAAGCTGTCCCTGTATCAGTTCCCTCGATTCCGCTCCTCTTCCCGTGGCTCCTGTCAAACGGCAAAAAAGTTCGGCATTTGGGACATCCTCGCCGCAAGTCGCCGAAGCTGTTATATTCCTCCCTTGAGCTAAGTTGAAGTATGGGGGAGACAACACTTGTGCATTGCTGGTGTATATTTTGCATAAAAATATTAAAATCAAACAGACGAGAGGGGGGTTTCCTCCCGCCATCTTGAAACCTAACAAACTTCTCTCGAGGGGAGCCGTCTGGTTAATAAGCACCCGGACAGATCCATTACTTTTATGGGGATTAAGGCCTTTGTCGCCGGCGCCTTTGAAATCTATTTTCTCTCCCTTTCTGCTCGCCGCAAGTGGCACATGACTTCATCAAAAGTTTTATAGACCATGTCTTGTCGAATACGATGAACTACGGGGACCGATTAATCTTTTTCACAATAGTCAATGCGCTGGCCGGCATGTTAGTCACCCTTTAAAATTATAGACTCGCCCAGAGTTAAAAGGAGTGTATCGTCTGCTCAGACCTCGCTGACAGCCACTGATTATCTCATGGGAGTTTTGCGGTTTCTTGGCATACCACGAGCCGACAATCGACAAACGATAAAAATATGAATGAAAGGCATATCGCTTTATACACGGACAAAGGTTTGGTGAGGGTTAAATATTTACTCTCTTAACGATGAGTATAACATGTTATGTTTTAAATGGGCAATGTTTATGTTTGAACGGTGAGTACTGTTAATCACGACATGCCACACTCCTCCCCCCTTATATGTACATACTTCTTTATCGGTCATTCATCCGACTACTGTCTTGGGTTTGTTGTCCCAACCGCCCACCTTCTGAGCTAGAAAAGGATTTTGCTATTTCGCTCAGCTGAATAAGTGCCTGTTCTGATATGTCTACAGAAATGTGAACCACAATAACATTACGCTAGTTTTTTGTTGTTGAAAAACTGTCAAGCCCGGAGCAGTTGTCAAATATGTTTTAATAGAACCATTTCTCGTGTTGTCTGCTATCGCTGTTATTGCTGTTGTTAGATCGTTTCATAAGTTATAGAGGGGGGCATTGTTATCGCAGATGTCCCGACTGAGAGTGTATTTGTGAGAAATAAGGGTATTTGAGATAGGGGTGATAGGGGTAATATACTACTCCAAAGAAGTAAAGAACATCCGATTCTTTCATTGTTACAATGTGACGCTGGTGTCTGGTTTCTACGTCTACACGGCCTTGACTAGAACGTTTGTCATGTAGTGTTGGAATGTGACGCTGGCGTCTGGTTTCTACGTCTACACGGTCTTGTCTAGAACGTTTGTCCTGTAGTGTTGGAAAATGACGCTGGCGTCTGGTTTCTACGTCTACACGGTCTTGTCTAGAACTTTTGTCATGTAGTGTTATATAGTAAACAACGTGAAGCTGGCGTCTGGTTTCTACGTCTACACGGTCTTGTCTAGAACTTTTGTTATGTTGTGTTGCAATGTGACGCTGGCGTCTGGTTTCTACGTCTACACGGTCTTGTCCAGAAAGTAGCTTATGTAGTGTTACAATGTGACTCTGGCGTCTGATTTCTACATATACATGGTCTCGTGGCGAATGTTGTCATGTAGTACTGCATTGTGACGCTGGCGTCTGATTTCTACATCTACACGGTCTTGTGTAGAATATTGTCATGTAGTTTTGCAATGTGACGCTGGCGTCTGGTTTCTACGTCTACACGGTCTTGTCCAGAAAGTAGCTTATGTAGTGTTACAATGTGACGCTGGCGTCTGATTTCTACATATACATGGTCTCGTGAAGAATGTTGTCATGTAGTACTGCATTGTGACGCTGGCGTCTGGTTTCTACATCTACACGGTCTTGTGTAGAATATTGTTATGTAGTTTTGCAATGTGACGCTGGCGTCTGGTTTCTACATCTACATGGGCTTGTCTATAGTGTCTAAAGCAGTGTTACATCCATAATTAGTACAAACGACCTTTCTTTTCCCAGTTTGAATAACGAGCATAGGACCTATACTCCAGGGCTGTATTGTGTATGATCGATACAGTGCCAGGTTTCAGTGACTACAAATCAAAACCGTGATACCAACATGTCGGCCCATTCTGCAGTGTATACATAGTTTGTAAGACACTCACGTCTTTGTTGATACCGGTATAACTTACACGTGTACACGACCGTTTACTGGTTAGTCAAAACCGCGTATCTCCTCCATTTCCGTCAACGGAACCCATTTCCTGTAATTTGGGATGAAGTCACTTGACAATATTTGAGCTTAATGTTTGTTTGTTCACATACAATGTGCGCCTGTAAAGGTCACTCTCATTATAGTCGCCATTGAAAGCATAGGTTAAGTTTGCCTTGTGTGTGGTCATGTGACAGAAATTTGATATGGAGCTGACTGCCCCGTGCTGTGCTTTCTGCACATGTAAAAAATAGATGGTAAATGAACTGCGTATATCATGTATAGATAGAAAGCAATTCAGGTGATGGTTGTACGTTGTAGTTATGTGAAGTAACTGTGAATTCAAGAACACTCATTACTATCGGTTGCAGTAAACAGAAATACTGGGAAAACATAATTTTACCTCAGATTTAATTTTTTTTAAATGTGTTCGTTGGACATGGTGGAAGTCATGGAAGAAGTGTGTCTTTAAAAACAAAAAAGTCCGTCTCCTCGCTACACAAATGAATTGTATGACCCTGCAGGGCCCCGTTTCACAAACGATCGTAGTGCTATGAGTATCGTAACTCCTGTACACGCCAGTCGCAGCGCTATGATCGCTTTGTGAAACGTGACCAAGTATATTCCAACTAACACGATGAGAGCAACCCAAACATGCTATACAAAATGTAGAAATGGGCCACATCCAATAACTATTTTCACTGAACCTACAACTGGATAAAAGTGTGATCTGATCTGTGATCGAGACAAATGTAAGCCTTCCACTGAAATACGAGAATACGCCAGTAATCCACAATTTCTACAAGCTCGCCTGTTCATCGCTGGATTACGAGTGTTAACTGTTATGTAGGCGCTCATCAATTCCCCTTTAAAAAAATCGGATTTTAACAAACGTCCTAACAGTGGTGCAAACCAGTTAACAACACAAGAGTCTCTTTGTCGCTTGTATAAGTAGTGTACCAAAGACCCACAACATTTTGTAATATGTTGATGATCAAGTTAAGCCAGCCTAACTGCCTCTTGAATTAAAAACACAGCAAAGTAATTACAAAAGCCTTACGCATTTTTCCCGGTGTGTAGGTTTACGGAAACCGGCATAATTATTACTAAAGTGAATTGTGCATCTTAACACGGGATTTTTCTTTACTTTTATCAGCGCACAGAGCACTTATTAACAGTGAATGCTGCGCCACACAAATGTATTTATTATTATGGTTGTTTGTTTGTTTGTTGTTTAATGCCGCACTCAGCAATATTCCAGCTATATGACGGCGATCTGTAAATAATTGTGTCTGGACCAGACAATCCAGTGATTGACATCATGAGCTTCGATGAGGACACGATGACATGTATCAACCAAGTCAGCGAGCCTGACCACCCGATCCCGGTTATTATTATTATCTTTCTGCATGCATACTTATCGTCTGTGATTATAGTTGTTTCTGCATGCATATTTCTCGTTGGTGAGTCTTAGTTTTGCCGTACTGCATTTCTCGTTTGTGTGTGGTTAGTTTATATTGCTGCACGCATATTTCTCGTTTGTGTGTGGTTAGTTTATATTACTGCATGCATATTTCTCGTTTGTGTGTGGTTATAGTTTATATTACTGCATGTAAATTTCTCGTTTGTTTGTGGTTAGTTTATATTACTGCATGCATATTTCTCGTTTGTGTGTGGTTAGTTTATATTACTGCATGCATATTTCTCGTTGATGTCTTAGTTTTATGTTTATGCATGCATATTTCTCGTTTGTGTTACTGTAGTTTATCTCACTCCATGCATTTTATCCTTGGCGTATATTAGTTTTATCTTACCGCATGCATATTTATCGTTTATGTGCATTTAGTTGTACTCAGCTGATGCATATTTCTCGTTGACTTTCAGTTTAACCTAGCTACATGCACACCTTTCTTTGGTGTGTAGTTAGTTTTATCTCACTGCATGTAAATTTATGGTTGTGCGTGGTTAGTTTTAAATAACTGCATGCAATTTCTCGTTGGCGTATGGTTAATTGGATATTACTGCATGTACATTTCTCGTTGGTGGTTAGTTTGATATTACTGCATGCAGATTTTAATGTGGTGTGTGGTTGATTTAATACTACTTCATGCATAGTTATCGTTGGTGTGTCTTTATCATACTGTATGCATATGTCTTGTTGTTTATTCTTTAGTTTATCTGACAGCATGGTTCTGATTCTTTTCTAAGTTGTATCTTACTATATATCTATGTATTATTTTTATTTCGTTGTACCTTACTACATGCATACTAGTATTTGTCGTGTATGTATATTTAGTGCATGTCCATGTATTGCTCGTTTTTCATTAGTTTTATCCTACCGCATGCATAGATTCTTTTAATTTTCTTTAGTTTAGCTTCAGATAAAAGCTTTTGGTTGTATCGAAAAGAATTTAACTCAATTCCCATCAATCTACGTACTATTCACGTACTGCCCTCTTCTTACTAGAAGCTATTTGAGCACCGTACATTCACTTGTTAAACTTTTCTCCACAGAGCGTCAAAGAATGTGTATATATATATATCGTCTCTAGACTCGTGAAATGTGACGACATAATAACCACACGGGACTACACAAACATTTAATATATATGAACCAAATGGCCTTTTCCACACTTTTATCGGCCCCTATGCGCGTTTGTGATATCTATATAGCCCTCGTAATTCGTCGCACTTACCCACATCTGTCCACGAACGCATATTACATTCGTCTCGCAAACAGAGTGTGCCCCCACATTGCTGTCTCAAATTTGTTACGTTGGTTTTAACAACAGTCTAAAGGCTGGGGGTCGACCCGAATCGACTTCTCCACGTATAAGCTTCAGGCGTGGGAAGAGTAAATGAGCTTATACCTGCTTTAGCACGCGACTGAGGACATTTGAATTTTTTTACAATTTAGGTGTTGTATAAGTTCTGCATGAATTGTCGTGCAAAGGGTTTTGGAATAGATGGGAGGTTAATTTCGTGTTATGGTCGTCACATATCAACAGCGATGTTATTTTATTGTCGGAAGATGCGCTTTTGTTGACGATCTTCAAAAGGGAACAACAGAATATGTACCGCTTACAAAAACACCCCAAACACCCGAGATAGCCTAAATGCATAACTGAAGTTTTTTTCTTCACTCAGTGTATTTAATACGAACACTAAAGATTCTGTATACAAGATTGTATATCATGCTTCATTACTTTCCCCTTAAAGGAGTAAATCCTACAATAAGCTCTCAAGCTGCAAGGGACCCAGTCGTCTAAGGCGCTGCAATTCGATGCGCAGAGTTGTGTCTCTTAGGCGTGCCGGAATCATATGATCGTGAGTTCGAATCCCTAATTATGATTTTATAAATAGATTTGTCAGTACTCACTCACCCATAAGCAACGAAATACAGTTAGGATACACACTTTGAAAGTTTATAGCACGGGTTATAGTCTTAGTTATATAAGAAGAAACATATTAAACAAGGAATATTGGGATTTCTCTTGACTCCTCAACCTGTATAAAGAAAACAGTGATTGGCTTCACATCGAACCCGACAGTTTGTCCGCGACAAGCATGACCCTTTGGTTTATGTTCCCCTTCAAAGTCTTCAACACAAATCATGTAAAGATATCTTTCCATGTCGACTGGAATTAATCTAAAATAATGCGACATTTGAGAATGAACACCAACACATCATGCATTGCTTTCGTAAGGGAAACACGCCCTACAATTAGCATTTCTGGAGATATTGAGCAATGACTTTCAGTGTTAGTTCTCGTGTTTCAGCAATGGATCGGGATTGAGGACAATCCGAGGCTTAAACAGACTATATATATGTAGTGAACCGCAAAAGAAACGTCAACATGGATAGATATATGAGAAACCTCATTTGTCCAAACACTGTAAACATACTTTGAGACATATTAAAAATATGAAACTTGGAAAAACTGATCATCAAGGTTGAAATTAAATTGTCAAATGTTCTTAAGGTGAAACACAACACTTTTCTCTTAGAAAATGGCATCACAAGTCAGTATCTCGTGCGTCGTCCATGTGCATTGATGTCTGCCGTGCAACGTCGATACATGGAATGGATGAGGCGGTTGATGAAGGCCATAGGCACTTGAGCCCACACTCTGAGGAATGCCTGACGCAGTTCAGCTGCAGTTGTCGGCCTTGGTCCGACGTCATTCAGCCGTCTTTGAATCTCGTCCCACAGGTGCTCAATGGGATTTAAATCTGGACTGAGGACAGGCCACTGCATGGTTCTGAGGTATATGGCGTGTGGTCTCAAGACTTGATCAATGTACCGAGCTGCTGTGACACCATTGCCTCTCCCTGGACCAATGTTCTGGAAGACCACAGGGCCGACCCTCTGTGCACGACCAATTCCACCCCACGCCACGATGCTCGGACCACTCCATGAGTCTTTCTCAACAACACAAGCATCCGAATAACGTTCCTCGCGGCGTCGCTAGACTCTCTCTCTCTCTGTGTGCCATCTGCTGTTGAGATACAGTACCGGCTTTCGCCAGAGAAGAGGACTCTTCTCCACTGCCGGTGGCGCCAATGCTGGTGCTGTTTTGCCCACTGAAGACGGTCCCGGCGATGACGTGATGTCAGAATGGGTCCTCGGTGTGGCCTGTGACAGTGGAGGTGTCTGCTCGTCAATCGTCGACGCACGGTGTCCGCACTAATGTGTCGCTGGTGTGTCCCCATGGTCTGTCGAGCAGTTTCCGCAGCAGTAATAAAGCGATCTTGAAGATGCTGTCGCACAATCTGACGATCCTGACGTCGGGTAGTGACCCTTGGTCTTCCACTACGTGGCCGGTCATCTGTAGTGTTGTGGTCTGGTACCGTTGCTGGAGCCTGTATATGGTCCTTACGTGGACTTGTAATGCATTGGCTACCTGCCGGGCGGTTTGTCCAGCTTGTAACTCACGAAACTCACGTGCATCGGGTTACCATGGCCGTTGCCGTGATGCGTTTGGGCGATCGGTTTAATTGTCATCTGCTTTGTTTTTTTATCATCAAATTTCATTTTTCCGGACAAGGTAATGTTAAATTTTAGAAACTTTGACAACAATTACCCAGATATTTAAATGACAACTTTTCATGCAATGTTATTTATGGTGACGTTTCTTTTGCTGTTCAGTATAATTTAACGCGTGTATATGCCACTACATGGATGATCAGATATGTACTGACTGATAACGAATATGTTGACAATTAATTTCTTAGGACTTGTATATAAATGCATCGATGTTCTGCGTTGGCACAGGTGTCAGAGTTGTCAAAGGCGCCACAATTCGCTGTGCAGAGTTGCGTCCCTTGGGCACATCAGTAAACTATGATCGTGGCTTCGAATCCCGAGTTCGCCCCGATAATTTCTAGGTTTGTCAGCACCATGCCCGTGCTCCTGGGTTTCACCAAAGTGGTAAACGTCTGAGACCTGCATCACTTCGGGCTTCGAATGCCTCCACTATTAAGCCGACACGCCGTGATATAACTGGAATACTGTTAACATCAATTTACTCACGTGTTCTGCGAAATCCAATCTTCAAAGATCAAGAGTAGAAAACAAGAGATCATTCGAAGTGTTCTGTTGATCGTGCAATCTTGTAAATACAGATAGAATACTTCAGATTCCAATTAAGTAAAAATCACCATTTTGGTTCCACCTTTTATGAGGCGACATATACGATTCCACTTAATCACCTGGAGCAGCTGCCGTGGTTCGGTATGCCGGTATGTGGGGTCGAGACATTTCACGTTGTGTATACTTTATATTGTGACTAAACCTTTCAGAAACAGGTACAATAAATGTATCCTAACCGTACCGTCCGTTTGAACTGTGGGTATAATATTTGTTATAAAACTAGAATCTAGAAGCTTGACGCGTCAGTGGGAGAGACATGATGTTTTACGTCAGCAATATTCCAGTTTTATAAACCAGTCATGCATGTAAATAACCGAATCTGCTGGTGGACGTAAGACCTTGTACATTCACACCACGAGTCCGAGTTTCAGTATCATTCGGTAGATTCCAGTGTTGCTGTGAGACGCGTCTTATCTGTTGTGACCGAACCTCGCGGTTTATACAGATATATACATTACACGTGTATGGTGAAGGGTTTCTATGGCTTTGCTTTCCATGATGTTTGGATCGCTACGAGTGATTATCACTGCATGATGGACGTCAACAGCAACTTAGATTATCGGATTGACATTTGAATCGACATGACCATTCTCGTCAAGAAAGGGCACTGTGTACATTTTACGAACGTTTCGAAAATAATACATGGCAGTAGCTCTGCAAAGAACCATGGTCGAGTGTTGGGCTGTGATCTCAGGAACACGTGTTGCTTTGCTTGTCTTGCCAGAAAGTGTGGCTGCATCAAGTTCAAACACGAATAATAGGGGAATCTCATTTTTCACATTATCATTATAATAAAATCATTTATTTTCTTTACGGTTCAAGATAAGCGACTTAATAGAAATCCACTGGAAGTAAATAATCTTTATAAAATGCATAAAATACACAACCCCAGACACAAGCATGGCACTTGAATCTTATCGTGCATGCTTATTAAACAGACGTGTCAGCTGGTGTGAAGTGAAATATGTAACGTTTTTTTCTTGGATACTTCCCAAATTCTATTAAATAGGTATGAGATTCGTGAACAGACTATATTGTCAGTTGCAAAATCTGTAGTTACCCTTGGAGTGTTTGTAGCTCCGTTGCTATGTAATACAAGCATATGTATCTACATACTCACCTAGGAATATACAGATGTGGCTAACTTGAAACGATTAATACTAGGCTGCATGTTTTTACTCAACCTACACTATACATATGGACAGAGACCATATATCGGTATATGGTCTCTGATCTGGAGAACATGTAATGATTCAAAACTAAACTGTCTGGCAAGACAAAGTATACGTTTACAAATTTAATATTGGTTGGTTTGTTGTTTAACGCCGCACTCAGCATTATTCCAGCTAAAATTTAATATGACCCTAAAATTAACAAACGTTATCAATACGTTACTATGCTAAAACACAGTCACCGAAACACTGCAAAATTATTAGGTCCAAAACACAACTATGATACCCTATCAAATACGTTAGTCTGTTAAAGTATGTGAGTTGCGACAGTCTTAGCCTTACGATAATTTTGTGAATTCTAAAGGTGGACCGTTGTATGGTATTAAATTCATACGTTTCAACTTTTGACGTGTTTGAAGTATTATTCTGTTAAACTCAATTGGACTGTGCCGTGGATCGTGTAGGTGTCAGCATGTTCATACTCAACAGTATAATTCTAAAAACATTATAAATGGCAAGTAATAAATAAAATACTAAACTCGCTCCCCTGTAAAACCAATTTTATGAAACTCTGAATTCGCTCGTCAGATACCACAACTATTCACTGGTTTCATAAAATTGGTATTACATGGGGAGCTCGTTTAGTATTCTATATATAAGGAAACAAGAAACCTGAAAAGTCAGTACCTACATTCAACATCTGGAGCACAGGCAATAATATTAATCACCACTGCAAACAAAAATAACAAAGCTCCTTCATTTATGAGAAGTGAAAGTTTAATGAACTCAATGACTGGCTGAAAAGTTTAAAATCAACAATAATCGATGAAAAGCATAAAACACATGAAGTTCTATTTCTGGGAAGAACCTGGGGGTTCCATTACAGACATGGTAACTGGTCATCTGCTGTGTTGGTGGGGCACCTGTATCTGACCTAATTTACACCAGAATATATCCCCGAGTCAGTGGAAGTCACTCATAATGCCCTATGTCACTGAACTTGGACTAGTGTTCATAGTGATGGAAGTCACTGATATCTGTATGGGGTAGGAAATGTGGGCCTGAGATTGACAACACAGTGTAATATGATGAAACTTGAAGTTGATGACCAGTGCAGTTTCTTACACAGAAACTTAAACCAGTACATGGGTTTGAATGTTTACACATCAAAATCACTCAAGTGGAAGAAAAACAAGTCAATGTAAGAGAAGAGAAACAAAGCATGGCTTAAACAGTAAGGAGCAATCTTAATCAGTACATAATTAATAACCCTCAACTCATATCAAACAGGCGGAATTAACAATGACTGTCAATTTCCTTCATAACTTTGATGTAGATTTCAAGTGTGCAAGTCAATCCAAACAAGTCACTTTATAACCTGCTGATAAACCAAGTAAAAAAAATTATCAATACTCCCTTCAGATAAACCGGAAAATGATAAAACTCAAGACATAGATCCTGAACAATATAAATTCCTTAGTCCTATTTTTAAATTGATTCAGATATCTTAAATTGATTTAGTTTGTCTTCCCTGATGATTATAGAAGACTATTGGAAGTGACGTAAAAAGTAAGTGAGTGAGTTGTTGGATTTTATTGTCCCATTTTGAACACTATTTCAGTTCTATCATGGTGTATCAGTTTGAGGTGGGAGAAAAGCCTGAAGGGATGCAGGTCTTGGACGTTTACCACTTTGGGGAAACTCACAAGCACAGGTATGATGCTGACAAACCTAAAACATAATCGGCTTGAACCAGGGATTATGATCATAGGTTTCTGGCATGCCAAAGGGACGCAACTCTGAACAGGGAATTGCGTCACATTTGAGGACCAGGTAACCTGTGAAGTAATAATGCTGGCGAGGTAAGCCTACAGCACTGCTACAAAACAGGTCGGTATCTCAATGTCAACATAATCAGTGATAAGCTCTCTCTGAAATAAAAACATATCATTGAATCATTTGTGCATAAACTATACACCATGTTTTTCCATACAAAAAAGAGCAAATATACAATTTACTTTAAGCAGTTAACCATGTTATGTCTGCTGTTTGTTGCAAGTTGAAACAAATAAAATGGAACAGGTGACAGGACTAGTTTTGTACAAAAGGGATGGAACTTAATGGTGTGTTTCTTATAAGAGATGGGTTTACAGCTTAAGTCATGAACAGATTCAGTGAAATGGTGTATCAATGTCTAGTTGGAAAGTCATTTTGGTTTCCTAATAAATAACAAAACAAAACAAATGTATATAATTAGATGTGTGAAAAGAGAAATTACTCCTAGCATAAAATAGAAAGGCACAAAAGATTTATTTTTTTTACAGTTAAAATAATAATGAAGCAATTTCTAATGTATTTATGGAGTGATACACGAGATACAAATTTACATAAGTCTAAAAACTTTTTGAATAATTTACAAGGCATTATAAGATTTTTTTTACAGATTTAAAATGTCTGTCAAAATAATCAACTCAGACTATGTACAAATGTTCAATTGCAGTTTCCAGATTTAGCATAGGCCACTTGTCTTCATCAAAATGTCAAGATCAAGCACTTTACAGCTCATAAATAACAGTCAATGTCAAATCCTTCACCATATTCTGAAATCAAACTTAAGTATTGCCATGCATATATTAAATTCAAATAATAATTATCAAATTTGATGATCATCATCCATAAAGCACACAACATAACACATTGTTCTAAAACTAATACAAGAATTTTGAATTCATAATTTAATATCTGAATCTGAAAATAAAATATATTTTCAGATCATTGTGCAAGCATCAATAACTTTACCTTGACAAAATGTGGGCATGTCTGTGATCAGTTTACAAATTCACACAGAAAGGAAAATAAACTTTATAGGCAAGCTACCTGGTGCTGCTTGTGTTGGCATGAACTACACACAGATTGGAACAATGCCCCAAGGCATATTTCCTGTGAAAGATTGTCATCTTGCCTAAAGAAGTTGATTAAAATTTAGAACTGTCACATGTGTATTGTGATCATCAAAACAAACCTGGATGGATTATGGAATTTGATAAATATGCCTTAACAGCTTAGAAAACAAGAGACTTGAAAAGAATGTATATAATGTTTTGGTGAATGATTCTGAAATTGGTGGTAATGGTACATGCTTAGGTGAAACAATTGAGTTACTAAACATGGAATACAATTATGTACACTTCAAATCATATGGTGGCCTTTAAGGCAATGTAACGTTGTCAACTAGAATCCCAGTTGAAGCATGCAGCAAGAAAGGAAACAACACAGCTAGGCAACACATGGAATGATGGATGGCTCAGTGTTGAAACTGAGAGTGGAAAAATTAAAATATATTTAATTATTATATATGAGTTTTACACTGGTTCCTTCTTTTGCTCATGAAAATTACACAAAAGTGACAGCCATGATAAACACTTCTAACCTCTTAGCACATTGTCATCAATATATTTGCAGTTGCCTAAAATTCAAAAGACAACAGTTACTGGTAATAGCAATGTAAAATATAGCATATGTAAGGGTTCAGAACAAGAAATAGATTAAAAGTAGGAATAATGCATTTCCTTTGAAGGTTTTAAAATCTAATTCCCCAAAACACAGAAACATGGTTGGACAAAGACAAAATCAATCTTTTTTATATTTCACATATACATACATAATCAAATGTTGGAAGTATAATCATGATGGTATCGAGAGTTTTAGAATGACACACTTTCCACATTACAGTACAAAATCTTATCACATATTGTATGCTGAAAGACCTGTATTTGATAAATTTGGATCTTCAATCGCATAAGGCATTCAGTCTTGTACTCAAATTATGTTTTAAGTATAGCAAGGGAAGACAAAAATGATGTAAATGCTAAATTCCCTTCAAGTCCATCATTTCAGTTCATTAACAAGTTGGCATGAATAGTAAACCATCAAGATGAGGGTGATGAGGTAATGTATACAATGACATGATTTTCTTCTGTTACTGGCAGTTTTTTGTACCGTGAAAGGCATTAGATGATATTTTCGGACAAACATTCACAATAATTGAATAACATCAATGTTTCACCTTTTCACACATTTTCTTCATTTCCAGGACACTTTTCTTATCAAGGTTGCTGCACTGTGCACATGGTTTGATTACCTGGACAACAATACAATCTTAGTCATGGAATACCCATCTTTGTTAAATAATCCTAACCACCATTCAGTTGAGCTTGAATGCTCATAATGTATCAATACCATTGATCAAAATCTGCAATTTGTTAACAGATACATCATTATATAATAAATATTTCATCTAACTCTTTTTTGATTTTTCAATAACATACTTCATGATTTTAATATGACCATTTGACTGTAATATCCCATATCCCAAGCTGAATGTTTCAGACCACATAAACCATGTGCAGCATGAGATGGCCTCCGTCTGCCGGTATCCGTAACAAGCAGTGACTATAAGTAGGCTAACATACATGAGAGGAAGGTGTGGCTGGCGTGTGTGGATGTCAGTGGTAACCACCCTGCCTCTGTGATTGCTTCAGGAACTCTTCATAAGCTGCTTCTGTTTCATCATCCATCTCATCATCATTAGGACTGTGAAGAACAAGAAATTAATTTTAACTTTTAAATTAATGTTAACAATTAAAGATTAAGGTCGTCCATTATCAAAATACTATAGCAAGGACCCGCTTAAAACACTGTAAATCTATAGACAATATCAAATAAGCAATTACACATAAGGCCAATTTTTGGTTTCATTGTTCGATCACCAAGTTTTTCTACCAAAGTTAAGAAGTCAGAGGAGGGAGGGGGTGGGGGTATGGGGTAAGAAGAGACATGACATCTGTCTCAATAGAACTGTTAGTGAGCAAAATGTTTGCATTTCTCATGAGACTTATGTGTATTGATGACAATCAACAAAACTCTGAAATTTATTAATTAATCCAATAAACACATGGTAAAGCTGTTCAGATTCAGTGAGAATGTAGAACTAGTGAGAACTTACTAATATCCATAGTATGTCTGGTCCTCATTGTTCGACCAACTACTGTAAGCATCATTGTGAAATCCCTCGTTGTTGGCTTCAGCCTGCCACTCCAGGAAGGCTTGCTCCTCATCTTCATTGAGAATATACTCTCCATCTTCCACCTCCTCATTGTAGAACCCTGCCTCCTCTCGAGTGATGGTCTGACCACTGGCGTTGTAAAACACTGGCTCATTCTGGTAGAACAGATAGTATGGAAATTACAACAAGAGTTTGCCCCTAACATGGCTATATCCCCCGCCCCTGTTGCAGAAATTATGACATAATTAAATCTAAACAAACCCTAAACTTTTTTAACCAAGGTGGAACTTGTCATGGAAATTGTAAAAAAAAGAAGAGTTTGGAACCTAAGTCCATCTTGTTGCCATGGAAACGTAAAAAAAATAAAAATTTCTAAAATTTCTAAATAGCAAAAGGCACCAGTTCAGCATGTACTTGACAGACCTGTAAAGTTTCATGAAAAAATATTGAACGGTTTCTGAGTTATGCTCCGGGAACGAAACGTGACGGACGGACGTACTTTGTTGGGCGGGGGATAATAACAGTTCAAAGCATGGGAAGGATCTAGTGTCAACGCAACCTAGCTGGTACCAGAAGGTGTATGCTCCCAAAAGCTGCCTAAGCAATGACTTCAGACAAAACATCACAAATAAATACATTTTATTCTTAAAATCAAAGCAATCTTGCAAATTCTATCCATTGTCTTGCCATAAAGTAGACAAATTCTGCTGGGCTTGTGACTTTGTTCTAAACCATGCAGTACAGAGGCAGACGTGGGGAATAATCAACAATCGTTTGTCCTTGCTCCTCCATACCTGTAGAAGTTCATGAGACAAGGACCCATTGAATTCTGAGTCACCACCCTGTGATGAGGAGGTGGAATCAGGCCGCCCCCAATTGGACGTCCTTAGGTTCAATACGGATTTGATTAAGAACTTGGAGTTCCTGAAAAATATAGAACAAAATTCCATATGGGTATTAGCTACAACTTTCTTTGAAGCTGTGTTTAGGCACACATGCCTACAGCAAGTAAACAAAATAAATCTGATATTGATACAAATGAATTGAAGTATAAAACTCATATTAACATGATTATCTGTTAAAATGTATACATTGATAACAGTACTCAGACCTGCTTGATTTAAATTTGTGATTGTTAATCAACATCACCTGGGGATTGATAATAAGAAGTTCACAACGCATGCATATAGCACTTCATGTTCAAATGAGGGGTAATAATTGTTGACCTAAAGGACACAACTCTGGACAGTATACTGTGGTGCCACGCATGGCCACTTACCATCCTGGAAGTGGAGTATATATACTGATCTGTTTACAGGTCACCCCTAGAAAACAGCTGTTGGAGTTTAACTTGTGCAATGTAACGTGTCTTACATTGAGTTGGAAAAAGTATGCAGCTTTAACTTCGAAGTGGGGTATAAAGGATTTATTCTCCTGCTGAAAAATCCATGTGCAGCCTGTTTTCTTCGTGACGGGGTATAAGGGATTTATTCTCCCGCTGAGAAATTTATTTCCCTCCAAGGTGGGATACATTGTATTTTATCTAGATTATGTAAACCAATCAGATCTCATTATTCTGACATGTAGGTATGATATGTTCTTTATGTATATAACTCTAGAATTTATATATTGAAGCCTTGTGCAGTAAGAACAAATAAATAAATGTAACTACATTTGACCTGAAACTAAAAATACAGTTTGCTAGCTGTTCACTAAAACTGCTGGTGTCTGGAGTTAACGAAGAAATATAAAAGCAGATGCCATAATAGTCTGTGGGGCAATATTCCATTATCGATTTTATTGTAATAGAATCAATAATTGTATTTAAGCAAAATAAGTTATCAGTAAAGCAAAAAAATGATAAACCCATACACTACTAGTTTCCAGTTTTCACTTACTCTTCTAGCGACCTCGATTGCATAACGAGTTTTAATTGAGAAAATACTTCATCGAAATTATCTGCTGGTTCCATCATGTCCTCCATGTTTGCACCGACAAGCTGTGAACACAAACACAGCTGGTTACTGCAGCCTTCCCAGCAGGATATAATGAAGCAGACAAAATGAAACAATGACATGAAACAAAAACAAGGTAAAACAAATAAAGGGACTATCCAAGAGTTTGCTGAGTGGAAAACTAGTTTATTGGGCATAGGGACTGAGAGTTAGGAAATAAAAGCTTCAAAATATCCTTTAATGTTACACTAACAAATAGATGATCACAATATGAGCAAGATGGGCTCAGCTAATAAGACTGTATCATTGTAGTTAACTTCTAATAAGTAGGCTTCTCATCTGTCTGTTTGCAGTGAACGTATTTATCCCCATGATCACTGTCTGTGACTTCAGTCAGTGGTCCAAAACCTACCGGTAGTAACATTCAGTTCGGTCAAGTAAGCTTAGCAAGTAACTGTCCATATAACAAGAAAATCTGCTGAAAATTATGCTTAGAGCCAGGTTTGGTCTTGCAGACTCAAAAGTTTCTGTTACACATGTACACATATTCTTTGTCAGTCACCTTGAGCAATTGACAGGAACACTTGACCGTCTCTTTGCCAGGCTGAGATAACAATGTGAGAACCAGATCTTTCAGAATATTTGGAAGGATTTTCATCTTCGTTGCTCTTCCATCTGCTGAAGGAACCTGTGCACAAAGTGAGGGAGTTAGTTGGTTTTATGCCGCTTCAGTGTCTTCAGACATTGTACCCATGTGGGGAATCAAACCTAGACCTTCAGCTTCATGCGTGAATGCTGTAACCACAAGGCTACCCCCTCTTCACAATGATTTCACGTCCACAATTACAGATCATCCTACTGGGTGCACTGCAGTGTGAACTGAGGCATATTTTGAACAGTCACATGCCTAAGGAGACACCTCATGCAACTGGTGTTTCAGTGTGGGGCAGGACCAAATCCCTAGAAACTCTCAAAGGTAAAGCATGCACCTAGTGCAGAGGACAGAGGACAGAGAATCTATTCTGGGTGCAATGACACAACATGTTCTTTAACACAACTAACCTAAGACTGAGACCAAACAGACAACACAGTTATCTCAAGTGACAAAGTTTGTAGATATTCTGCTTTTAAAAGGTAATGTTGAATGAGGAAACTGTGAAATAAAGATCAACAGCTTAATTGTAAACAATATGACATAAAAAGGGTTATTACCTCCAAGTTAAGGAACAATTCCCCCATAAATAATGTGAAACCAGTGAGTTCCTCAACTTTGTCTGGTATTGTGACCAGTTGCTCTCGTTTCTCATACTGTTTCTGACATCTGAAATGAACATTGTAACATCAGTTTAGAAGCTGTAGTTTCATGGTACTATGTTTTTAAAGATATGGAGCTTCCTAAGATATTGAGCTTATTAACCAAGTGTGTATCTTTATTGTGTAAATTATCTTGGTAATAGAGGTTTAATGGAAATGTCACTCTATGACTAGTTGAGCTAAAAATAATATTACTGGTGTCGCAAAACCATTTGTTTGGATGAAGCATACCTTTTCAAAAAGGCATTTCTGAATGAAGCAAACAAAGAATGATCTTTGAGTCTGCTGCATATCTGCTGGCATATTCTGGCCCCTGTGTATCGAAAATTTGACTCTGCAACACTCTGGAAAACCAAAAAAACAAATAAGATATGTACAGAGCAAGCAGAGAACACTGCAACATGTAATTAACAACATGAACACAGTGTCTCCACCTGGTCATTCAAACCAAACTTCTACACTGCCTTATTGTCCATGAAGTAACACCAACATAACCATTATATGTCTCTCTGCGGCGTTTTTTACATTAGCAGCTATGAATAGGACTGTCCTTCACTTGTTGCAATATAAAATGTATCCTATTATCAACAGTGACAGACAATATAAGACATGAAAAATGACCTGTCATACACCTGAATGTAGCGTAATGTATTCATGACCTCACTATACCATACTCCTATCATGGCACCAAGTATTGCCTTGCACCAAAGCTGCAATGAACTGTAAAACACCTAGCAATAAAAAATTGGAAAATGAGATACAGTGAAAGTTGGTCAGATCACCTCACTTTCCAGCTGATCTTGTTGGGAAAGGCCATTTGTATTAAATAACATTACTCATAATCCACAGATTAATAAATCGGAAAATTATTAATGCAGACAGTTTCATTGGGAACAGATAACCGAAGTATAAATGTGTTTAACTAATTATCAAAATTCACCTGGAGAAATAAAACGTCAATGATCTCTGTAAGATGTTCAGCAGTGGTGACCCCATGTTTGAACTTCTCACACAAAGGTCGCATGTACTCCTCCACGTTGCCAGGACTGGTGTTCAGTATCCTCAACACCTGTTTGAACTCCTCCAGGACGGGATCATAGTCAATCTGGGAGATGTAGAAAGTCATCAATGATAACTTGAATCTCACTAAAGTCCAATCTCTTACCCCGATCAATATATCTCTCCATAAGAGGTTATGTCAGGTTAACTTTGTCCTAGGCATTTGGGGCAGTACATCTAATTTCAAATCATCTAATCTCAAAAACAAAAAGTAAACGGGTAGTTCTAAATGCAAATAATAACAGCGAAGCTATATTGTGAATATGAGTAAAATCTAAATATTTTTTACATTTGGATACTTATCCTGCATTACTACCTTAATGCTTCTACTGCTGTTCTTTTGACCTAGGAGACAGAGCTGTGAGAGGTCTTGGCTACAGAAGTTGTTGTATCAACCACTTCTGTGGCCTCTTTCCTCCCACAGATTTTACTTAATTCTTTAGCTAATCCTGCATTACTGCCATAATGCACCTTTATCAGATGGAGCCGGGGGGGAATACTTTTCAGATGGAATTTAGGATAGACCATTCAACCAGTCCGGGTAACCAGATAACATCCTGGAGGTTGAAAACGAAAAAACCCACAGACCTTCCTGTCCTATAGAGCCACATGAAGTATAGGAGGTGCGAAATCCAGTCGTAAAAAACAGGAAAAGTAGAAAAGGGTGTCAGCCAAGTTCTAAATTCCAATTCATGTAGCAGGAATAAGCGGAAAAATGAAAAAATTACTACCAGATAGGTCGCAGGGTCAGTTCAGAGGTGTAAGAATCAAGATCATCTGGGGTGAGTGACCTGCTTTGCTACAAACTGTGGACCAAACCTATGAACACCTTGCACATCCTCAAGAGACACGTCTTGGAGGCAATGGTGGATTGCATATGCAGAACAGTTGCTGTGGAGAGCCATGGTCGACAGCTTGGATCTCCTGGGGGATGTTGGCTAAGGCAGGTCCTGCTAGGTTGTACGCCTGCAGTATGATGGAGCGCAGCCATAGTGAGAGTGTTATGACTAACTTCCATGAGACCGGAATAAACAGTCTTTTTCGAGATCGACGTTGTGTCTTGGATCAACAGAGGAAAACTCAAACTGGGCACAGAATTAGTTCATCCACAACTTCGGATCCCACTATCGATGACAAGAGAGGAATGGTGAAAGATCTGTCTGGCTGTTGAGTCTTAGCAATGAAATCAAAGCACAGCCCAAGATGCACACTTTCAAATCCCAAACTGGGGGATGAAACTTGGCATGTTGATACTCCAGACGAAACGACCTCAAAAGTGACTGAAGTTCCAGGATCTCGGTCATTCTGCGATCCGTAGGAACTGCCAACACAGAATGGAGGCCAGTAGGGATGACAAATGGGGAGTCCCCTTGTTGCGAAGACACCAGACGATCGTGTAACGGACGTAGTTGGAGTCGGCCTCTGGCTGTCGAGCTGACGTGAGAAGGCCTATTATTATTTGTCTTTGAGGCTGTGTGCGAACTTTGTGAAGGGCAGGAAGAACATGGTGCTATTTTTATGTGCCACCTGTCGTCTGGAACCAGGAGGAGATCCTGGTCCATGCCAGACAGGCCGCCTATGAACTGGAGCTTGAGTGACGGATTGAGTTCTGACTTGAGCTTGTTATGCAAGTTTCTGTGTCCTGATGATTTAGTAGGCAGTCATGGATGTAAGACTCAAACTGAATGTTCCTTAGTTGCCGGTATGCGGTAATTGTCTTGGTAATCTGGGTAAACAACCCCGGGGCTGTGGAAATGCCAAATAGGAGGATCACCCACTGGTAGTGGATACCCTGAAGAAGAACCTGAGCAACTACCTGTAACTGGGGTGGATGGGGACATAAAGATAAGCGTCCTGGAGGTCAAGACTGATCAGGCAATCATTGGCATTGATTCTGGTCCTGAACAGTCTCAACGTAGTTATATAAAAGTAGGGAGGACGTTCCAGGAAATGCTTGTTGAAGACAGCGACATTGTGTATCATCCGAAATTTGGATGAATCCTTCTTCAGCACCAGGAACACTGGGGAACAGAATGTGGGGAATTGGGGACCTGGGGAACAGAATACCCGATGAGCCTGGTGGTGGTAATCTCTGCCAAAGCTGCCTGGAGATGATTATGTTGATGGTAGATTTGATGTTGTTGAAATTACATCATAGTACATAAATGATCACCCGATTAGGATTGTCCTCGGTAAGTTCGAGATTGAAGTACGAAGGGAAGACCAAGAAGAGATAGAGCCATGTGTATGAGACCGCAGACGTGTAGTGGCCTCCTCTAAAGAAGCCAAGGACGGACAAGAGGTAGTCGTAGATATTGGCAATAGAGGTGTGTGAATATGCAGGGTAAGGGGAGGTATTAGCACAGGTGCAGAGGCCGGGGGCGTTGGAGGTGTACTGATTGATGGTTGAAACCTTGGCGGCTCCAGAGTAATCATTGGTGTCGTGACAGCCAAGGGGCACGTTGGGTGTGTTGTTTTCTCAAAACCGTGAGGTAAACAGCTTAGTTGCTAGGGGAGAGATTGTGGAACAGTGACGAGGTGAGGTGAGGTGAAATGGGGTTTAACGTCGCGACCAAGATTATTGCATTTATATAGCGACGTGCATGCACGTGTATGTGTGTGTCTGCTTGTACTAGTCCGGACTGATGCCGATTTATAGTGCTAGCACACTGAGATACCATGCCGCAGTTTAACACGAATACCCCACTCAGACACAGTATACTGACTCCGAGCCGACCAGTCCTTGTTTTAGCCCCATAATGCCAAGCGCCAGACAGGGTAACAACAAGTACCATCTTTTAACGTCTTTTGGTATGACGCGGCTAGGGATCGAACCCCGGACCTTCCTCTCTCTGGGCGGACGCTCTACCATTAGACCACAGAGGCGGTCGGAACAGTGACGATGAGGAACAGGGGACCGTGCAATTGGCGCACTGGAGGGGTGGATCCCTTGCTGATTTATTGCCCTAGCATAATGAGCAAAGCGACATATAATCTAAAAAAAAAATAGACAAACATTGCAAGCAGAATAGACACACATGTCAACAAAGAAAGACGGACATGTAATTATAACTCAAACTTCTAGAAAGTTTACAAGAGAAATTACAAAAAAAAGAGTATAATTATACAATTAAAAGGCCCAGAACTGAAAAGTATTTAGCACATGAACAAGAGCTAAGATAGACATATTGAATTATCTAAACACAAGACATGTAAATATGACAACATGGCAAAACAAGATGGCGAAGGGTACAACACACGCACAAAGTAAGCATAAGTCAGGCAACAATTACGCTAAGGTAAGCCTGAAAAGGCTACCCTAGTACACCAGACTACAAAATACACAATCAATGGAGAATGTATTGGTTGCCAAAGGATAAGCAAAAGGATAGGCGAAGAATGCAATCTGGTTCTCAAATATCTGTTCAGTCCGATGACTAGCAGTGATGTGATGATACCTGACATCGCCATTTCCAGTAACATGGTAGCTGTGGGAGTAAGGAAGCCACACAACTGGTTGGTACAACAACTTATGTAGCCAGGACCTCGCACAGCCTAGGTCAAAAGAACAGCAGTAGAAGCATTAAGATAAAAACATTAACACTGGGTTCACCTGACTTGATGTTCTATCGAGGGTTTGTCAGATATTGAGAGATAGGCATTTAAAATATGCAAAAAATTGGATTCTAATGAGATTGTGAAAACTGCACACAGTCTGATGAAGGAAAGAAAACAATCATAACACTTACCAACCTAAGTTGGATTCTCAGACACTTGCATTATTCAAACTTTTCAGGATACAAATAATGACAGTTACTTTTCACACATTGTTTCACATAACCTACATGTAAGCTCCTTAAGAGCCAATCCAGCAAAGAGCCTGACCTAATTAAGAGCGAGAAATGTTCCTTATCAAGGAAATGTATAACAGCCTACAGTTGTGACCCAACAAACCAGTGATTGAAGGCATGAGCAACGATGTACACCTTTTAAATAATATACCCAACAAACCAGTGATTGAAGGCATGAGCAACAATCCAAACCTTGTAAATTATGGACCCGACAAACCAGTGACTGAAAGCATGAGCAACGATCCACATGTTGGGGACACAACGACAGTCAAGTCAACAAGTCTGACTACTTGTTCCTCGTTAGATAGCTCTTACTACAAGCGCTGGATGCTGTCTGGGGACCTATTCTTCCCTAGAATCATCATGGGGAGCCATACATGTAGAATCAAATTCCAGAAATAAATGTTACTGGGAACTCAGAATCCCCTTGGGTTGTTCCCAGTGAGTGGTATCTTATAGTCTGTGCTCTGTCATGTGTATGTATAGTAGATGTGCCGTTTCCGAAACCAGTGTCAGATAGTGTCAACATAAACCAATGCCACCCAGGGCAGGAGAAAGCCAGTCTTTCAAAGATCAATGCATGATCAGCCATTTTGGCCAACAAGTGCATATTAGTTGATTTTATGACCAGTTCTAGGTCACAATTCTTTATTTGATTAAAATGTTCTTGAACACTTCATGATTTATTACTCTGTGTATTTCAACCATCTATACAGATGAAACCAACAATTGTAAGCATTTTTTTTGTCTAATGAACGCTTAGCAATAATCCAGCTGTATGATGGCAACCTTTAAATAATGATGTCAGGACCAGACAAACCAGTTACTGATATTGTGAGGAACAATTCAAAACATTGGGGTATGTTGACGCACAATCAACAAAATCACTTGGCCTGACCACCCAGTCAATAAAGTCACCTCGTATAACAAGCATAGGTTGCTGAAGACCACTTCTAACCCAGAACTCCATGGGGAAGCATTTCTCTGATCAACAAGTATGTAATTTTTCACTCAATGCACATAATTCAGCAATAACTCAGGCAGGAAAGACCTTGTTATGCGTGGATTAATAACAGACATTTAAACTTAAACACAGATAATGTACTAGTGACTGAAAACTATTTTGCAAAGGTTCTTGCACTAGGAGCACTTTGAATGTAATGAAAATGGTTGAAAAAAAAATGAAAGCACTCAATTAAGCATAAGCTCACACAGACAGTACCTGTGGTGGCAATATAAAATAATATATATGCCAAAACCATTCATTAATCTTTATTGAGGTTGGGACCCTTATCTCACGGTTCACATGCTGTGTAAGCTGATGATCTTCATTCTTGAAGATCATAAAAGTGTCTGTAGCATACACCTGCTACCTATCTTTTCAGATACAAGACTAGATTATGTATTTGCAACTGGCTACGGGTATATGAAATTTTAGTCAAGTTTCAAACTGATAAGAAATGTCAAACAGAAATTTGTTTGAGTTAGCACTTTGAACAGTACATCAGTTATAGTTGTCATAAGATTGTATGGTGACATAAACAACTCAAGTTCATCTTGAGGATGAGAGTGTCTGAAAATGCAGCCAGGCATCGTCAATACTTCACATATATACACCACCTTCATCGATTACTGTTGAATATATACAGCCGCCATGCACTGAAGTCACTATTTTTAACCACTGGTGAGAGGGAAACAAGCAAGTTTTCTGAGACCAATGAGCTCTCAAATTACATCTCACCATGGCAACATATCTTGTGCAACACATGTTACAACCTTGCAGCCACTTTCACAATATATTGCTTTTCTACCAGGCAACGTGATTACTATTCTGAACAACCATCTACGTCATTGGGGTATGATGACATGTAATCAACCAAGTTACCTAGTCTGACACCCCAATCCATTTGGTCACTGCTTATGAGCATCATAGGTTGCTAGGGACCTCTTCTAACCTTGAATCCCCACAAGTTCGGCCGTATTTATTCATGGTAGTCAGACGAATGTAGTGTATAGAAACCCGTGAAGTATTAATGATGAGGCCAAGTATTTCCCTTAAGGGACTCTTGAACTTTTGGAACTGTACAATACTTGACTAGAGTGTAAAATTTACAAACTGAGCTTCACAGTTATATACTGCCCTTCATTCACACTGAATTAAATTGATTGTTATACATAATTATATCATAAAGTAAATCCATTGTTGTCAGTTCTCTAACTCTACCTCTAATATTTAATAATCCCTAATTACCATTTACAGAGCACGACTTGGTATTGCATTCTGTGATGACTTTGTGCATGCACATGGAGAAAGAATGAGTACTACCTGCTGAGGCTGTGAGTACACGTCAGCACCCATCTGCTGTCTGGGCACAAACACAGGGGCGGAAGCGGACAGTGTGGGGGGCTTATAGCCAGATCGGCCCTACAACAAAGTCAGCAGTGCTAACACTTGATATTCACAAAAGGGCGAAAAAATATTGTGGTATTGTGGTTAGGAAGGCCATTGTTTTATATAAAAAATAATTACCCGTTCCCACAAAATTGAGTAAAAATAATAAGAATTACATAATGTATAAACAAAAAAAGAATAGGTCACATATGCAGTACCACAATTGTTAACACCTTCGTAAAAAAATATGCAATTTTATTAGAAGATACTTTTTTCAGAAAATATTATCTCCCTTGGAATATGTAAATGTCAAGTGTTCAACAAATGAAGCATTTGGCTGAAAGTTATCTCCAGTACGTTTAAACAAAGCAGAAAATGTATGTAACTGCCCTATCACTGTCTCCATTTGAAAATATAATGATCACAAATGCAACTGGCATCTTTCATAAGTTTTAATACTACAGCTGCAAAAAGCCGGATCATTGCTGATGCTGCTGTCAACATAAATTACTCAACCACTTCCTTTCATGCTCATTGGTCAACTTAGTGTTTTTCTCTCTCAATCTTTCTTTCCTTCCAAAGCTGAAATTATTACTTTCTTATTCATAAATATATCTACTGAAGTAACAGCTTTGGTGGACACAGACACTATTGCAACAACCCATTAGTGGTTGACTGGAAATATTGTTCCATGCGTAAAAATTATCCGGCAATAGCGATCAGCTGTAGCAAAGTTAGTACTACACTTATGGTTATTATTATCCTAAATACATATAGTAAAGTTGCAACAAAAATAACACATTATTGGAATATATTACTCCTGAAAAAATAATAGTTTAAGATACAATTCTTCCGATCACAGCATCAAAATTCTTTAAAGTTATATTTTGGGTAATTTCTAACCGTATCACCGGTAGAAATTGTGTGTACAGCTAACTGCTGTTTCCGGATTAGTTTATGAGGAAATACACACGGTTATCGTAATCTCTGCATATAAAACAATGCCCAGTAGAGCTGGAAATACAATTTAAACTGTAAATCATCATGTCCAGTGATTTTAAATTTGTATTAACCAAATATATCACCTGTTCGTTTACCTGAATTTGATGAAGGGATATGATGTAAAAACTTCTGCACATAACAATTTCCCCCCGAAAAATGCTGAATTCCCTAGTTTGAGGTGAAAATGATACAATAGACATACATGTACAACGTAAAAAAATTATTATTTATTGTTTATTGACCTGTGTAGTAGCAATGCTGTTGTGCATACAAGATACAAAATTAATCTTTTAAATTCCATTCAGTACTCTAAGTGTACTCTTTAGTTTTGCAAGTGCTCATATATTGAAATAATGAGTACGTACTCCTGATGCTGAAAATTATCTGGAACCCTGTAACTTGAAATGCAAGCCAGAAACCCCCTTTATGATATTTATATGGCTCACAAAGTCTTAAGTTTTGATTTATATCTGTATAATTTTTACATTGTAAACAAAGAGTGACTAACAGCTATGCTTTTGTACACAATAGGGGTGAAACGATACAGTAAGGTCACAGTATTATATGTATTGTGATACGCATATTTACGTCAAATCGCATTGAAACTTCTTGACAATAGATATTTCAAAGCAGGTTGAAAAAAAGAAGCTTGCTATAGTCACATGTTCGTAGTGGCTACTTTTGGTAGTAAACTTGAAATGCAAATTAAAACACATTTTGCTATACCTGACTGACAAAAACACCAGGGGTCATTAAAAGAGTTGTAAGTATTTTATTTCAATGTATCTTGTATCGATACAGAAAAATAAGTATCATGTGTCGTATTGTCCCATGAATACTCACAACTCCTCGATGTATTGCTTCACCCCTAGTACACAACTAATACAAAATAGAATTTGAGAAACTAAGCCAGCATTCAAGATCAGAAGAAGTAGAACAGAAGAAAAGACCCAATAGCTCACCTGATTCTAATAATTATCATAAATAAAAAAATTGGATCAAAAGCCTATAAGATTTTTGCAAAAAAGGCAACACGAGATTTCACACAACAAATGTACTTGCTGAACATAACACACTGATACATGAATTACTGTCTTCAGCATGTTGAGTAAAGGGACAATTTACATTTCAACAGCAATATCTATAACAATTAAATGTTGTATTAAGAATTCAAAACTATCGATGCTGATCAGAAAGTTCACCTGACTGTGCATCTTATGGAGAGAGATATGGTATTGGGTGTAATAGATCTGATTTTAATGAGAATATTGCTCAGACAAGAGTCAGCTTTGTCAACACTGTGCTTTAAGTGGAAATTTGGAAACAGAAGGATAACTAAAGCGTCATGAACAAATGATAACAAGCAATAGGCGAAAATGGGAATAAACTGCCACTATTAAAATTGATTACAATACTTTGAACATATATATAGTAAAACATCATTGCAGGGATCATTCAAGCAACGTTTCAGCAACATTGGGTTTTAGTTTCTAAGAAGATTTCAAAAACGTAAAAGCTTACAGTGGACAGGAAAAGACATAAGCAATACTTCAGCCTCAGATTCAGGTGAGCTAAAATTTCAGCATGGCAGGCCTTGTTTCAGAGAAGATATCAGAAAGACTGTGATAGTGGACAATAGGAGAACTTGCCTAGACAAACACAAACACAATTTAGTAACCCTGTACCAGTGTAAGTTGCACTGTTAAAAGAAAGGCAGTTGACCAAGGGAGATAATTTAGATGGAAAAGTCTCTTAAACTTTGATCTATCCCTATCCAACCTGCATTTCTGGTAATCACAAGTTTTCTGTGAAGTAATTATTGGAATCAACTAAATTTCAGTATTGTAATAGTGTAATTAATATGTCATGAGATTGTAGCCAAGCATGTCCAAATATTCAAACCTGATGCCAGTCACAACGAAACATTTTCAAATATTAATGTAATAATAACATTATCAGAGGGTCAATGTCTATTTACAATTACAAACAGCACAAAAGCAGTTAACATGACAAAAAATGCAGAGTAAGCCATTGACAAACATAAAGTTGTGAAAATAGAATATGAACATGAGGCATGATCATAAATGAATAATTCAATTTCTTCAGCCAGAGTCTATTACAATTCTGTTTGACCTAGTGAACTCAGTGAATAATAACATATAATAACACTAAAATCTATTGAAAATGATACCAAAAGCCAAATGCAGGCAAATAGACTTAAAAGTTTTTAACACAGACTGCTATTAAATTAATGTTGAATTGATTGTACTTAAATGCAAAACACATTTACAAGATACACATGTACATCAAAATACAATTCCACAACACATTAGGAAACTAGTGTTGTTATGTGTATTTTCAATAATAAAGCTCGAGTGGCCTACCAGTCAAAAATATAATCAATTACATTTAGAATCTTTTATTCATCTGATAAATTGTAACTTACTGATGATCCACCAAATCTGGGAACAAATTCAGGAGCACTTGCAGACAAGTTGGAGGCCTTCGTCTGACCTCCCCCTACAAAGAAAAACTCTAAGCTATAGGCATACTCATGGTCATATGCTGTCGCTGTTATACAATCAAAAAATTACCATATGAATATTACAAACAAACGTCAAAATTTCATGCAACTTTCCACCATTGAAGGCTACAGGCTAGGGTGTTATGTGTCAACTGAAGTTACACCTTGATTGTAACACATTTCATGATCACAGCCCAATCAGATAACATATCAATATCAACTTGTTGATTTTTCAGTTGGGAATCATTTCCTAGCTTAAGCTACCAATTTAGTTATGCTCTTTCTTGTAAACATAGTACTCGAAATAAAATGTCCAGAGCACCTTTAGAATACAGCACCACATCTTCTTGTGAGGATGATTTCTGCCTCGGATTTTGAATCATTACTGGACACATGTAGCGGGTGAAAGAAGCTTGTGTGGATCTTCCAGAACAGTTTCCAGTTGCCAAAATATTCTACACTACTCCATTTCATCCTGATTTCTTGACGTTTTTTGTGATAATGGGGTTATTCATTGTAAAAGGGATCCAAGAGCTAAGGAAAGATTTCGCTGTAACTTTCCCAAACACAATTAACTAGGGATAGATGATCAGTGAAGCCAGATCCACAGCCGCAAAAACTGGCGCATACAAACCTAATTGATTTAATGCAAAAGATGTTCCATGATTCATAGTGTACAGACCCACAACATTTGGATGTGTACAGCGTCAATATAATATATCTAATAAACTGCATTCATGTGCATAATAAATCGAAAAAATAATACAAGCATATTTGTTGCCATTTAGAATCCTTTTAGTCCCATGAATTAAGTTGAAAATAAAATATATAATATATTGAAATAAAGTAGTGCTTTCATAAACTAGCACTTGCTATAATATGCACCGCCTCTGGCCATATTTAGTACACAAATATTCAAAACTGTCCACATCACTGGGCTTATCCAATGACATTGCATGTAGAGATAATAGATCACTGAGAAAAGCTTATGCACACTTGATGATCCCAGCAACTCTGTTGATGGCTGACATCACAGGGATTGTTTCGCCTATGTGTTTGCAACAACATTTCACAAATTACATCACAGGGTACTGTGACGTTTGTGTAGACTTTTGTGGTGCTGAATTCTAAAGGTAAGTCAAATGTCCTACATCTGAATTCACAACATGAAAAGGTAATATGGATACAATTTCTGCACCACAAAAATGCATTTTGAAATTTTCCAATTTTCATTGTTTCACACACAGATAACTTTGACATAGTATAAGCAAATCTCTGGTCATCCCCTAATTGACATAAGGCTTAGCAGCAGAACAATTCAGCAAATATGCACTGCCATATTATCATCACAGTAAAGTGAGATAAAAAAAACAAATATTACATGCTTGTATTTGCCAGAAATATAGTTCACAAAGGCATGACTGAAATAAGGGCAAAATGAAACTTCACAGTGGTAACAAGATACTATATCCCTTTAGATTCATTTTCACAAATCCAATCTAGATTAGTCAAGTTGCTTACTTTGATTCAAATGAAGTAGGCTACACTTGGCTGACAGAATAATTAGCATTCTCATTCTTCCATAATATGACAATCGTTATTATGGTTTTGTAATATTCATGACAGGGACATTACGTCGGTTACTGAATAAATATACAAGACTTGTGGATGACAAAAATGATCCATATGGTTTGCAAAACATCACACCACGGTTATTTAGCAGACGAGATATTGTCTCTTCCTTTGGCTGCCGCAATCCTGAATTCGCATTTTCTCCTGCTGGCATGTCGTCTTTGCTTTGTTGACCTCCACAAGAAGCCATTGCTTCAAATAAGCAAGAACCTAAATTTTGATCGACTTGTCCAGGAGTTTGCTAAGAATGTAAAGTCTGCGAAATTTTAGCCTGCCCGTCTTCCTTTCCCAGATTTCCCTTCGCTCCGTAACATTTGATATCAAGAAATGATGTTCTTACAATATATTTCATTATAAAGACAACAAAATATGGACCCTTTGTAAATACATTTTTACAACACTGATTTACAATTATACATTCATTAAGACTTATTTAATACGACGCATATGTAAATGGTTTATTTAATCACTAAAGTTTGAATATTAATATCTTTGGAGAACATTGCGTAGATCAAATTCGCGATTTTATTTAAATTATACTCATGAAACATCAACATATTTTGTATATGCTATGTAAAATGTCCAAAAATTAAAACTATATTTAAGACATTTGTTAGTTCCCAATATTGTCAAAACGTGGTCAGCAGTTAATAAATATTAACAAGATGGCGAAGCGCAAGGTTGAAGATGGGAAAAAAGCCAAAGAGGCGGTCAAGAAACCCAAAGTTGAAGATATTATTCTGCCCCCTGTTGTTTCCTCGAGCGTCAGACCAAAAATACAAGTGAGAATCACGAAGTACATGGTCAAGAATACGCTGATTACCTTCTCAATCTAGTTTCTACGATGTAAACAAACCATTTTACTGCGAGCACGTGTTCATCTGAAACATTCCTTCGGTTTTCGCGCACAGTATGTGGTGAAGTAGGAATGCATTTTATCTGGCGCAGCGTTTCGGTTTTTAATGTGCTTTGCATCCAAATATGAAAAAGGGCCTCAATGGGTAGTAGGTTGTTAAAATGGAAAGTAAATTTATGAAGATAGTGAAAACTGAAAGTTGTAAAAGGACTTGCTATAGATCTATATCCCCACTTCACATGTTTTCGAGCCGCTTAAAAATACGTGACCACGCGCTTAAGCCCACTGAAGACATCAAAGTGTTCGCCACTTTTTGCTGAAGTTATATTGCGAATTATGCTACACGAGGAAAGATATTCAATAAGTAATGAAAATAACTCAAAACTTACTTTACACTTATGCACATTTTAGTCAAACCTGATCTGATGATAATTTTGCATCAGAACAATTGTATGCACCAATTACCGTATATTGCTGTGTATAAGGAAAGTTTTTCGTACCTTAAATTATAACCGTGAGCACATAACACCGGAAATACCATGTCAACAAATCCGTAATGAAGTATACAAACTAATTATGCATTTACACTGTCTGGTTATAAAAAACAGTTATTTATATATCTGGACCTACCTTTGTAATCTATATTATTAATTTTATTCAAAATTTCATTCAATATTGTTTATTTTCATTTCCGCAAAATCGTATGTGAAGTGATCGGAAGATTGCACAACTCACAACTCATATTACCGACATTGACACCTTGAAAAGAACTTTAGTGGATAGAGAATATATATATATATATATATATGTCATAAATGCCATACTTTGACTCTCTGAAAGTCATATTTGTTGCGAGCGCGGAAGCATTGGCAGTGATTGGTCAATTTGTTCCATACGAAAAAAGTAGCAATCAGCTGTACCAAAGTGCTACGCTTATGGTTATTAATTCATTTCAAATATATAGTAAAATACTACATAAATAACATGATATTGGAATAAATTATTCTGAATAAAATAATAGTTTCAGATTTAATTCTTTTGATATTTGTATGAATATTGTTGAAAGTTATATTATTGGGTAATTATTAACCAAAACACTGGTAGATTCTAAGAAACGTGTGTCCATCTCTGTTTACGAGAAAATACACTCCGTCATCTTAATCTGTGCATATAACACAATGCCTATCTGAACAGGAAATACAATTTAATCGGTAAAAGATCATGTCAAGTGTTTTTTTTATTTCAACTTTTAAATTTGTATTGACCAAGTTTAATTGTTATGATCTGTTGGTTTCCCTGATCACTGAGGTTATTAGATACGTAATCAGAAATACTTCTTAGGGGCTAAAAAAAGACATAACACGAGGATATTGCTGCAGTTGCCAGGCATCACCTAATAGCATTCTTTGTTTCATATCAACTACTCTCTGTCACTGTGGGGACAATGGATGGACCTTGTGCACTGTACTATTTACAACACTTCTGCATCTTGAATTGGCAATGTCATAAATATATGCAAAACCTAAACACCATAAACACCAGTCCCTCCTTAATCAGTTACCTCCAATTCCAAATATGTTTTTTGTTTAAATCCATACTCAGTAATATTGCAGCTGCTAATAAATAAAGCTGGAACAGACAAGTTATTAATTCTACACTGTAAGCAACATCCCACAGTGACACACAATCAACCAAATCACTGAACCTGAACAACCCGTCTGATTTAGTCACATCTTACAACAAGCATAAGTTGCAGAGGACCCATTCTAACTTGGAATCCCCAGGGGCTCCAAACATGTATAGTTTGTATCATTGAAAGTGAACAGTATTATTTGGGTTTAAGGCATTAAAAATAAAATTTACCTGTGAAGATCCAGGTTGGAATAGGTCTTTAGTAAGCCATGCTTATCATAAGAGGCAACTAGTGGGATCGGGTGGTCAGGCTAGCTGACTTGGTTGATGCATGCCATTTTATCCCAATTTCGTGGACCGATGCTCATGATATTAATCATTGGATTGTCTGGTCCTATTTACAGCCCGCCATCATATGGCTGGAATATTGCTGAGTGCAGCGTTAAGCCAAAAAACAAACGAACAAGATCTGGTTATCTTAACATATATTTCATAATGGTAGCAAATTCAAAACATTCGTTGTCATGCTTTACAAAATTCCTTTACTTAAACATACTAACATCAGTGTTGATAAGAACCTTCAACTTTAAAGCATCATTCTTGAATAATAAGGGAGACTCTGCTCTATCATTGCCTGGTCGGAGCTCCAGATAACTTTTTGAGCAATTGAGTTTTTACTCTGGGGTTTCTATTTTAATTGGGCTATTACAATTTTCTTTGGGGAACCAATATCTTTTCACTCCTCTATTCATCACTATATTGGGTTTTTCCCAAAATTAGTGAATATTTTAAGATATAAAAAAATGTATTAATGTTTTGGATGTATATAACTATTCTAAATATATACATGATATAGGCTTGACTCGGAAAGTAAGTTAGCTTGTAACTGTGTTTCGGAAATTAGCTCATTTGTACGCTTGCTGAAAAAGCTTCTTTCGGTTTTTACACGTGCTGTTTTTATACATTTGAGTTTTTCATTTAATGTATGCGTTTCTGTACACAAGTTAATTGAAAGTAATTGGGCTTTGAAATCTTTTTTGGGGTATTTTACGCAAATACGCTGCTTATCTGTAACTCTGCCTGGTGCTAACTTAGGTCTAGACAATATGATAATTTGATACAGGTTGCAGCAGTTTCCCTGTAGATGCTCTTATAGATTCATGTTACTGGCTACTCCTTCAAATGACTGGTGGTATGTAGATCCTTAAGGAAAATATGTAGAGATGGTAGGTCTGGCATGATACATAAAGTTATCATTGTAAACAGTATCTTTTGATCAGACCAAAATCAGGAACAGAAATTTGTGAAGCAGAAACTCCTGACAGACAGCTGATCATGTAGACAAAATTAAAAATGTAGTTAGACCAAATCATTTTAGAAGCTGGCAAACCCATGCTGAAAACCCCATGCACCATTCATTTTTATTGGACGGCGAAAGTGCATCGAGGGTTGACCCAACATGACCAATGGAGGGTTTTGTCAGATCTTGGATAGTGGTATGAATTAAAAGCAAAAGATCTGTTCTTAATGAAATTGAGTTACAATGTATCTAGTAGTGCAGTAACATTACAGGCAATTAATAACAAGAATGTTGAGCGATGCCCATGGGAAGGAATCCAAGACTTCCCTTGCAAAATACCCTTCTACCATTTTTATAGGGTGTTAATTAGGAACAAGACACTATGTACAATGTAGGTAAGTTGCTGAATTTGATCTGTTTATGTAGCTTGTGTTTATTTGTCTTCTTTTACTTTCAGAAAAAATGGACAAACAAACAGCGGGTGTTGGTTTTTTCTTCCCGAGGCATTACTTTCCGAGCAAGGCATTTAATGAATGACCTTAGGACTACAATGCCTCATGCCAAACCAGGTAGTTTACCGATGATTGTAATTGTGGTGTATTAGATTAATGCTCTTATCATTATCATGCGATCTATTGTACGTTTTAGACACTTACGCTTCATGTATAATAAATGCTTCCATATAGGTCAGCGCACATGAGCATTGTGTGAGTAAATCTGCCTTCCGCCTTGATCAATGTTACAAATGTTTTGTGCGGGGGACAGTTCAAAACCAAGATACAACAGTAATTTCGCCTGCAAGAGTTAACTTGTACATTTATATTTTCAAGTCATTTTCTGGTATTTATGACCCAAAGACTTCAGTTATCTTCATGTCAGATGTCCTACATGAAACCTACCATGGATCCCATATTTCATTAAGAAAAGATCTTAGTTCTTGCTAGATCTAAAAAGCAACGTGAGGACATTCCATTACAGGTCACATCAAAACAACCTTCCATCCGACAATCAGATTGTTGCTTGCCAGATCAGGAAAGTGACAGTCGGAATGTTCTTTTGTTCAGTTTTCAATTTGTAATGGAGAACATATCTTTCAACATTTTTCGAGCATAGACTTGTCTTGAAGTGGAAGTCACCAGCTTGAAACTAGTGCTGTAAACCTTGAGAAAGCTGCTTTCTGATTGGCTAATGTCAACTTCTTGACTGGTCGGTCAAGGTTCTCGAAAGGTCGTTCTGACATGGACCATAATGGGAAGTCCTCAGATCTTTGTTTAGATGTAGTGAAAACTAAGATTTGATTAATGAGATTGCCATGGATCCTGTCCTTCTGACTTAATTTATTTTTAGTCTTTCTTTAATGTGTCACAGCAGAAATTCACCTGACACGTTTACTAGCCCAAATAACCACGGTAACACATACATGTGCCCCTAGATAGTCTGAATTTTCTACTAGCCCTCAGGATACCTTTTACGTTAGATGAACTGACCAACTGGCTCGTGCCAATTTCTATCTCTGTCAGTAGAAACCAAGAGGCTCTGTTCTGTTATGCATACTGTGTAATGGTGTTTGGTGTCTTCAGTTTAGTGTCTCAAATGATTCTTCATTATTTATTTATGTCCTTGTAAGCTGATTAGTTTCTTGGTCCAGATAATGTGGCCAAGAATGTAATCAACTTCATATACTAGGATAAAGAAGAAAGAAATCTCCCTTAGTCCTTGTTCTCCTGTTTTGGTGCTGACTGAAATATTATCTGATGTTAGTTGATGGAAGTGTCATCTGTCAGTGTTATGCAGGCAGCTAGCATGAGTTGGTTTGTTTCCATTTCAGAAACTAAAATGGACAGAAAAGACAAGCTGCATGTAATCAATGAGGTATGTGTATGTCAAAGGGGGGAAGGTTTGTACCCCTGTAGAGATCCAGGGCAGAACAGGTCCCCAGTAAGACATGTTTGTACCCCTGTGGAGATCCAGTGCAGAACAGGTCCCCAATAAGACATGTTTGTACCCCTGTGGAGATCCAGGGCAGAACAGGTCCCCAATAAGACATGTTTGTACCCCTGTAGAGATCCAGGGCAGAACAGGTCCCCAGTAAGACATGTTTGTACCCCTGTGGAGATCCAGTGCAGAACAGGTCCCCAATAAGACATGTTTGTACCCCTGTGGAGATCCAGGGCAGAACAGGTCCCCAATAAGACATGTTTGTACCCCTGTGGAGATCCAGGGCAGAACAGGTCCCCAATAAGACATGTTTGTACCCCTGTGGAGATCCAGGGCAGAACAGGTCCCCAATAAGACATGTTTGTACCCCTGTAGAGATCCAGGGCAGAACAGGTCCCCAGTAAGACATGTTTGTACCCCTGTGGAGATCCAGGGCAGAACAGGTCCCCAATAAGACATGTTTGTACCCCTGTGGAGATCCAGTGCAGAACAGGTCCCCAGTAAGACATGTTTGTACCCCCGTAGAGATCCAGGGCAGAACAGGTCCCCAATAAGACATGTTTGTACCCCTGTGGAGATCCAGGGCAGAACAGATCCCTGGTAAGATATGTTTAAACCCCTGTGGAGATCCAGGGCAGAACAGGTCCCCAATAAGACATGTTTGTAACCCTGTGGAGATCCAGGGGAGAACAGGTCCCCAATAAGACATGTTTGTACCCCCGTAGAGATCCAGGGCAGAACAGTTCCCCAGTAAGACATGTTTGTACCCCTGTGGAGATCCAGTGCAGAACAGATCCCTGGTAAGATATGTTTGTACCCCTGTGGAGATCCAGGGCAGAACAGGTCCCCAATAAGACATGTTTGTAACCCTGTGGAGATCCAGGGGAGAACAGGTCCCCAATAAGACATGTTTGTACCCCTGTGGAGATCCAGGGCAGAACAGTTCCCCAGTAAGACATGTTTGTACCCCTGTGGAGATCCAGTGCAGAACAGGTCCCCAGTAAGACATGTTTGTACCCCTGTGGAGATCCAGTGCAGAACCCCCTGATTCTTTCATTTACTATGTCAATTCAACATTCAATTTTAACTCACTCACTCATTTACTATGCTTAATCTGTTATTTGAGATACCAAGCTTGACACAAAGTAGCAAGTTTACTTTACACTCATTTACTGATTGTTATGATGAAGAACCTCTTAGAACATAACAAACACGGAAGTTGCAAGAATGGGCATTATTCTGTTTTTATTTTTTTATTTCTGCTTTGTCCAGATTTGTGAGATGAAGAACTGCAACAAGTGCATCTACTTTGAAGGCAAAAAGAATCAGGATCTTTATATGTGGTAAGTTGTTTCAGGATCTCTGTCTGTGGCAGGTTGTTTCAGGATCTCTGTCTGTGGTAGGTTGTTTCAGGATCTTTTTATGTGGTAGGTTGTTTCAGGATCTCTGTCTGTGGCAGGTTGTTTCAGGATCTTTGTCTGTGGCAGGTTGTTTCAGGATCTTTGTCTGTGGTAGGTTGTTTCAGGATCTTTTTATGTGGTAGGTTGTTTCAGGATCTTTGTCTGTGGTAGGTTGTTTCAGGATCTTTGTCTGTGGTAGGTTGTTTCAGGATCTTTGTCTGTGGTAGGTTGTTTCAGGATCTTTTTATGTGGTAGGTTGTTTCAGGATCTTTGTCTGTGGTAGGTTGTTTCAGGATCTCTCTCTGTGGTAGGTTGTTTCAGGATCTTTTTATGTGGTAGGTTGTTTCAGGATCTTTGTCTGTGGTAGGTTGTTTCAGGATCTTTTTATGTGGTAGGTTGTTTCAGGATCTCTGTCTGTGGCAGGTTGTTTCAGGATCTCTGTCTGTGGCAGGTTGTTTCAGGATTTCTCTCTGTGGTAGGTTGTTTCAGGATCTTTGTCTGTGGTAGGTTGTTTCAGGATCTTTGTCTGTGGTAGGTTGTTTCAGGATCTTTGTCTGTGGTAGGTTGTTTCAGGATCTTTTTATGTGGCAGGTTGTTTCAGGATCTTTGTCTGTGGCAGGTTGTTTCAGGATCTTTGTCTGTGGTAGGTTGTTTCATGATCTCTGTCTGTGGCAGGTTGTTTCAGGATTTCTCTCTGTGGCAGGTTGTTTCAGGATCTTTGTCTGTGGTAGGTTGTTTCAGGATCTTTGTCTGTGGTAGGTTGTTTCAGGATCTTTTTATGTGGCAGGTTGTTTCATGATCTCTGTCTGTGGCAGGTTGTTTCAGGATTTCTCTCTGTGGTAGGTTGTTTCAGGATCTTTGTCTGTGGTAGGTTGTTTCAGGATCACTATCTGTGTGTGGTAGGTTGTTTCAGGATCTCTATCTATGTGTGGCAGGTTGTTTTAGGATCTCTGTCTGTGGTAGGTTGTTTCAAGATCTGTCTGGGGTAGATTGTTTCAGGATCTCTATGTGTGGCAGGTTGTTTCAGGATCTCTGTCTGTGGTAGGTTGTTTCAAGATCTGTCTGGGGTAGATTGTTTCAGGATCTCTATCTATGTGTGGCAGGTTGTTTCAGGATCTCTGTCTGTGGCAGGTTGTTTCAGGATCTCTGTCTGTGGCAGGTTGTTTCAGGATCTCTGTCTGTGGTAGGTTGTTTCAGGATCTCTGTCTGTGGTAGGTTGTTTCAGGATCTCTGTCTGTGGCAGGTTGTTTCAGGATCTCTGTCTGTGGCAGGTTGTTTCAGGATCTCTGTCTGTGGCAGGTTGTTTCAGGATCTTTGTCTGTGGTAGGTTGTTTCAGGATCTTTTTATGTGGCAGGTTGTTTCATGATCTCTGTCTGTGGCAGGTTGTTTCAGGATTTCTCTCTGTGGCAGGTTGTTTCAGGATCTTTGTCTGTGGTAGGTTGTTTCAGGATCCTAGTCTGTGGTAGGTTGTTTCAGGATCTTTTTATGTGGCAGGTTGTTTCAGGATCTCTGTCTGTGGCAGGTTGTTTCAGGATTTCTCTCTGTGGTAGGTTGTTTCAGGATCTTTGTCTGTGGTAGGTTGTTTCAGGATCACTATCTGTGTGTGGTAGGTTGTTTCAGGATCTCTATCTATGTGTGGCAGGTTGTTTTAGGATCTCTGTCTGTGGTAGGTTGTTTCAAGATCTGTCTGGGGTAGATTGTTTCAGGATCTCTATGTGTGGCAGGTTGTTTCAGGATCTCTGTCTGTGGTAGGTTGTTTCAAGATCTGTCTGGGGTAGATTGTTTCAGGATCTCTATCTATGTGTGGCAGGTTGTTTCAGGATCTCTGTCTGTGGCAGGTTGTTTCAGGATCTCTGTCTGTGGCAGGTTGTTTCAGGATCTCTGTCTGTGGTAGGTTGTTTCAGGATCTCTGTCTGTGGTAGGTTGTTTCAGGATCTCTGTCTGTGGCAGGTTGTTTCAGGATCTCTGTCTGTGGCAGGTTGTTTCAGGATCTCTGTCTGTGGCAGGTTGTTTCAGGATCTTTGTCTGTGGTAGGTTGTTTCAGGATCTTTTTATGTGGCAGGTTGTTTCATGATCTCTGTCTGTGGCAGGTTGTTTCAGGATTTCTCTCTGTGGCAGGTTGTTTCAGGATCTTTGTCTGTGGTAGGTTGTTTCAGGATCCTAGTCTGTGGTAGGTTGTTTCAGGATCTTTTTATGTGGCAGGTTGTTTCAGGATCTCTGTCTGTGGCAGGTTGTTTCAGGATCTCTGTCTGTGGCAGGTTGTTTCAGGATTTCTCTCTGTGGTAGGTTGTTTCAGGATCTTTGTCTGTGGTAGGTTGTTTCAGGATCACTATCTGTGTGTGGTAGGTTGTTTCAGGATCTCTATCTATGTGTGGCAGGTTGTTTTAGGATCTCTGTCTGTGGTAGGTTGTTTCAAGATCTGTCTGGGGTAGATTGTTTCAGGATCTCTATCTATGTGTGGCAGGTTGTTTCAGGATCTCTGTCTGTGGCAGGTTGTTTCAGGATCTCTGTCTGTGGCAGGTTGTTTCAGGATCTCTGTCTGTGGCAGGTTGTTTCAGGATCTCTGTCTGTGGCAGGTTGTTTCAGGATCTCTGTCTGTGGTAAGTTGTTTCAGGATCTCTGTCTGTAGTAGGTTGTTTCAGGATCTCTTTCTGTGGTAGGTTGTTTCAGGATCTCTGCAGGTGGAAGGTTGTTTCAGGATCTCTGTCTGTGGCATGTTGTTTCAGGATCTCTATCTATGTGTGGCAGATTGTTTCAGGATTTCTCTCTGTGGTAGGTTGTTTCAGGATCTTTGTCTGGGGTAGATTGTTTCAGGATCTCTTTCTGTGGTAGGTTGGTTCAGGATCTCTGTCTGTGGTAGGTTGTTTCAGGATCCCTGTCTGTCTGGCATGTTGTTTCAGGATCCCTGTCTGTCTGGCATGTTGTTTCAGGATCCCTGTCTGTCTGGCATGTTGTTTCAGGATCACTGTCTGTCTTGCATGTTGTTTCAGGATCCCTGTCTGTGGTAGGTTGTTTCAGGATCTCTGTCTGTGGCAGGTGGTCTAAGTTCCTGCAACTTGGCTGAAGAGTTAATTTATTGTTTAAGGATCGTCAGATTGTTGTTGAATTGCCCCTTGATGATGATACTTGGTTTCTCAGCATCAACCCATGCCCATAGGCTTCACCAACATGGCTAGCTTCTGCAACCTGCTTCAACTTCTCCTTTTCTTCTCTCATTAAACTATGATGTAGCTGAAATGATGCTCAAAGCAATGTTTAACGTACTTGCAAGTGACATGCATGAGGTTATCTTAGTTGTGGAGACCCTTGCTCACTTGTCCTGTGATTCCACATTTGCAGGCTGTGGTCATCTGGCTGGCATGTTACACAGACAAACAGACACAGTCACTCTTCCTGTCATGACTCCATCTGTGTACCTAAATACTGAGAGGCGTTTTTTTTCTTTCTATCCATGGCTATTTGTTTTTACCTTCATGTGAGGGAGACTGTACAAGGCTTCATGCTTGGATTCATGTATGTTTCAGGCTATCAAACTGTCCGTCCGGGCCATCAGCAAAGTTTTTAGTGGAAAATTGTGAGTATAACATACAAGAGTCGACAAGCATGGATTTAGGACATTGTTTGATTTTGTGTTGGCATTCACAATTCGTTGTGCAGAGTTGTATCCCTTGGACACACCAGAAGTCTATGACTGTGGGTTCGAATCCTGGTTTGTCAGCACCATAGCCGTGATCGTGGGTTTCACCAAAGTGGTAAGCGTCTGAGACCTGCAGGCTTTCCTTCCACATTAAGCTGACACGCCTTGATATTACTGTAATATTGTTCAAAGCGGTGTTAAATCTCAACTCACTCACTCTTGTCATTCACACATCCTGATTTTGGCTTCCCACATAAAGATTCTTTGGTTCAAATATTGATCAATGCTGCACTAAATGCCTTAGCCAGGACATATTTTATGACAGATTGTTACAACTATTGTTAGTGTGTGGATCTCATAATCGGCTGAGTACATTGTGTAAGTGTATGACAGTGATATTGTCACTATTAGAATGTGGACATTGAGGAGAGTGATAATAATTCCTCTTCTTGCAGTGCACACAATGATGGAGCTCAAGATGACAGGAAATTGTCTGAAAGGGTCACGGCCTCTACTGTCTTTTGACATCGTAAGTTGAAGATTTTAAGGGATAGTAACTTTAAAGTGTATCTCCTACAGGGAATGATGAAAGTTCACCGACATCCGGTGGATTTGGTGTTTCTAACATATACATGATTTATTTATAAGAGATTACTGTTTGAATTACTACTATATTATTTATATCTTTATATACATTTGATATGTGTATCTTTAGCTTTTAAAATGTGTTTTGACCATGGTTGTCTTTACTTCAGTAAACTTTCCTCGTAAGACTGGTCAAATATATACTACTCATACCACGACAGGTTAAGTTTAATAAAATGAAAGAATTGGTTGGTCCTTAACATTTTGTGAGTAGTGTCTCCTTATTACCACAGATTGGGAGTATCATAGAAAATGTGTTCTAGGCAACCAAGTTCTATTTCTGAATTCTTCACTTTGCAGGCATTTGATGAAGCGCCACAGTGGAAGTTATTGAAGGAATTGTTCATACAGGTAGGATAGTAGTAAACGTCTATGATCTGCATCACTTCAGGCTTCCACCCACATCAAGCTGACATGCTGTCATATAAGTAAAATACTGTTCCAAGCAGCATGAAACCTACCTCACTCACTCACTGGAGTTTGATGTAAAACTGATATATTTAACTGATTGTATGGTACAGCTTGATTGTATGGCACTTGCATGGAATGTGAATGTAGGCACAAAGTCACTGCAAGGAGGTATGTTAGTTGGTTGGCATGTCTTGCTTCTTTCAATAGTGTGTTGCCTTGCAGATATTTGGGACACCTAACTGCCACCCCAAGAGTCAGCCATTCTTCGACCACGTGCTGTCCTTCTCCATCATGGACAACAGAATCTGGTTCCGGAACTATCAGATCCTGGAGGAGGATGGGGCACTCACAGAAATAGGTCAGTTCCAGCACACAACATTATCCTTGTTGCCATGGTGATTGTGCTTACAGTCACTGCACTCATGGTGTTTATGGCTGCCATGGTAATTGTACTCACAATCACAGGAAGGTTCCTTTAATTATGCAAACTTCTGAAAAGTCACCTTTTGGGGCAGGGGCATTAACTGACTATGAAAGTCCAGTTTCCAACCTTGCCGAACTAGGCTGGAATTTCCAGGCTCGATCGTGGCGCCACCAGTGTCGATTACAAGTTATGTTCTTTCTATGCCCCTCCTATTGACCAATCAGTTTCCATCTCTTACATTTGCTTCAAACAAAATGGCAGCGTCTAGTCAAGATGATCTGATCGATAATCAAGATCTAGATTTTAATAAGAACGAAGTGCATCAAATCACTTGAGCATCTTGATTAAAAACATTAATATATATGGAATATGTCTGTCGACGCCCATGTGGATGAACACATGCTTTGCAAATCCTGCAGTCGACTGAAATCTGCACATTGAAAACCATGTTGTTCACAAACCAGATGTGTAGTTTGTTACACGATTTTGATGCGACTACCGTATAGGGCTGCAACGGTTCGGTTCGGTGCGCCGAGAACCGGTACTTGTCATCTCGATTCAATCTTCGATCTACAATGTCTAGATTTTGATTCGGTTTATTCCAATTTTTGTAATAAATTTAAAATTAACAAAAATAACCTACCTTGTTGGCGAAAAAAATTAAAAGACTTGCGTTCATATCGACGAAGTGAAAATGTCCAAAAATGCATTTGTTTGAAACTTTTGACGACTGTCACTTAAAAACGAAAATAGATTAGAGTGACCTCCCTTTGAAAGCATGGCAGATGACGTGCTGTCACCAGCCCCTAGTCATCTAAAATCTAAGGTTTGGGCTCAAGTGTGGCTAGTGAGAGGGTCTTTTCAACAGCCGGGGATGTTGTGACTGCTCAGAGGGCTTCCCTCAGTAGTGACAATGTGGACATGCTTGTGTTTTTATCCAAAAACATGATCATCCCTGATGACCTGATTGACCTCACAGTCTGAGGTGATGAGTTTGTCCTGTTGGTGCATAGTGTTGCACTGTTCAATAAAAAATTAAAGTAAATACACGTTTTGTTACTTATTTATGCATATTATACATGAATCATTGTATATTATTAGACTAATGAATCAAATCGAAAATAATCGAATCGAATGGAAATAATCGAGCATCGAACCGAATCGAAGTATTGGTGAACTGTTGCAGCCCTACTACCGTATGTATGGACTCGTTCAGCCAAAAGGTAACTCTGGAATTCAGACGTAGTTCAGCAAGGGTGGAAAGTTAACTCCCTTGCCTTGGGAAGATGCTGAAATGTGTGTGTGTGCAAAGAACAACTGGAACCACAACAACACAACATAACACAGCCAATAGCTATTTACCATGTTTATAACTGTTTTGCCAGGTCCCAGATTTGTGATGAACCCCATCCGAATATTTGAAGGCAGCTTCCATGGGAGGACTCTGTACCAGAATCCACACTACGTCTCTCCTAATGAGGTCAGTTTCATATTGCTATGTTAACTCGAGGCCTGTTTGGTTTTGTTATGTATGACCATTGGTCATGCTGATTAACCCCCATTTTGTGAAGTTACTTTCTTTAACATTCGGTTGTGCCAGGATCCAAGGGTAGTGGGTTTAAATCCTACTTTTGCCATGGGTTGGAATTGCTGGCATGCCCTTGATTTGTCTGCACCGACCGGGTGCAAATGTTTTTCACCAAAGTGGTAAATCACAAATGCATCACTTCAGGCTTCCTCCCATATCAAGCTGACAAGCAGTGATATACCTCAAATACTGTTCAAAGCGGCATTAAACCTCTCTTACTCTTCTTCCCATTATCAGCATCGACGGAAGCTGCGGCAGATAGTGGCCAGCAAGTACATCAACCGGGTAGATGCTAAGAAGTCGCTGGAGGTGCGAAGACCTAAAGAATCCTACCGCCTTGATCCCACGGACGACGTGTTCACCACCATCAGACCGGAGGATGCCCGGCCAGCGGAGGAGAAGGCCGACTCGTTGAGGAATTCATGAAGAGAAACCAAATTTGATGGACTGAGGCTGGGAAGAGTCTGTTACATTCTAAGGAGTGTATGGATCACTTGTATGTGATGAGGCATCCGCATATGATCTGTATATGTACCAGTGACAATTAGGTGTACCAGTATCAAAATATTCTGGTATTTTCTCTGTGAGGAGCACAGTAAGCTCAGTGCACATGACTCGTGTATATGAATATCAGAGTATGTAAGGCAATGCTGTTAGTTTATCGCTTTAGGAATCGCTTGACCGACTGGTGTAAGATAAAAGTGAGCAATTTGTTTAATGACTGATCAAATGCGTAATATAGACTCTGGTCCCTAATAAAGAGATACAATTCTCAGACACAAGTAAAAACATGTTTGTGTGAGGAGAAACTAACTGTTATAATAAATTCATATGTAAGTTTCAAGGTTGTCAATAAATGCTGTCCTTGTATATAAAACATGTGAATAAAACTAGTGTACAGCTTAGCTCTCTTCTCTTTAGCATTGAATTACAAAGCAGAAGCAGGTCCCCATGGCAAAAGCTGCTTTAGGTAGAGCCTGAATTTGACAGCTTTTGCTAACATAAACTAGCTTTAGAACTTAATGCTGATCCTTTGACTTTTGGAGAATCAATTTGCCCAATGATTGACGGACATTGATCATCATGGTCAATGAATACATAATGAGCCTAACAAATATGGCACTGTGGCAGTTTTGTTTTTAATTTGACCAAACCTGTAATGTTTCATGATCTATGAGGGGGCATGGATGGCCCAGTCGCCACGTATCGCTGTGCAGAGTTGCCTCCCTTGGGCACGCCAGAAACCTATGATTTTGTGTTCAAATCGCGGTTCGCCCCATTTGTTTCTAGGTTTGTCAGCACCATACCCATGCTCGTGGGTTTCACCGAAGTGGTAAATGTCTAAGACCTCCCACATTAAGCTGACACGCCACAATATAACTGGAATACTGTTTAAAGAGGTGTTAAACCCAACTCACTCTCACTCGTGATCTATAAGACACATTTGGTTATATTCAATTAGTCCACTGTTTATTTAAGATCAGTAGTTAAGTAGCAACAAAGACAATGACATGTTTGTGAGAGCTGGCATCCTTGTTATCAACTAGAAATAATCAAGCATGTGACTGAGGGCCAAGGTCATTAACCAGGAGAGCATATAATGTTTTGGTTAAGGTAGTTGGTGATGCATACATAATAGATAAGTCACTAAGCATATGAAAACACTTTTCCCAAACCAGCTGCAACATTCAACCAGAAGGGTGTGTGAACTTCTAATTAAGATGGCTAGAGTCCTTTAACTTTCTGGTTTATTCGGGGAATGTTTTTCTCAAACCAGAACTTATGTCATTGGAGTCGCTCATACCTTCAGGTTTACTGGGAAGGTTCTTCAGTTTGGTCTGAGGTTGTGGTGGGCATGTATTTCGTCAAAACAAAGGTAATGTTATCACACTGGAAAAGCATGGTGGGGCCTTGTAGAAATGAACAGACTTGGTGTCATAATCTAAGTTCCTTTCAAAGACGGCTGCTTAGTCACTTAACACTAGGGAAAAAGTTTCCAGTTGTATGACAGCGGTCTGTAAATAATCGACTCTGAACCAGACAATCAAGTGATTGACATCATGAGCATCGATCTATGCAATTGGGATATGATGACATGCAAATCCCATCAGTCGCCTCTTACGACAAGCATAGTCACCTTTCATGGCAAGAAGCATCATTACTTGTACTGTTGCTCATACCATCAACCACTGGTTTGTCTGGTGGTGTTTTGAACCATCACTACTCAGCACACAGCATTACTTGTACTGTTACTGATACTATCAGCCTATGGTTTATCTGGTGGTGTTCATCTTCCCGAGGCAAGAGAGTTAACAGACTTTAAAAGTCCAGTTTCCACCCTTGCCGAACTAGGCTGGAATTACTGGGTTTGATCTTAGAGCCAGTTATTACCAGTTATGTCCCTTCTAAGCTTGTCCTATGGAACAATCAGATTCCACCTCTGGTATCACTTGCGTTTGCTTCATACAAAATGGTGGTGCAGAGTCAGGACGATCTGATCGATAATCAAGATCAATATTGTGATATTACATCGCGAAATGCATCAAATAACGTGAGCACCTTGATTAAAAACATGAACAGATTTGGAAAATATCTGCTGACAACGATTTGGCGGTGCACATGCTTTGCAAATCCTGCACTCGACCGAAATCTGCATGACATTTCATGAACCGGATTTCGATTGCGATGCGTGATTGTGATTGGACTATATGCATAGACTCGTTAGTCCAGCCAAAATGTAACTCCATAATACCAGCCTATTACTTGTACTGTTGCTCATACCATCAACCACTGGTTTGTCTGGTGGTGTTGTGAACCATCACTACTCAGCTCAAAACACCATTACTTGTACTGTTGCTCATACCATCAACCACTGGTTTATCTGGTGGTGTTGTGAACCATCACTACTCAGCTCAAAACATTTCTTGTACTGTTGCTTATACCATCAACCACTGGTTTATCTGATGGTGTTGTGAACCATCACTACTCAGCTCAAAACACCATTACTTGTACTGTTGCTTTTACCATCAACCACTGGTTTATCTGGTGGTGTTGTGAACCATCACTACTCAGCCCAAAACACCATTACTTGTACTGTTGCTCATACCATCAACCACTGGTTTGTCTGGTGGTGATGTGAACCATCACTACTCAGCTCAAAACATCATTACTTGTACTGTTGCTCATACCATCAACCATTGGTTTATCTGGTGGTGTTGTGAACCATCACTACTCAGCTCAAAACATTACTTGTACTGTTGCTCATACCATCAACTACTGGTTTGTCTGGTGGTGTTGTGAACCATCACTACTCAGCACAAAACATCATGACTTGTACTGTTGCTCATACCATCAGCCACTGGTTTCGTTGTGTCATGAACCGTCAAAACTCAGCACACAGCATCATTACTTATACTGTTGCTCATACCATCAACCATTGGTTTGTCTGATGGTGTAATGAACCATCAAAGCTCGGCATACTAAATCAAAGAAAAACAAATCTTGAAGGTTACATACATCATGTTTATTTTTTAAGTGATGATTTTTGCTAACTACATGAAAATGGAAAAAAGCACAGTAAATATCTGATCAATGCCTTCAGTATTCTGATTCAATTCATAGCCAATAAATGTAATAATCCATGTGAATGTGAATGAAACCAAGCCTCAATAATAACTGGTGACTGAATTGTGTATAGAATAAACTAGGTGACAGAATGAAAGTGAAAGGAAACATAGAACACTACAATCATTGGATGTTCACTACATTCAGAGATACTTACATGAACTTTAAGCAATACTAGTAAATAACCCCAAAGTATACTTCTGCTAATTTCTACAACAAGGAAACAAGTCAATATAGAAGCACACCTTTCCAGGACGTTGTAAAATAATCATAAAATCATTCCAGACCAATTTTCTCTTTTGTACATTTAATTAATCAGTCTAATTTGAAGCAAGATTGCCTCCTTCAGTTTACTGACGATTTTCGTAAGTGTTACGAATATGGAGGCGATAGTGATTCCCATGGAGACGACAGTGCCCTCCATCCCTCACCGAGATACGATACAAGACACATATGTTATGTTACAGTAAGACAGATAGAAGCTACTAGGATGATTCTATTCTCATCGTTTCCGATGTCCTGGACTCGGGGACGATGTTCGCGTTGAGCTGCGTGATGGCATCACCTCTTCATCATCAGAGTCCTGAAATCAAACAAGTTGCTGACACTGAGAACTTGATCCTTACCATCTCCAGTGATAGTATTTTAGAACCTTAGGGCTAAATACCTCATAAGATATATACAGAAGATCTCTGGTGACAACTTCTGAAAACACTTGACCATGCACTCTGACGTGACTATAGGTGATCTGTATTTAGTCATAGGGGTCGAGCCTACTGCCTCACCCGCTGTGTCTAAAAAAAGTAACAGTTTCTGACAATGACTGAGGCAGTAAGCTTGACCACTTCATGTTTTCAGAATCATAGCTCTTATAAAATCTCTCATCTCCAAAGTAAAGGATTGACTGTATTCATGTTGGAGAACATGGAGGTATATAATTCCGCCTGGTGTCACACTAAAAATTAACGTCGTCCAATTTACAATGTAATGAATTGCGAGCACATGTTCAAATCTCCAGAAATGACATCATGGTAGAACATTACTTTCGAGAAATAAACCAAGCTTTGTTCATTGCTATCTAATATAGGTGAGTTGAAATGGGGTCGCATTCAAGATTATTGCACTTATATAGTGATGTGCATGCATGTTTGTGAATGGCTGCTTGTACTAGTCCGGACTAATGCCAATTTTTTAGTGCGAGCCCACTGAGATACCATACTGCAGCTTAACATGTATACCCCAATCAGACACAGTATACTTTTTTAGTTTTAGCCTCTTAATGCCGAGCGCCAGGCATGGTAACAAGTGCCATCTTTTAACATCTTTTGGTATGAGTGAGTGAGTGAGTATGGTTTTATGCCGTTTTTAGCAATATTCCAACTACATCATGGCGGGGGACACCAGAAATGGGCTTCACACATTGTACCCATGTCGGGATTCGAACCCGGGTCCTCGGCGTGACGAGTGAACGCTTTAACCACTGGGCTACCCGACCACCCCTCTTTTGGTTTGATGTGCCCAGGGATCGAACCCAGACCTTCCGCTCTCTTGGCAGACGCTCTACCACTAGACCACAGAGGCGGTCTCCAAGCAGACGCTCTAACACTAAACCACGGAGGTGATCCTATCTTACATATGACAATAATCAGGGGTATTTCCCTTCCCTTCCCTTACAATTTCTAAGCAATCTGTTGAATGTTTCAGGTCTTGTCATGTGAAATAATGCAGGGATTTGTGACGGTTCAAGTACTTGTGAAATTATGGCAATACTATTACAATGGTCTTTTTAACTATCTACTTGTGACTATCGAGAGTCACCTCTACCAGAGTTCATCCATACTTCATGCCCAATGTCACCACAGAGTACCTATTTCTTTCTAAGCCCCAATAGTTATGAGTGATCTCATTCAAACTTCAACAAAACCTCCCAACAAACATAATCATGATAACAGTTTCAATTCCTGCAAAAATTTTTTTACATAGAATATGAAGAAAGATACATACACTATCTTCCGATTCATCATCACTGATGATGGGCTTAGCCTTTGCCTTCCTCGGTTTGGGCCCTCGTTGCTTGCTACTTGATGGAGTCTGTAACAATAACACACTCTTAGGATATCGTATAGCTTTCCAATGATTCACAACACTGCATCCAAATTCACAAAAACTTTCCTTCAAAATTGTTGAAAAGGCTACTCACAAACTGAAATGTTAAACCAACCTTTTTGCTTTCTTTGGACAGTTTATGTTTCTTCACATGCTGACCTGAAAAAAAACAAACACATTTGGAGTTAACATCTGTAGGAAGTCCTCATCAATTCATATAATACTTACGAAAAGGAACAAATTAAATAAAACTTTGTTTCAAGAATGATGCTTACAATAGATACCAATCTTTGCATAAATAACATTCATCTAACTCTCAGTGAGAGTGGATAGTTTTACTTCACTATTACCTATATTGCATAATAGAACTCAGGTCTTCACAGTGACAAGTGTGACAAACCACTAAAGTATCGAATACAAAATTCTACAAAATCTAAAACTTACACAGTGTGTGTACTTGGATATAGATAACATAGTCAACCTCTGTGACCGACCTACAAGTTTGTACAGAAGCAATCAGTCTACTTACTGTCATCATCATCAGCGTCATCGTCTTGGTCGTCTTTGTCATCGATGTCCTCCTCCTCCTCACTTGCTCCGCTCTCATCCGAGGACACCATGCCCTCCTTCTCCAACCTCTCTCTAGCACTTGTAAATACTGACTGTAGCACGATGGAGTCCTCATAGATCTGGCAAAAAAAAAATGTGGTTTGTGACAGTAGCAACTAGTTTCCAATAAATTATTCTGTGAGCATAACATAACTGTTTTGAAAAGTATTTCAGTTATTTTACAGTGTCACTAGTTTGGTGACAGAAACATACCCAGGGCTAACTCAGATTCGAATGAATGATGATAGGTTTTTGGCATGCCTGAGGGCTGAGGGATGCACACCGAGGGGAGGGGAGGGGAGGGGAGGGGAGGAAACTGTTTACCACTTATAAAATGAGCACAGGAACAACATTTACAAATTAGAGATTGTTATTGTGGCAAATCTGCAACTCAAACCCATGGCAAGCAGATCCTGGCTTTTTCAAGGGACATTATTCTGTATTGAGTTATAGTAATCTCTACTTATGTGCCACCATGCTCCATCAAATACCCAAGAGTTTTCTCTCTACTTACCACTGATCCCTCCACATTGTAAGCCTGGGCATTTTTACACAACAACATGACATCATTCTCTAAGTCATCTATACTGCGGTACTTGTGGTCGACGATGCGTTGCTGCAACAAGCCATGGAAACATTCAGTGAATAACAACTCATAATAACAGTTGATATTGTCATTTCTTTAAGCCCAATGCTCAATCAGCGATTTCATGGGGTATTTCTATATATGACAACTTTGGAATATTAATTACGAATAAACTCATATTTATTCCACCTACCTTAATCTTTCTGAAATCGACAGCTTTCCTGATAATTTCGTAGTATTCAGGGAGCTCCTTCTTTGATGGCAGCTGCATGAACATACTGCTCAATACTCGGCCATCACTGAAACAGGTGAAAAACACTTAAACATCAACAACATGATTGATCACGCACATGCCATATTCAGGGTCTTCAATCAATCAAATCAGTACTTTTAGGCCCCAGACCTCCTTGGTGTAGAGAATAGATGCAGAAAAAGAATACACTGCGTTCCGAGGGACACACAATAATATTCATTTTACCTACAGCGCATCAAGAGCAGTGATGCTTTTTTGTCTGTCATTTCATCCATCAATCATGACCACAGTCCACATGATCATTGATTCATTCCAGGCTTTCAAGCATTTTTCAAATTGTACAGTACACTGCAGGGGTCCGGAAACCGTCATATGCGCCGGACATGTCCGATTGGGAATCTCAAATGTCTGTTTTAAAATATTGCTTACCGGACATTTTAAAAAGTATTGTCCGGACATTCTTAAATTTTGACCGGACATGATCAACAGTTAGGACTGATTCTGTCTGCAGTTGCAACACAATGAAGATTAACTACACTGACAAGCTTTGTTTGTTTTGATTGCTGTAAATACATCGTACCTACATGATAGTCCAATCTGTCAATCACTGTAATAGGCAATAAACTGAGTTGACACTGAGTAATCGAGGATTAATTACTGAGAACATCTTGTTAATTTGAGTGAAAGGTGTTTACAACTGTACATTAATACCTTGCATCATCGATGTACCTCATTATCCTCACAATGCTACGATACGTAACCTCAGACAAGAAGCGAAAGCGTGACGACAGCCAGTCGACCGATTCAGATCAGTCGGGCGGATCTGCCAAACAATGAGGATTTGCAGATTTTATTGTTTTCAGTAGCTAGTCGTATATTGAATCTTGATTGACCGCCATTTTGCTTTCTCGGACGATCGATATTCAATTTTTTTATGGTCAATAATTAAGTACAGATGAAAAAAGTATTCAAATAACTATTGCTATCAACGATATTTTAGTATTTGTGATTAAAATATCTGTCTTGTTTTTAAAAAAATATTTAAAAAAAAAACCTTTTCCCGTGAGGTCACGTGATAACCAAATATGGGATAATAGTCTCGATCCAAATGTTACAACGCGTACACTTGAGCAGACTCATGAATATAACTCATGAATATTAATTAGACCGTTCACTACGTTAACAGATCGTTATTATAACAGAAACAAACGTATTTTTTCCATGTAAATCTAAAATATTATTTGTTATTAATTGTCCGGTAAATTAAACAATTTAAATTGAAACAATTCATAATTCATCATATTATGAATACGTAAACTTGTAATGTGTGTGAAAAGTCGTACTAAAATACGCTATTTGAAGGGGGCGTGGCCTAAATGCAAATGTCCGATTGGGATTTTAAATTTTCCGGACCCCTGGTACACTGTACCATTTCATTACTTTGAAGGACCCTCATATTGCCTTCATGAACCCTTAACATGAATTATTGGGGGAACCAATGGACCCCCACTTCGTAAGTCAAGGTAAAGCCCTGCATTTTAATCATATACTGAAGGAAACATATAATGGACAAAGTGAAATGCTGCTTTCAGTTAAATTTTTATGTGAAAGACAGAGATAGAAATGTTAAGTTCCTTGAACAACTTGATAGTTAAACATCCTCTGTCCATCTTTGGAGTTCATATGGCAAACAATCACTTTCCCATACAATGTCATTAACATCTCTGCATGAAGACCTGACAAATTCTCTATAAGTGAAATTCCTTATAAGCCAGTCTACAAAAGTGCAAAGCTTTCAAAGCAGCATATCCGATGCCTGTCTAAAAAATGAACATAATTGGGCAGTTTCCAATGGACAATAATGAATGTTGCGCGATCTATATTGAGGATACTTTATATCCAATTTTTGTTTCTGCGAACCATGATATCTACACCAAAAGGTGTGTACTACAAACACAGAGGAATTGTACTAGAGGAAAACTAAAATAAATGGAAGAAAGGTGCCAAAAAGGGATTTCACAGAAACAGCCCTACTGGACATAGTATAAATTAGCCAGATCACAACCAAGTTGGCCTTGCAAAACATATACAATGCAGTTGCCATTTGTCCACCCAATACCCATTTCTCTCATGACAAGCATACCACAGGCCTAAGAATCCCCATGACATAATGATATAACTAATGAAACAGCCTCAAATCTGTGCATCTTCTTTACAAAAGCGTAGACCATGCCACCCACCTGTCCTTGTAGTTTATCACAACATCAAGTATTTTCTTCATCCTCTTTGTCAGTTTTGGTGGGTTTGGGGTCATTTTCTCTACTGGAGGTCGACCTCGCCTCTTCTTAATTTTTGGCGTTTGCTCCATATCATCATCCACTGGCTTCCTCTTACGACCTTTCTTGGTGACTCGCTTCTTGTCTTCCACTTCATCCAGGTTCCCATCTTCAATAGCCTGAAGGAGACAACAGTCCATGTTCCAAAAATTTATCTTAATGATTGCAGAAATTGTGTCTTATGATAAAAAAATTCTATTACATTTGGACCACAGTACTGCATAAGTTAATATGGGTGCTGGAGTCCTAGGGGTCGCTGAGGTGAGGTGAAATGGGGTTTAACGTTGCATTCAAGAATATTGCACTTATATAGGGACTTGTGTGAGTGTGTTAGTGTGTTAGTGTGTTAGTGTGTGTGACTGCTTGTAAAAGTCTGGACTAATGCCAATTATTTTGTGCTAGTCCACTGAGATACCATGCCACAGTTTAACATGTACCCCCCCCACACACACAGTATACTGACTCCGAGCCGACCAGATCTTGCCTGAGCCTCTTAATGCCAAGTGCCTGGCAGGTTAACAAGAAGTACCATCTTTTGGTATGACGCGGCCAGGAATTGAACACCCAACTTTCCGCTCTCCGGGCAAGATGCTCTTCCACTAGACCACGAAAGCGGTCTAGGGGCCCTTGAAGGTTTTGTGTTTAGTCTTTGAAACAAGAACACAACAATTCTTATTCTCAGCATAAGGGTTATGATAAGAACCTATTGACTCAATACACTGAAAGAGGATTGTATGTGTGACAGTGTATACAACAATTTTTCTTAATGAGTGAATGTAATATTACGCCACAGTCACATCACAACAGAGAACTTCTAGATATCCCTAATTTCATACAGGCAGATGTATGACATCTTACCCGAAGCCACTGCTTCTCTGTGAGCTGATCTGAATAGTCAACCTCCTTCCTCTGGCGAGACCCACGGCCGAAGAGCTTGTCTTCCTCCTCCTCGCACGTCAGTCGGTCAACCTGGAGGCAAGAGCAATCATGACAGTTATCTAAAGCAGCTTTGGAACAGACAACTGCTCTTCCCCTTTTGATCCATTCAAGTACAATTCACTAGTCATGTGACCATCATTGAGCATGGGGAATACAGTACACTTGTTTATAACGAACATGCTTATAATGAACTGACAGATTTAACAAACTTTTTTTTGGTCCTGTCCATTTGCTGTATATATGCTGTTTATATGCTCATAATGAAATACAGTCACAATGAACTAAAATCATAGATCCCTTTGAGTTCGTTATTACCATAGTTTACAGTATCCCCTGACATGGAACCTTCATGTGGTCATGCAACAAAACCATCAGAACTTACCTCTTCCTCATCCTTGGTAATCCAAGATGGCAGTTCATCAATTTCCATCAGTCGTGGCTTCCTCTTCCCTCCATCTCTGGCCTCGTTACGACGTCGCTCAATGTCCATTTTCTGTGAAGATCAAGAAAGTACCATTCTGATGTGACCATTACTTGAAGTTGTGGATAATAGTAGTGATGGAAATATTCTTGGAATAAAGCAGAGACTCTCAATTATGATCAGCTTCTGTACCTACCTGATAGACCTCAAACTCATCCTCGCTTCTGGCCAACATCTGGTTGATGGTCTCATCATCAGGAACCTCATCTTCTTCCTGAATAACAACAAAACAGTTGAAGAGCAAAGGAGGATATATCACTGAATGCTATTTAAACACATCTTACCATTTATTTTATTTGCACAGACCATGAATTTCCTATCACAAACATAAATCTTTATCTTGTTATCCAGTCCCAAACATACCTCACATGTTTATATCAAACCTTTTCTGTGTCAGATTCCAAATTGGTGCCTAAATTTGAATAAAATAGGAAAGAAATTCTTGACCTTACCTCTTCTCCATTTTGTTCATTCATGAGAATCTCGTTCAGGAACTGTTTCCTTTCAAAGCCAGTGGACTTCTGGTCGAACATGCCCGCCTGGATGACCTTCTCATCCACGTTCAGCTTGTAGCGGGCTGCAGCTAGGATGCGCTCCTCCACGCTGTTGACTGACATGAGACGCAGGACACGCACCTCTGCCTTCTGACCGATACGATGAGCTCGATCCTGGGCTTGCAAGTCCTAGCAGGAAACACCATACATTCAGACAAAATACTTTGACCAGAAAGAAAACCTTAAACATGCTGGTGTTCCTTATGATCAAATAAGTACCTGTTATGCACATATCCCCCTGACAACATTACAAACTGTCACATAAGCCACATCTATTTTTACGCGACATTTCAGACAAATCTACCATCTATCACAGCATGACTGAATTGTCTTCAGCAAACATAAAATTATCCTCTCATTTGGAATGTACACTTCCAAAGCCTATTATACTATCAGTACAAAACACTCACCTCGCATCATTTCATTGTCCCATTAACCATCTGTGTAGCACTAACCTAGTCCATTAACCATCTGTGTAGCACTAACCTAGTCCATTAACCATCTGTGTAGCATTAACCTAGTCCATCAACCATCTGTGTAGCACTAATCTTGTCCATTAACCATCTGTGTAGCATTAACCTAGTCCATTAACTATCTGTGTAGCACTAATCTAGTCCATTAACCATCTGTGTAGCACTAATCTTGTCCACTAACCATCTGTCATCTGTGTAGCACTAACCTAGTCCATAATCCAATTCTGTAGCACTAACCTAGTCCACTAACCATCTGTGATCTGTGTAGCACTAACCTAGTCCATTAACCATTTCTGTAGCTCTAACCTAGTCAACTAACCATATGTCATCTGTGTAGCACTAACCATCTGCCACCTGTGTAGCACTAATCTTGTCCATTAACCATCTGTGTAGCATTAACCTAGTCCATTAACCATCTGTGTAGCACTAACCTAGTCCATTAATCATCTGTGTAGCACTAATCTTGTCCACTAACCATCTGTCATCTGTGTAGCACTAACCATCTGTCATCTCTGTAGCACTAACCTAGTCCACTAACCCCTCCAATCTAACACAAGTTCACCCCTCATATCTAACACAAGTTCACCCCTCCAATCTAACACAAGTTCACCCCACCTGATGAGGGTTCCAGTCGGAGTCGAAGATGATGACTGTGTCGGCAGCCTGAAGGTTGAGACCGAGACCTCCAGCCCTGGTACTCAGCAGGAACACGAAGTAGGGGGAGTCCTGTTGGTTGAACAGGTGTAGGAGGTGACCTCGATCCTCAGACTTGGTTGTTCCATCAAGACGCAGGTACCGGAAACCTTAAAGAATTACAGTGTCAAATTGAAACAGAAAGTAATCCGAAGATGGAAAGTCAACATTCATTTCTTCAAAATTACAAAAGTTTGCATCTGTGAGAGAGAGATGAGAGAAGTTTCTGTATGTGTTGAATACTACTTACTTCTGTATACACAGAAGCATCTCTACCCTGTTTAGCTTAGTGCTTAGCTCTAAATGCACTTAACAATGCTTACCTCTGTGTACAAAGCAGTGCTTTGCCTATATATGCCCGTAACAATGCTTACCTCTGTATACAAAGCAGTGTTTGGCTCTGAATGCCCGTAACAATGCTTACCTCTGTATACAAAGCAGTGTTTGGCTCTGATTGCCCGTAACAATGCTTACCTCTGTATACAAAGCAGTGTTTGGCTCTGAATGCCCGTAACAATGCTTACCTCTGTATACAAAGCAGTGTTTGGCTCTGATTGCCCGTAACAATGCTTACCTCTGTATACAAAGCAGTGTTTGGCTCTGATTGCCCGTAACAATGCTTACCTCTGTGTACAAAGCAGTGTTTGGCTCTGAATGCCCGTAACAATGCTTACCTCTGTGTACAAAGCAGTGTTTGGCTCTGAATGCCCGTAACAATGCTTACCTCTGTATACAAAATAGTCCTCCATGATGCTCATCAGAGATGTCATCTGACAGAACAGCAAGACTCGGTGGTTACGTAACTTCAGTTTTGGCAACATTCTGTCCAACAACTCAAACTTTCCAGAAGATCTGTACAGATCAGGGCTGGAAACAGAAACACACATCAACATGAATTCCTAGGGGTGGAGTCAGATAGTTTGTTTGTTTGTTTGTTGTTTAACGCCACACTCAGCAATAGTCCAGCTATATGACAGCGGTCTGTAAATAATCCAGACTGGACCATGAGCAGCGATCCACGCAATTAGGATACGATGACATGCATCAACCAAGTCAGCAAGCCTGACCACCAAATCCCGTTAGTCGCCTCTTACGACAAGCATACTTGCTTGTTAAGGCAAGCATGGGTAGCTGAAGAACTATTCCTATTCTTACCTGGATCTTCACAGTACAAGACACATGCCCAAAAGCTAAGACAAAAACAAACCTGCTTAAAAAAAAAGAATCAATATCTGGCTTTTGTGACTTACCCAGTGACAATTCCGCCCTGTGATCCTGCTGTCTCTGCAAAGGCCTCCTCAATGTGATGAAACATGAATGGATGGTTACAGATCTTTCTCAGCTGCATGATGGTGTTCATCAGAAGCTTGGCTCCTCCCTTGCCCTGGAGACACACAACACTTCATCATTATCATTCTGCTATAGCACGAGTCACAGTACTGTTGGCCTTCCATTTGCAGAGGGTAGCTGAGACTAAACCTGCTTAGAGTGAGTGTGAGTGAGTGAGTTGGGTTTAACACTGCTTTTAACAGTATTCCATTTATATCACGGCGTGTCACCTGAACATGGGAGAACAGCCCGAAGTGATGCAGGTCTCAGACGTTTACCATTTCCGTGAAACCCACGAGCACGGGTATGGTGCTGACAAACCTAGAAACATAACTGGGGTGAACTGGGATTCGAACCCACAATCCTAGGTTTCTTGCGTGCCCAAGGGACACAACTCTGCACAGCGAATCATGGTGCCTTAGACGACTGGGCCCTGTGCCCCCCAAACCTGCTTAGAACAGTGTTTCAGCATTTTCACTGCATGTCAGTTAAATGTGACTGGGATGCCCAATGTGTGCACCTCATGGACAGTAACACCCTAAAGAATGGAGCTGCTCAGACAGGCCAAGATCTTATCTGGGTAATTCTAGGATTTGAACCCTTGACCAGTGGTTCCTGGCAGCACAGTCTGTACATGACTTCTTGCTCTCTCCAGTCAAACATGTCTGTCAGAACACAGCTTGTTGAATCAATACATGTATGTCAAACCATTTCTACTGCTTAACTTAATCTGCAATTCCTGTTAGTTTTATTATATTTACATGAGATGCTGAAGTAAAGGAAACTGAAATTTGCTATTATTGATCTTATTCACATACTACATAGCAACGACGAAACCATCAAAATGTTTGCATTACATGTTGCCCTGTTGTCTTACCTTCTTGTCCTTCTCAGATCCATCTGTGAGCAGGACACCCTTGTGTTGCATGTGTCGGTACAGGAAGCGCTGTAGAGCCGACATCTCACACTTGATCACATACTCAACCTGAAACAGTCATCCAGGTCATACAGGGTCTTATACTGCTTGCAGCAATACTGCAACCATGCTGCACGATGGAGGCACCAGGGAGGTAGGGTGATGAAGACAGGTCCATCAGGTATTAATAAATCAGTCATGGAAATGAAGAGCCTCCTCTTTTCAATGGACATTTATTTCTTCCAAGAATGAATTATCACAGTAATTTATCCCTGTGGTGATTAGAAGACAACTGGAAGTATTACTGGTCACAGGATATCTGACAGGCCATAATATTGTTGTCATCCATGAAAAGAGGAAACTAAGGCGTACATACTGGTGGAGAAAAATTGTTCAACCAGTGCAGAAGTAACAGTTTTGACAAGGTGACTTGGAAGAGTGGTACTATGCCCCACATATCAGTTGACACTTTAGTGTTCAGTATGAGCGCAACGTTTACCTTCTCAGGTAGCTGAGACTCCACCTCCTTCTTCAGCCGTCTCAGTAGGAAGGGTCGAAGCACCTTGTGGAGACGTCGGATGATGAGCAGTGTCTCTTCCTGATTCAACTCAACCTGACCAAACAAAGTCACACGTGTATAAGGGAGCATGTCCAGGCCTTGGGTATAGCAAGTATTTGTGTTATTTTCAAATTACGCTCCGAAGTTGCCAACCGTTCCATCAAAATTAGAAACAACATCATATTGGTGATTGGGGCAGGCAAAGTGTTAGATGCCCATCTCATCTTAAACTTCATTTTGAAAGATGCAAGGAAAATAATGACTAAAGGGGTAATGAGTTAGGGTTAAAGCTGCTCTGTAACATATTTCTGTCATATCACAGTTTGTCAGTAAATAGGTGATGAAAGCCCAAAGTGATGTATGGCTCTGATGTTTACCACTTTGGTGAAACACATGAACATTAGTATAGTGCGTAAAATCATGGATAATGATCAGAGCGAGCAAGGATTTGAAATCCACAAACATAGGATCCTGACATGATGGTCTCCTTGATAGCTTGTCATCTAGGATCCAATACACACCTTCTCTCCTGTCATGGCGAAAGGAGCGTTGAACCACTGCTCAAATGTGGCACAGGATTTGAAGATGGATGGCAAGAGGAAGTTCAGAAGGGCCCACAACTCTGGCAATTTGTTCTGTGGAGACAATAACCAAATACATTTTTTCCATGCAAGAACATTAGTGCAACACAATATCAAGTACAATAGTTTATTAGAATGTACTTGTCCCAGTGCTATCCAGAAAGCAATATTCCACTCCAGCAACTCTATTTTCTACTCCATACATTAATACTCAAGTAAACCATTACAGAAACCAAAATTCTTGTTTTGGCTTGTGGACTAAAATGTTTATGAAACATACGCACAAATACTTCAGGGAAGGACAGAATCTACTTTACCAGTTCGTATCTATATGTATTACAGGGAACCATATATTCTTATGATTCAAAAACTAAAATATCGTCAAACTTGCACCTTATGCTACTGTTTTGGGTTTTCGAATGACATTTACAGGAATCAAACCTATGTTTGAAACCTATAAACTGAAGACACAGTAAATTATCTCTCAACTGAATGTAAACATACAGTAAACTTAGTAAAATCTAAATATTTTTTACATTTGTATACTTATCCTGCATTACTCCTTAATGCATTCACTGCTTACCTTGCGACAAAAAAAAAACTGGGACAGCTAACCGGCGATGGTCCTTGGGTGAATGGCTCTGTTCGTAATCCCACTTTTACATCCCGCTGTCGCTGTCCCTGTGACCTCACGTGACCAAAGGTCAACTCTTCACATCACTGCCTGTCGCCCGAGCTTAAAAAGCCTATTTTTGAGGTTTCTGAAGCCAAAGTGGGGAGGCAAGTCTGCGACGGGTGGGCCTTAAACGTAGTAATGCAGGATAAGTATACAAATGTAAAAAATATTTAGATTTTACTAAATTTTTTACTTATCCTGCATTACTCCTTAATGCATCTGTATCAGACGGTACGGAGGTGGGAAATCCTCACAATACAGAAACCTCAATAATTCACACCCTGACAACATGACACAGATTGGTCAGTAAACCGTTCAGCGGAAAAGTTGAGAGAAAACGCTAATACGGTAGGGTATTACAATGTGGCAAACAATTGCACATTGGAATTAAAGAATAGTTCCCTATACATTTTAGTAATAAAGACAACGAGCTGCTCAGCCAAATCTTTACTTACTATATAATTATAGCCCTGATGACAATAACTTGTCTTCCCCTGGCGAAATCTGATCGATTACACCAAACAGGAAAAGGCTCTGTATAGGGTGCGTACATTATTTGCGTTGAAGGTTGGTAACTTGCTGAGCTACAACCAACGGCCCAAAACTCTGTACACCTTCAATGTCCTCGAGAGTCACATCGCGAAGATAATGACTAGCGAAAACTGTGTCAGACCTCCAAAAACATCCTTCCATGATTCTCTTGATAGTACAATTGCAGTGTAAGGCCATGGTAGAGGCTAATGCCCTGATCTCATGAGGATTATTCGTTCTTGGTGGATCCAAATTGGCGATCGAATAGGCCTGAAGGATGACTGCGCATAACCATAAGGATATGGTGTTGCGACTGACCTCGGTCGTGGATGTAGTAGATACGGGTATAAATAATCGCTTCCTCGAACCACGCCTAGTCTTGGAACGGCGGATGAAAATTCGCAGTGCCCGTACCGGACATAATAGAAGTTCACCCTCATCCTCACTGCCCACAATCGTCGAGATTGGTGGAATGGTGAAGGAACGATCAGGTTGGCCTGGTAATTGATTTTTGGCAATAAAATCCCAGCACAACCCCAGATGTACCGCTCTGTGCGTCCCATGCTCAAAACGAACCCGGGTGATGTCGATTGCATGTAATTCGCTCACCTGTGCCGCTGTGGCTAATGCCAAGAGAAACATTGTTTTCTTGGTGAGGTATTAAAGGAAGATGCATTGAGGGGCTCAAATGGGGGTCCTCGCAAACCTCGAAGTACCACGTTCAGATCCCACACAGGTGGGCGGAACTTAGTCTTCTGATCCTCAAGCCTGAATGAGCGTAATAAGGCCGGTAGTTCCGGGATCTTAGTAATCTTACGATTATCCGGAACGGCCAACACTGAGTTAAGTGCAACCAAGTACGTGGTAATGGTGCTACCTTTCAAGTGTCTCTGGGTACGCAGATGTAGGAGGTATTCAGCTAAAAACTGAGGCGACGCCGTAGTAGGATCTTGACCTTTTGCTTTGCAAAAAGTGTCAAACGATCCCCACTTATCATCATAAAGGCTTCTAGTAGAGGGACGATGAGCTAAGGTTATAGCTTTTGCTGCCCGAGCCGAATAGCCTTTTGCACTTAATGCCTTTTTAAGACGAACCAACCGTGCAGACGAAATTTGTCTGGTGTTGGATGAGGCAATTTGCTGTGAGGGTGGATAAGTAGGTTGGACCACTGTGGAAGGGGTAGTGGATCGTTTCCTGCTAGCTTCCTGAGCTCGACGAACCACCCTCTCGCTGGCCACCAGGGCGCGACCAAAGTCAGAGCAAGTGTTCTTGTCTCTTGGATCTTGTATTACCCTGGGAAGTAGAACTGGTGGCAGAAATGCATACGCATCTGGTAACGGGGAGACATATGTCAAAAGTTGGTGGTTTTGGCAAGTTGCAAACAGGTCGATGTTTGGTTGCCCGAACTTCCGAACCAATAATTGGAATGCTTCTGTGTGAAGTTTCCACTCGGTGGGTGCTACCCTGTCTGGGCGTGATAGAGCATCGGCCAGAATGTTTCGACATCCGGGGATGTGCTGAACTATGAACTGTAGTTGCAGCCGATCCACTAGATGGAAAAACCTGAATGTCTGTTGAAGTAGCGAGTTGGAGTGTGTTGTTCCCTGATTGCGCAGGCACCACACCACAGTGCTGTTGTCTGTGGATATGGAGAGTTGGGTTGATTGTAGTTGATTCTGCCAATGGGATATGGCTAGAATTACGTCTTCCAACTCCAGATTGTTTATGTGCCATTTCCGATGAGCGCTTGACCATAGCCCTGAGACTGTCTGGTCTTGTAGGTGAGCACCCCACCCCTGAAGGGAGGCGTCTGCGAATAGGTGTAGATTCAGGGACAACCCTGATAAAGAGATTCCTCCTAAGACATTCGACTCTATCGTCCACCAACGGAGATAAGGTCTCAAATGCGTTGGTAGCATGATGGCCCTGAGTGGATCCTGACTCCTGATGTAGGGATTCAGGAATTGTTGTATTGGGTGTAACTGTAATCGGCCTCTGTTGGTTAGGTCCTGGGCTGTGGTGAGTAACCCTAGCAACACTTGCCATTGGTGAAGTGTGCGTGGTTGACAAAGAGCAGGTGACAGGAGGCGTAAAATCTTGTGCCATCTGTCCCTGGGGACCGACAGGAGGTTCTGATCTGTTTGAAATAGTCCTCCTATGAACTGGAGTCGAAATGATGGAGTTAACTCCGATTTCGCCTCGTTGACTATCCAACTCAGTTGATATAGTAGTCTTCTGGTGAATTCCCGGTGGCATACTAACGTCGGTGTGTGTTGATGCAAAGGAGACAGTCGTCTAAGTACGACTGGAACCAAATGTTCCTCAGCTGTAGAAACACAGTAATGGGCTTCATTATTTGTGTAAATAGCCACGGGGCCACTGAAATGCCAAATGGGAGTACTGCCCACTGGTAGTGGACCCCATTGAACTGGAACCTGAGGAATCTGCGATCTTTGGGATGAATTGGTATGTGCAGATATGCATCCTGTAGATCGATACTGATCAAGGAATCGAACACTTTTATGCTGGTTCTGAGTAGTCTCAATGTAATGAGGCGGAAATAGGGTGGACGCTTCAGATAGAGCTCGTTGAAAACAGAGAGATTGTGTATCCTTCTCATCTTGTCTGAGCCCTTCTTGGGTACCAGGAAGATGTGAGAATAAAATCCCGGAGTTAGCGCTGGGGTGTGTATAATCTCTACGGCTCTTTTCTCCATAGTAAGTCTATGTTGGCCTTTAAAAGGACATGTTGCTTTTTGGATAATTCCCCGGAATGGGTGCCGTGGTCAACGGAGGAAAAACCTAGTTGGTAACTGTGGCGTAGAATGTTGAGAACATAATCGTCCCTGAGGATGCTCCAGTTCTTCCAAAACCGATTCAGTCTCCCGCCTACGGGGGTATCAACAATTGGGACGACTGGGGGTAGGAGATCCCAGTCGTGACTGTCTAACATTTCAATGTTTGCCCCTCCTATCACCTCCCTTACTGTGGTATTTACCACGTCGGGATTAATAAGAACCCTGGGGTTTTCCTCTGCCACGCCCTTTGCCACGAAAAGAATCTTGCACCTGTCCTTCCTTAGGCGACTCACGTCTAGGCCTGTCTAGGCCTTGAGTGCTGTTTAATCCCTAGCATAACTGGAAACCTTGGCGTGTGTGTCTGAAATCTGTTCGTTGAACAGAGATGAGGAAGACCAAGGTTGACGTAGCAATCTGCGTTTAAACTCTGAGTCCCAAGATAAGGCTAAATAACCCAATCTCCGAGTGACAGTTATTTCTGCCAAACGCAGCTTTAAGATGATTCCTCATATGGTCAATCTGACGCTGTTGAAAATCAACTATAGTTTGGAGGTGATCTAGTCGGTTAGGATTATCCTCTGACAGATCCTACTCTACCGCCCAAGTAGACGATGCTAATGCTGCTAAAGGTTTTAATACCCTTCGGATTTCTGTTTCAATAAACGCAACTCTGGTATCCTGAACCTTAAGAGTGGTAGGCCTTGACGAGCCTGTCATTCTCTGTATATCCTCATCCAAACTATGTGCCTGGTTTGCTGCCTCAAAGCCATGAATAGGAAATTCATATTTCCTAAACCTGGGAGGTCTGAATGACGGCGTAAGTGTGAGCCTGGAGAAGTCCTCATCCAAAGATCTAATCATATCTGACATCATAGGGTCAATCGGAATCGACGTAGGATGTGTCCAAATAGTATCTTTTTTATCTACCCCACTACCCAGGGAAGGTACTGAAATAAGGCGGTCAGCTACCCAATCAGGTACTTGAGCCAGGCTAAGGTGAGTATTCCATTCGTTCGCGGAATCTCCCTCCTCACCATTAGAACCATCTGATGAATCAGAACGACGTTGATGTGTACGTCTTGATGGTGAACGACTTCTACTCCGATGTGCAATATTACCTCTGACCGAGGGCTTAGATGAACTGCCTGGTGACAAGGAATCATGAGTTGATGTCCAAGTACGGGCAGGTGTACTGGTACTACTCAACGAAGAATGTACTGTATTATGACTCATAATAGGAGTGTTATACACATTAGTCACTGGAGTAGGCGGTAAAATATGTGCCGTAGATGTAGTTGATGCAGGTGTCTGATACATAGGCATAGGCGTAGGCGTAGGCATAGACATAGGCGTAGGCGCAGGATACAGTTGTGTCATAGACTGCTGCCACATTGATTGTAGAAAATTTTGCATCCAATTAGTGTTTGGAATTGAATTTGGCATAGGCGCCTGCGCTGGATACGTTGGTTCAGCGCTAAGCTGATCGTGTGCTGCTTGCGTAATATCATACGCTGATACCCCTGGGGCTGAAGTCATTGTAGAAGCGCTTGGGTAGTAGGGCTTGGCTGCGCTCGGCGCAGGCATATGAGGCGCAATGCTCAATGGAGTAGACTTGAGTCTAGCTTGGCTTGGCGCTACCCCCGACAACGCATCTTGAGACGCTGGCGCACTGTCTGCAGACGTAACAGATGTAGAATTCTCCAAAGACTGCAAATTGGGTGCAATTATAATACGCCCAACATTCTCCGGGAGAGAAGATTCCGGTGGCATGTGCACCTCCGCGGTGACAGTTACGGCCGACCTATTATCCCTCATAGATAAAGGTTGCATCGTAATGATCGAATCCTGTCCCTTGCTCATTCGCGATAGCGATAAAGACATTTTCCTTTTCTCACGACGTGATTGCTACAAAAAAACACATTTAGAATTTGGTGCACAAATTTGTGTACACGACAAACAACGTGGGTGAGGATCTTGAATAGATTTTTTTCCATGACAATTAGTACAACGCGCAAGCATTAGTTACGCAATAATATACTAGAAGAAAACGGGACTGGAATTTACTGCCGTAGATAATTTCTCGGCAAATTTTGGAACGAGTTGAAAGTGTATAAATGCTTGAATATACGCAACTCAATGAACCGCCAAAGCTAGTAGTATTGAAAACAACATATGAAATATGTTATACATACCTAGCCGATAATTGTAAACAATTGACTACCTTTGCCAAGCAAACAATTGTAACACAATTCAAAATGGCGGGGAACAGATAGCACGTGGCAGGAAAAAAAAGACACGTCTTTTTTTCCGCCTCAAAACATCAAATACAACTTCACAACATGTTGAAAGTAATATGAAAAGTATACATCACCCATCGCAGAAGAATTTTAGAATGGTAGACGAATTGGAAGGTCTAAATAAATCCAAAAAAACGAGAGCTCCGCTGGAAACGTCCTAGCTATGTCGCGACAGGCAGTGATGTGAAGAGTTGACCTTTGGTCACGTGAGGTCACAGGGACAGCGACGGCGGGATGTAAAAGTGGGATTACGAACAGAGCCATTCACCCAAGGACCATCGCTGGCTAGCTGTCCCAGGTTTTTTTTGTCGCAAGGTAAGCAGTGAATGCATTAAGGAGTAAAGCAGGATAAGTAAAAAATTACAGTTATAACAAACTCAAAGGGACCACTAATTTTAGTTTGTTATATCAGTTTTCGTTATATGCATTTCGACCGTCAGACATCTTTTATCAAGTCATGTGACATCATCTTACTCAATAAATAACAAAAGTGTGCACTGTTCATATACAGAATATATCCACTTCAATCACTATTGTTACTTGAGGGTGTAACTTGAGGACAAGGTGTCAGTACTTATAAGTAAATCACTTGCCTCCAGTTGTTTATTGATGCTTTGAACAGCCGCGCCTGGCTACACGTTTTGTTAGGCGGATTGGTGACACGTGAGGAACTCAGCTCAGGGATTTAGAGTTTGGTATACACTTAAACATTATCGCTGACAGAGTTCACACGGGGCCACAAGGTGAGTTCGCTATATCTGTTATTTCATTATGAGCATGTTCGTTATATCCATCAACTTTATATGATAAAATATATGGCAAATGGCCGGAACCAAAAGAACAGTTTGTTATATCAGTCAGTTCGTTATAAGTGTGTTTGTTATAAACATAGTTTACTATATTTGATGTTATTAGAAATACTGTGAGTGGGTGAGGCTGACCTGGAGTGGGGTCCCTGTGAGCAGCAGTCTGTGGGGGGCGATGTAGTGGGTGTTCAGGACCTGGGTCAGCTTACAGTGGTGGTTCTTCATACGATGACCTTCATCGATGATCATGTACCTCCAGCGCAACTACAAAGCAAGGAGAGAGTGAGTGTATGCTCAAGACCTAAATACCTAAAAAAATTGAAGCCTTGGCTTTGCACACTAGAAGTTGATACTATGAGCAGCAATCCATGCTGATGGACCAACATAGGTTTGAATGATTCATGCATTGAGAATAACAGAAAGGCCATAATTGAAAACCACCTTTTCGTACATAATCATTTTTCTTGAAATCCTGAAAATTTATAAATTAGAGTATTGAGTAAATAATGTATGTTTCATGAAACTGGAACATACCAATTTACCCAAATTACTACTATATGTATTCCAGCACAATACTGTGGTCTTGTCTCTGCAGTGAATTGATTATCTCCCTTACCTTGGACAGAATGGCCTTGTCCTTGATGATGTACTCATATGTTGTTAGGAGCACATTAAACTTGCCTCCCTTCAATTGTGGGGCAATGTTTCTCCTGACCAGTGGTGATCCCTTGTATGGGATCTTGATAACAGAGGGGGCCCACTTCTCGAACTCTATGATCCAGTTGGACAAAGTTCTGCAAAAAGGATAATGGGATAAAATTGTGAATACAATCATGCTAACAAATACTGTCAAACATGAACAATCAGGATAATCTTCATACTACTTCTTTGAAACATAATGTCTCCAATTGAATTATTGAATCACTGAAAATACTGTCAATATCCGACACAAGGATGAAGGCTTCAAGCAGTGGTATTTCTACAACAATGGCACAAAGATCAACCATTCAAGCAGTGGCATACTTACGACAATGGTACAATGATGAGGAATGGTCCGTTAACTCTCTTTCTTTCCATGAGGTATGTGATAAGACCAATGGTCTGAATGGTCTTTCCTAGACCCATCTCATCAGCAAGGATACCATTCAGGTGATTGTTGTACAGGGAGACGAGCCATTCTAGACCCTTCACCTGTGAAGTGAGTAGGATAAGCTATATTGCAACATGTCACTAGATGACACTTGAGCTCAAATTAACATCCTCTTTCAAGGAGAAAATTTACAGTGCACTTGAACGCCTCCAAAAATAGATCTATGTAGCACATTTCATCCAATGTCACACAGTCTACATTTGTCAAGGGGCCCATGCCACAAACCAATCTTTGAGTAATGATCATTATATGTTTTTAATAAATCATAAGTGTTAAGGCCAGTTGGTATGTTGACATGGCCTTCCATGGAATACGTTTTTGCTGACATTTCACTACCACATTGGACACTGTCAAGACAAGGTACCAAGAAAGAAATTCTCATCTAGTTATCTATGTAGTTTCCATCTTCAAACATTCTTTCTATAATTTAACATAGAAAATCAGGTCAATGCCACCAATCAATAACATGTCAAGATGGTGACAACCTACCTGGTACTCCTTCAATGTTCCATTGACCAAGATGGACGCTTGTTCGAACACCTTCTCTCTGACGGTGTGAGCAACACCATAGTAGTTTTCAAGATTCTTGTACTCATCATCCTCATCCTTAGTAGATGCTTGTCTGAAAGAACATCAGGTCAATGTAAAAACTATCTGCCTCTTGTATTGTAACAATTAAAGTTAAATTCACTTCAAAAGCTCAAACTACAAATGTGACATGTACTGTGGTCAAAGATTGCTTATCAATCGGACAATACTGCTAATATGCAGCAGTACGACCCATACAACTCTACACCCTAGGCAACAGGAACACAGGGGTAAACCTACTGTATAATCTGGTTGGCAGTCTCCTCATCTAGGTTTTCTGGGCTTGTGGCTTTAGTCCCAGGTCTATTCTCAGTCAATATTGAAGGTGGCGGCAGTGGCTCGTCAGCTTCAGACTCCTGAAACATCATAAAAACTCATAATTAACAACAGAAAACACTAAACCTTACTTAGTTATTAATCACTTTGAAATAATAATTGTTAAAAGTAAGTGAGAGAATGTAAGTTTTGTCATAGTCAGTGATATTCTAACACTATGATGGTAGTCTGTACAAAAGAGTCATCAGGAGATGTCATATCCCACGGTCTGGCGCAATTTGGCAATGGAGTTTGGCTACTCATACCCTACTTTTGGTTTATTGCCATTGGATACCTTCACTTTAGTGAAGAAAAACATAATGCTGTTCAGTATTTTTTAACATCCCAAATCATAAAAAGGCACCAGTTCACTACTAGACTGATCTGTGCAGCAAGTTTTGAAAAGAAATATTTAACGGTTATGAGTTATGAAACGGAAAATGGACAGCTGACGGACAGACATGCTGACACTTTTTCAAACCTGGGGGATAAAAAGCGAGTCTTGGCCAGGCAAACCAGTGTTTGGCAGGTGGACCAATGTTCAACAAATATGGAAATGGCTAAACCTAAACCAACCAGGTCTCGCAGGATAATCAATTGTTCGTTAGTTGAATCTTATGACAAGGGATTCGAAGGATCTATTCAGCTCCGTGGGAACTGCCTTGGGTACTAGAGAATATTCTGCCCTGAGTCTCCCTTTCTTCTTGACATCTGGGAGATGAGAAGGTGGCATTTAGCCAGCGTTTTACCAGAAGCAAAATATCTTGTCCAGGACGAATATAAATTGAGAATGGATGCAAATGATTTACATGGCGACCCCTTGTACATGCAAAGGTTTGAATCATCAAAATTAATCCAAATTGTAGATTGTATATTTCATGTAAACATCATTTCTCTTCTTGTAACAGAATACAAGAGTTCAGAGTGTCAGTTGTTCATGTTCTTCAATATGACATTGAAATCCCTGGGTTTTTTTCCATAAGGCTTAAGGCCTCTAAGCAGGCTAAGTGCAGTGAAGCTTGTCACACGTTGCCAGACATGAATCTTGACAGACCCAGTTTATTCCATGCTCACCTCATCTGACTCTTCTTCATCTGAATTTTCATCATCTTCTCCCCCTTCTGTCGGCACCACCTCATAACTGCAATGGAAGAAATATTTTACAAATAACCCTCTTCCTCTACCAAAAAAAGTCAATGAAAATTTATACAGTGATCGCTCGCTATTGTGCTCTTCGATAAAGCGCTACTTCGGTTATTACGCGCGGTAACGCATGGCTCCCAAAATTTATGTACACTTTTAATACTGAGAGTTTTACACAGACATGATTGTATTGTTGTTCGTTGTTTATTTGCACATAACGCTTCTCATTGCATAATCAACGGTTTATCGCTGAATGGAGTTCTAATAATCTGTTTGAAAACATCCGCGGCAGGTCCCGGAAATACGATTGTTCTACTAGTTAACTTTTCACACTATACATCCTTTGATCTTAGAAGCGCATGCATGCAATAAAAGAGAACCACAAGTGAAGTTTATATTCTTAATTAGTGGGCAATCCAATTTAAGGCTAAACTGTCACACACATGTAGTTGCTGTCACAACACGGCGGTCATTCATTACGTAATCGCGCTTTCGTAACATCGCCTGTTTTTTCCCCGTAGTTATAACAAGCGATTTCATTGGATTAAAATTTGTTTCTAATGACGCTTTCTTGCCGAAATCTGCTACAAGTTTCGTGATTGGTCAATTTTGAGCACGTGACCTCAGGCAGCCAATCAAGCTGTGATACAAAGCTCGTGTTTGATAGATTTCAGCGAAAGATTTTTTGTTAAATCGTGTTATTCTGAACGTTTTAAGCAGGAAATCACGATATATATTAAAAATATGGAACTTCGCGAATGTATCGTGCTAGGTTACGAGCTGTGACAAAGATTTTTCATGCATATATTTTTGCATTAAACGTTGTGTCCGAGCCGAGAATTCAAGGCGACGAAAGCCGAGATGTCATTTGACTTACATTACACGCGATCGCACGAAACGATGGAAATAATAACTTAGATGTAAGTTTGATTACTTTTAGATATATTGTTGATTTTATTTATCACTTTGTATAATATATTTAAAGATTTGCTTAAAATAGTCTTTATTTTGCTCTTTGACATGTTCGATACAGACCCGTTGTCGAAATGTGTGTCCGAGAATTTTATTTTCAATAACATCGCGGGAAATAGTGAATAATTTTTTAATTTATTGATAAAAAATGATAAATTAGAATGGTATACGTATTTCAGACATTGTGAAATATGACAGATTTAATAAATGAATGATATTACAGGTAGATCTAGGTCCATAAAAATATATACTATTTTGACGTGACGTGAGATAAACACATAGGCCTATTGATGATTTGAGATTTGCCGAGCGCGCTCCCCCGCCTCGGCCTCGGTTAAACGGCTCATCGCCTATAACGCCCACCAATTATTTGGACCCCATTGGTAGCGCAATAGCGAGCGATCACTGTATACAGTGAAAGTGAAGCATGAATAAAGAAAATTAACTAGATTCCTTTGAAAATATATATATTTACCCTGCGAAAGTATGAACACTATTTTATTAAGGTCATGTCATGGTGAAACAGAGGTTGTAGACACAGCACTCAGGAGAATCCACAAGCATGGTTTTGTGCTGATGCACCAAAGATTGATTTTTTAAGTTGCTGTTACAAATGAAGCTCTTGCAGTGGCCAAATATATATATGGTGGTAAACAGGTGAGGAAAATGCTACTTATTCATTGACTATCAGTTTAGAACAAACAGAGAGTAGTTGAATGGTGATAATTGTTGTAGTCACCCACCTGTAAATCTGGGTCACACAAACCAATAACTGATATTATGAGCAACATTCCATGCCATCAGGTAACAATGACAGGCAATTAACCAAGTTACCAAGAGACATAACCCACTTAGTCTCTTTTCTAAGTTCTGAGCCTCACAAAGAAGGAAATGCATAATATTGAAATGTTTTGTTGTGGACGTCACTCGATGTCATTGAGGCATATCCACAAAAAACTTCTCAACGGAGCAAAGTCAGAAAAGTAAGAAGGGGTCTGTGACCTTAGAAACTAGACAAACTTGAGGAAAGTTCAGTGATAGAATTTACCAGAACACTTGTAGATTTCTCTGGACCCACTCCATCCCGAATACCCAGCTGAAGCCTAAAAAGGTCCACTTACCCAGGGTGCAGTTCTAGCCAAGCGTCAAGTTGACCAGCAGTGGGAGCATCCTCCCCGGTCAACAGTTTCCCAGTAGCCGTCTCCTTGACGGTTGCATGTATCTCACTCATGTTGGAGCTCTCGTCCAGGCCCTGCAACAGGGAGCACCATTACATGCTGCACTTCAAACATGCTCATCACTAGGTTAATCTTCATCTTACAACCATTAGCTTTCCATATTATATTGCAAAATATGAAACATAAATTTTCAGGAATCACTTCCGGAGCATATGCTATCAAAATTCACACTAAAGAGATGACTTAATGGGATTTTTAAGAATCTGGTACTAATTTGGTAACTGTTAACTCAAAATGTTGTAATTATTGAACAACACACGAAGTAACTTCATGCATCACACATTGCATATGACTATATCTAAGAAAGTCACATCTCAAAAAGTCAAATGATCTATATGATAAAATGCAGTAGATTCAAGCATAACAGCTTTGATGTGACTTGCAGCTGCACCGAGGCAAGGATATCAAACAAGCTATATGGCTTTCATATCCTCTTCCTGTGATGATTTCACTTCTACATCTAATTCTAATTTAACGTAAATCTTAGTTTATTTATAACTACCATAGCAAATGAAAACTGAAGCAAATAAAAGTAGTAAATATAATTGTTCAGTAGTAAGAGGCTATAATAAAAAGCATCAACTTTAGGCTGTAGTGAAACCTTGTATGCCTTAAGTCATTGTAGTGTTAGATTTCAGCAATAGAAATATTAGATTAACAACTTGGAAATAGTTCTTTACAGGCTAGGCCGCTCTTATCTCTGATTCTAATGTTGTTGTTTCCTAGAAAACTTATCCTCTTTCATGAAGCCAGTCAATATCAACAAAAACATGATCAAGTAGAAAAACTTGTTCAGAAAATACCCCCAACCTATAAACAAAGTATCACCTATTTTAAAATGAAGATTTCAAAGAAAAACAAAAAATGCTAAAAATATGAAAAATGATATGAAGAAGATTAACAATTGGATTGTTTTTCTAGGTTCAGCAAAAGTCAGGAGATCAGATGTGAGTAAACAAATGATAACGTAGTTGCATTATCCACACCAATTTTGACTTGAAACAGAGTGAATAGCTGGTAAGGTGAACTAGATGAGGTGTGTTAAGTTTTAGAGGAAGCAGAGTGAGCGAATCAGATTCTCCTCTGCATCAGCAGCCACAGTGACATAGAAAGAACATTTGTTGCATTTCCTGCGAAAGACAGGCTTTCCTTCACAACTATAAGATATGTTGGCAGTGAAGAGGAAATCTGTTGAAAAATTAAAACATTTTATAGTCTGATTCTCAGCCTATACAGGAATTTAAGGCGATGATGTAAGAGAGGTAGGGTATTTAAAGCAATTATTACTATTTGTGTAAAGGTGCCACAGGGCACGTTACTTCATCAGAATATCCAGGTTACTTGTGAGAAACTATAGTTATCAGTGGCTCCATACAAAAAACATAACTAAAAGCTAGAAAATATTTATGATTTTCATGTATGCCCTGTGGGCAACGTGACCTGACCATGCCATTGGCATTCTAACAAGGAATTTCAAAACATGCCAATCTACATCCCTGTGAACAGACTGCTGTGACAATATTGTTACATCCCAGCTGGCAAAGCTTGACATGCCATTCAGCTTTTTCTCACAGGTATTTCCAGCTAAGCATTTTCAATATACACATGACATCCGCCATTTCCAAATTCTTCAATCTCCACAAGGTAAGGAACTTGAGAATGTATGAACATCTAAACACAGGGGTAGACAACTACTGGCCATATCTAACTCATCCCCAGCTTATTTTAGACTCATGTTTATGCAAAATTACTTTTGGAAGAAAACAGTTTGTCCCTCTTGATTTTAATTTGTCTTGGGACTTCCTGGCTTGGGCCATGTCTAACACTGTAGTGGATTTTAAATTATCATTTTCCGGTGTCTTAGTAAAGTGAAGTATTCCTGGATATTATAGTGAGTGAGTTGGGTTTAACGCTGCTTTTAACAGTATTCCAGATATATCACGGCATGTCAGCTTAATGTGGGAGGAAAGCCCAAAGTGATGTAGGTCTCAGACGTTAACCACTTCGGTGAAACCCACGAGCACGAGTATGGTGCTGACAAACCTAGAAACATAATCGGGGCGAACCAGGATTTGAACCCACAATCATAGGTGTCTGGCATGCCCAAGGGACGCAACTCTGCACTGCGAATCGCGGCGCCTTAGACGACTGGGCCACCCGTGCCCCCCACCCGGATATTATAAACTTCTTAACATTGTTTCAAGACAGCTGATAACTATGGCTTCTTCGGGGCTTATACCTCATTTGAGTTCATTTTAAAAATTATTTTTGCAAAATGAAAACTTATGCTGAACTGGATTCTCATATGGGTATCATATTTGACTTAACAGGAAGTTTGAGAAACACCCATCTTGAGAAACCACAAACACCAAAGTGAGGTATAAAATGAAACAGAAAGGTTCAGACGCAATCATGTTACTTGTCTGGATGTCACAAGCCTCAAACTACAAATTTCAATCCAGCTTGTTTACCCTATATCCTATTTCCCAGGACTTACGGTAAGTACACTAACACCTACATCCAATATTTACATAGCTATTTAATATCTGCACAATACAACTTTAAATAATACTTAAATAATATATATATTAATAAACAGCATCATTGCTATTTCTACTGAATTCTAGGCAGCCTTTTATCATGAAACATGTCTCATTCATAAGAGTTACATAATTGCAAATACACCCATTAAGTTTTTCATTCATTAAAATCTTGTTCATATTACAGTAAACTACGTTTATGACGAACACGCTTATATACGACATAACAAAATTATTTTTTAGTCCCTACCATTTGTTGTATAAATTGTGTATATATGCTTATAACGAACTACGGTTATTACGAACTAAAATTAGTGGTCCCTTCAAGTTCGTTATAACCGTAGTTTACTGTATATTGTCACCAGACTATGATATTAACGTAGCCATTTGGCAATGACTAGCAGTCACTATTTGAATAAATGGTCACTGGTCACCTTGCTGACAGCATAACAATATAGAGTGGAAGATTTCAAGATGGACAACAACTGATTGATGATCATATGAACACCCAAAACAAGATTTCTGGAGTCACAACCATGCCAGATAAAACATAATATTCATCCACAAATTCCTATCATTCAAAGACATTTCCCAACAATGCTGCATAAGGACAATGAACGATAAAATTGTCCTTTCAAATGCACAACAGTTGCAGTGAAGCATACCACAACTGGATCACAGAAAGTACACACACAAAATGGACTCGATACACAAAATGACACTGCCATACTGCCACAAACATCTCAGCAGAAAAGTCAAATCTATCACTTCCCACACCAGAATAAAGATGGCAATTCAAATTATTTTCTGTAATAAGCAACAGAAAAGGGTTGAGCATAATACTGGTACAATATACACAATTCTGGATTAATGAATAAACTGAGCATGACATAGGTGGAATTAACATAGCAGCTGCTATTCTGGAGCTACGGATTAGTAAAGCATGTAGATACACATCCTCGAATCCTTATGGCGTTTCATCTCCTTCAGTTTCTGATTTCTACTGTATTTCCACTCTACACAATCCATTGATGATTGGGATAAAATACTTTTCAAAAACAGAGTTACAAATAAGCCAGAAAATCTTCACTAACTTCATTTAACATTAGTTTTGAAAAACTCCATCATAACATTGGCATGGCATGTACAATTTGTAAGTCTGACAAATATATTTTCATTGAGTACTTGTCCAGTGGAAAGTGGGTTTACTTGGCCCAAATCATGTTTTTCTTCAATAAGAATTTCACAACCATTACAACTTCAGGAGAAGTGAATTTTTTCAATGTCATATATTTTGATTTGTTGTGCCATATAATTTGGTCCTTTCAACCCCTGTAGACTGTTAATTTAAAAACAGTAATGCATATATGGTCTGTTTTCTGGAGGGAAATAAAGAAGAGACAATACCAAGGTGTCCAGAATTGTAAATACCTTAAAATAGAAAGACTGATCCAAGCAATTTTGACCTCACTGGTTTGGCCACCAATGAGAAAATTCATCAGCCTCTAAATTTTCAAACTGGTCTGTTTCATAATGACATATATTTTGATTCGTCAGAGCAGTAAAAGTTTGAATAAGAATAGCTTGGCCCGAACCATAAGTTAGAACTGATAACCTTTCCCCAGTGGAAACAGTTATACATCAGAGTACGGATATAAAAGAGCCGTGGTAGTTCGAGGATGCTCGATACAATGCTACACTTACCCCTTCCTTAAGGGCATCGCCACTCTGCCCTTCCTGGAAAGTTTTAACCACAAGTCAATAATCAACCAAGGTGCTTCAATGGCACTTACTTTATCTTAGTTTGTAACATGCATCATGTGCTTCTAAGTATACTGAACTCATACTTTTGCTTGTCTATGAGTATTTTTTTTGCAAAGAAACATGGTACTGTCGGTGATGATGAAAACACCATATACCATTTATAATTGTGTAAATTTGGTGTTTCATCAGAATTCATCTCAGATCTGGTTATCAATTCCAGCATAAAATACTTGAGAAACACATACATGTTTCCTAAACCTTGCTTTGCTGGAATTTCTAATTTCAACATCTCTCATCTTACTCTCTGCAAAATCCATATAAACATCAGTAATATTTCTATGAAACTGAACTCAAATTTAGATTTATTATCAGATTATGGAGGAGAAATGTTGAACACCACTTGTGTTTTGTCCTTGCTGACATCTTTACCTTGGGTGTCTTGGGCCTCTTCTTCTTCTTAATCCTGTGCCTCTTCTTCTTGCGGATATCTTCCTTGTGTTCGTGGACCAACTTCATTAGATTGTCGATGTACTCGTCAGTCTGGTGGAGAAGGTAGGCCAAGCGCTTGTCTTTCTTCTGATCAATCAGCTTACGGTAACCTTCTTCATCTTCAGCCTAGGAGAAAGACAGGAAAATTGAAACAAAGTTTACTGTCACACAGTCTGCAATCAATGACAAACCAAACCAGTGGTCAATAGTATGAACAAGTATTGGGTAATAAGTATGGTTTCACACCACTTTTTTTGTTCAAGTAGTAACACAACAAATGAAGAAGGGGCAAAACACTTTGTACCAGTGTTGAGAAGTGAGCCAGGTTATAGCCATGATGAGCAAATCAGAGCTCAAATTAAGGACCTTGATTTAACTCATGTGGACATGAAAAACTAGTTGCACCAGACAAAACCAGGTTGCACCCTGGTCCCATAAATGTATCACAGTTGAATAATAGATGCACAAACTAGTCTAAATATGTAAAATCTCCGATCTCTGATGACTGTGTCATGTTTCGTGAATTCCAGATAACACAGCAATTAGTGATGTGGTGTGGTATAAATAAAGCTTAGAGGTATTGAGGGTGTTTAAGGGTGTTCAAGGATAATTGTTATGTGGACAAGTAAAGGTTAGTCAGACACAAATTTAAAAAGAAAATTTACATGCACCAAAAATACTTCAATACTCGGTTGCACTGGTGCTTGTTTTACATAGCTAAATCAAGCCCTGTAAACCCATTATCCATGTTTAGCCTTTCATGGGGTATACCATACTCCTCAGCCGTTGAGATTTATTCATAGACTAATGAAAGGCATCAGGATTTATACACTTACTCAAGTAAAGTGTTGGATATGTCATTATAGCAATTCTCATCATCAACTGACCATGAGACGTCTCATACGCTCTTTCTCTATTCTCTCCTGCTCCTTCTTCTGCTCCCGCTCGGTGTTTGCGTGGTACGTCATCACAGCCTTGTTCAACTTGCTGATCTTGGCCGTCACATTCCTGTGGAACTCCTTGAAGTCCTTGGCATGTTGTAGCACAGCATTCAGATATTCCTGAAAACAATATAGATGCATCATCAGTATCAACCCAGTGAGAAGGACACACACCTCCATTTACCTGCTGGTTTATCTGCCTTAACACCAACACATACCCATTTAGAAAACCTTTACTCAAAACTAGTTTAAGAAAACTACTCCACCCTAATGAAGTAGTCATTAAAGGTTTCACACTGTCAGCACTTGAAACACGAACATTTCTTTATCAAGTGAGTACAACAGATTTCATTGTGTTACGTCGCCTGGAAAAAGGTAAGAAACATTCTTAAAAAGTTTTGTCTTAAAATCAGTCCTAAGAAAAATGGCAATTCATGATTGTTGCTTTTCATATCTGAAACACACAGGTCAAACTATATGATCTACACAGCTGAATTATCATCAAGTCATCTGGACTTGTTCTTCTCCTACCTGATGTTTCTGCCTCTTCTTCCTCTCCTGTTCCACCTTCTGTTGTTTCTCAAGCTTCTCAGTTATACGGGCTTCTCTCAGTGACTGTCGCTTGCTGCGCTTGTACGCCTTGGTGTTGAGAGCCGTTTCTAGAGTGGTGTCGCGTCTCATGCATGACACAACATCAGTTCTCAGCTGTGAGGCATTCAAACACATATGTAGTGATTGCAACAAACAACTGACAGCAAATGACAGTACAGTCAAGTCCCGTTAATCTCACATGTTTAAACAATAAAAAAGTTCACAAAAATAAATAAATCTCACATGCTTAGTTGCATATGATTATGTCAGATTAACAAGTATGTCAGATAAACAAAATTACGTAGTATCAACATTCGTGATTGAAAATCGGACAACTACACAATAGATAACGATACAAACAGGTAACACAGAACTACTGTTAAGGGCTGTATAACTGATTCAAAATTCTTTTGAAAGCATAGTCTGGAATGGTAGTTGCCAGTTTCAAACTCAGACTGCAAAGCTCAAGAAAGCAGCTTTTTCAGTGGTCAATGTCCACTTCCTGTTAAGTCATTTAATTGGTCTGTCAAAGTTCGCAAAAGGTCGTTCTGACATGACCTGAAATGGGATGTCGTCAGTGGTAGCGAGAACTTGTATCTGAATTTAATGAGATTGAGGTAATCCAAGCATGTGATTAATCCTGTTTTGTTTATTTAAAGCATTAAATGTTCATTGCGCAAGTCTATCTCTGCACCCTTTGTAATATGCAGCCAATGGCTGACTTCTCTGGATATAAAACAATGCGTAGAAGAACAAAAAATACCATTTAAACGGTAAATCAACAAATCTGGTGATTTTTTATCTGACCAAGTTTCCTATCACCTGTTTGTTTACCGGAATTCACTGTAGGGGTATGGCATAATTCTTTTCTGCACATAATATTCGAATTTTCTTTTCTTCCAAAATACTGAATCCGCAAGAGGGAGTTGCGCATTATACTTGGGTGTGCATTGTACTTAAGTGCGCACTATACTCAAGAAAATACAGTAGCTGGTCTTACAAGAATGAACAGAATTTGACTTGGGCTTTGGACAAGTGGTTAAATGTCAGACTAAAGTAATATGGATTTACGTCGTACAGAACACTTTTTCAGTAATGTCAATACATGGCTAAATGGGAAAGTGATGCAGGTGATAGATGTTTCCCACTTTGCAGAAAACATTACGGGCATGGAACTGACAGATCACAAAGCATATCTGAACCCAACACCTGCAGATTGCAGCAGCTAAGGGACAGCAACGAGATCTCAGACCACTGGTCTGTCAATAGCCCTCATGCAACAAAGTGCACTGACTTATCTTGACAAGTATCTTCAGACAATCAATTCCTTGTTTTGGGAGAGCATAACAAATAATGTCAGTATTTGCTACCATTAGCTGCCACAAATTTAATCACTTAATAGTTTTAAACAATACAAAAAGCATGTGCTGAAAATAATACCAGGTTCCCGGGCAAAATATTTTTCTCTTTTCACAGAAATCCCCAAATACACAAGTACCTGTCTTTGGAAGTTGAGCAGTCTGAGAGCCCGGAGCTCTATCATGGCCTTGCATCTCATGTCTTCAGGCATGGTGGCAGGCATCTTGCTGAGTTCCTGGATCCGAGACCCGATACGAGCAGCAAGTCTAGAGCACAATGAACTTTCACCATCACTTTAACACATTCCCCAATACCGAACAAGGCATGAGACAATTAAGTGTTCTTTATATAGCAATGCACCCTACATTGTCATTTCTAGAATGATAACCTGCAGCAGTTGGACGAAATGTTTCCAAACAAATTAATTTAATATTGTAAACATTATACAACCTTAGAGTGAGTGAGTTGGGTTTAACGCCGCTTTTAACAGTATTCCAGTCATATCGCGGCGTGTCAGCTTAATGTGGGTGGAAAGCCCGAGGTGATGCAGACATTTACCACTTCGGTGAAACCCACGAGCATGGGTATGGTGCTGACAAACCTAAAAACATAATTGGGACGAACCGGGATTCGAACCCACAATCATAGGCTTCTGGCGTGCCCAAGGGACGCAACTCTGCACAGCGAATCACGGCACCTTAGACGACTGGGCCACCCGTGCCCCCTACAGCCTTAGAACAAATATTTAACATGCTAACATGCTGGTATGGTTACAATGTCTATAACATCAGTGTTCGAAATAAAGGGGGGGCCGTGAAGTCCTCAAGGCTTTTTCCCCCCCATAGTATTTGAATCTAGTGTCCTCCTAACTCTTTAGCTTTTAACATTAGGTTTGTGACAAGGATCCCTTGACTTTAAAGCTTAACTTAAAAAATGTTTTGAAATAAGCTCTACATTTAGCTCTACATTTAGCTCTCACCTGTTTTCTCTCTCACTCAACATCTCAATAGGATCCAGTCCTTGTGGTTTAGCTACAGGTGCAATACGGTTCTGCTTCTGTTGAAGGGCCATCATGGCTTGCACTGAAGGTGGTGGGGGCTGACTAGGCTGGGTGGGTCTGGGTGTTGAAGCGCCACTATCAGGTGTTGATGTTGGGGGTGGTGCTCCATTAGGCTGGGCAGTGCTTGACATTGCCCTCATCTGCATTTGTTGTGGCTGCTGTGATGGATCAGATGACTGTTGTGACTGCTGCTGCTGCTGTTGCTGCTGTTGTTGTTGTTGCTGCTGCTGATGCTGCATCCTCATCTGCTGCATCTGGTGAGGATCTGCTGTTATAGGAAAGGTATAATAACTATCTACATCCTACACGCCAAGTTATTACTGAAGCAAATATTTTTCAATTTGAGCAACAGCATCGTTTTGTCTACAAGAGTTAAGCCTCTTTATCAACATCAACTCTTAAAAAAAATCATGCAAACAACAGACCATCCTTCCCACATAGCCCACTCCCTAGAACAAGTGTTTCTATCTTTCCAAAAGCCAGCACACCCACCCATTTACAAAGCAAAGGTTTTGCTGTCCAGGACAGTTTACAATATTCTCCGACTGGCTCAGGTTTTTACCTGGTCTAGGAAATGGTCCCAGTGGCCTCTTACCCTCCACAGCTAACCGGAGTGTGTCCGGGATGATCTGGTTGCGAGCTAGTAACTTGTAGGCCATGATCTGTGCTCGCAATTGATGGAGCTGTGCGGAGCTGAAGGCAGTTGGGCGGGGTCCTCCGGGGGGCATCTGACCAGGGGGCATTCCTTGAGGGGCACTTCCTGGAGAAGAACGTTAAATTCACTAGATTAGACTAATGTTAATCATGTATTCTTTCACTTTTAATCTCTAAGACATTGAGATATAAAGACTGAATAGTTACTGCATGGTCTTTTGTTAAACACCACACACAGGAATGTTCCAGCCTGCAAATAAATAAGTCTGGACCAGACAACCCAGTGACAGATACTTTGAGTAACATCCGATGTCAAGGGATACGATGACATCTGCAAAAAGTTATATACAGTCAAAAACCGTTCAATGTGTCAAACTTACGGTTGTCTTGAGGTAAAGGCTTGGTCCCTTTGTATTCTTTCTTTATTCATTTTCAGTTGTGTCAAACCTTCGATAACTCGAAAGTACTTAAAAAGGTCCCTTCAACCTCGACACAACAGTGGTTTGACCATACTATTAACATGATTAATTACTTAATACAAAACTGTAAAGTCAGTGAGTGATTTCCCTAAATGTCCCCATAGTAAACTTTGAATTTGGAACAGAAGTAAATAATTGTGCCTAACTCAATAAAATGCACACTGATCTTTTTTAATTGGAAAGTTAGATTATGTTGTCTAGACTTGAAAAATACCTTTCTCACAAAAAGTTAACATTCGGTCATATATTCATACTTTGAAAGGTTTACAACTGAGGTGTATCACTCATATGTCAAAAAAAGCCTTGATGCCAGATAGAGAGAACCAAGATTTCCTTAACAAGCATTTTAACTTTGAATAAAGAAGCAAATCAGTTCCTACCTTGGATCTTACCTTGCCCTTGATTCCCCTCCATGTTGTGCGGTGGCATGTTTGGTCCCATCCCCATGTTCCCTGAAACAGGTCCCATAGGCCCAGGTCCAGAGTTCATACCAGGGCCAGCCATGGTTGTGTTCATAGCTCCACCACTACCGCTAGTATTGGGTACTGAGGGGCCACCCATGTTGGATGATGGTTGTGACATCGATGTACTACTTGTTGGCACGTTGGGATTGTTCATGTTGGGAGGCATGTTCATGCCTGGTGCCCCCATTGGCCCGTCGTTGGGTCCTCCCATGTTCTGTGAGGCCATATTGCCCGGCATGTTGGGACCAGGACCACCCATTCCTCCGTGGGGCATGCCTCCAGGTCCCTGCATACCTGGAGGACCAGGCATGCCCTGTTGGGGACCTCCTGGCATACCTTGCTGTGGGCCACCATTCATGCCTTGTTGAGATCCTCCATTTATGTTCTGCCCTCCACCCATTCCTTGCTGTGGGCCACCAGGCCCACCCATCCCAGATTGAGATCCACCCATCCCTTGTTGGGAAGCAGTCATTCCTGGTTGTGGGCCACCCATTCCTGGCATTGGACCACCTGACATCCCTGGTGGTCCTCCCATTCCCTGTGGACCTTGGTGCATTCCTGGCATAGGCCCTTGCATTCCTTGTGACTGTGGTCCCATGGTCATTCCATGAGGAGGGGTGCCAGCCATTCCAGGCCCACCTGGTCCCCCTTGCATACCATGTGGTCCAGGCCCGCCTGGCATGTTTTTGGCTCTGTTAGCCATGACCATCAGTTGATCATATCTTGGGTCTCCTTGCATTCCTTTCTCTTCCATCTGGCTGATAGCCTATGAACAACAAAGCATCAACATTACATCATCATGACTGAATATGGCCTATGGAAAATAAGATACAATGTCTTAAGTTACCTATTTACCAGTGAGAAAAAACATTCTGCTTTTCAGAATGGTTATGTTAGCTATCACTACTCCACAGAATGGTTATGTTAGCTATCACTACTCTGCAGAACGGTTATGTTAGCTATCACCACTCTACAAAATGGTAATGTTAGCTGTTACTACGCCACAGAATGGTTATGTTAGCTATCACTACTCTGCAGAATGGTTATGTTAGCTATCACTACTCCACAGAATGGTTATGTTAGCTATCACTACTCTGCAGAATGGTTATGTTAGCTATCACTTCTCTGCAGCATGGTATGTTAGCTATCACTACTCCACAGAATGGTTCCATATATGATGGCCACTCTGCAGAATGTTTACGTTAGTTATCACTACTCTACGGAATGGCTCGGTCAGCGATCACCACTCTGCAGAATGGTTCTGTCTGCAGAAACAATGATATCCCTTCAGGCAGCAGTGAAAATCCTCAAACAAAACATGACTTCAAATCCAATAGAGAGAATCTATAGACACCTACTTCAACAATTTATCATCAAAATTATTACTCCAACATGTCCAAAGGATTAAAAGACAATGCTTTAAAAGTGCTTCTAATTCACACATCAGCTGTACAAAATGGGCACCAAAAAAGTAATAAAAGGAATAGGTTACCATGGTTACCTTCTGTAACATCTGCACATTGTCTTGAGGGTAAGAAGCGCTAGGCCCTGGGGGTGGTGTATTCATCATGTTGCTGTCGTCCCCAGTTGCCATACTGGCTGCCACTCACACGCGTGAGTTACTTCCCTTCCCCTTCCCCAAAGCCTGCAATACAAACAAGTTTAACATCATTCAACCCCTAATATGGTTAGTTGAGTTGGCTAGGACAATGTAGTATTGTACTATTTTGTAGCCATGAAGCAACTATTCATCATGTTCATGTTTTGATGACAAAAGCTGTAATGCATAATACAAGAAATGTACATGACATCTTCAGGATCTACACCTGGAAAAAGGTTGAAGCACCACCTTTCATTTCCATATATCTTCAACATCCATCTTGTGTCTACGTAACATCCTTAATCATTTACAATTATGTTCACCTCACGTACAGATGCATTACAATTCGCAATACTGAGTCACGATATAAATACTTCACCATTTTACCATCTGGCCTGGTTAATAAGAGGTTGCTGCTACAAACCAGTTTGTGTTTCGACTTCAATGATTGGTATGACTTGTTCTTTTGGCATGATGCAATCAGATTAAGCATCATGTTTTGTGATAGACGGGGAGGTAATTCTGGCCTGTGTAGTAATCAAGACAGGTTATAGCCAAACCGTAATTTGTAAATATTACTTTTCCATGGATTCCTTTATGGTCGTGTAACTTGAACTGATACATGCAGGGATTTATCTTTGGCTTCTAATCTAAGCACCCTTGTCAGGCAAACTGGGAAAAGGTATTTTGTTTCAAACATTTGATTTTGTGTTATATAAAAACTGGTCCTGCTATCAGTGAAACACAAGTCCCTTCTTCAAAGCCATAACATCAGCTGAATATTAGGAGTTGTGAAATTTCTAATTCCAATTGGGAATGTTTACTGACATTTGTTGCAGACCTTTGGCCGAATATCAGCCTTTGAGCAGGTCTAAATAAATCCCTGAAATGGGTCAGTGATTTGGGGGGATTCAGGACATTTTCATGATTTTATCAACCTTTGATCGGACATTGTTCCATTCCATTACCAACTTCAAAACAATCTTTAAGACACTTTTGGAGTACATTAATCATGTCCTTGAAAGTGAAACAAACTGACACACATGGGTAAGGTGTACTATCTTGTATCACCAGGTGCTAATCCATAAATCCTTGCTAAATTATTGAATCATGTCGTCCCCAAAACATGTGGAAGGCATTGCATGCTAGGTGGGGCTGTGTGAATGCTGTATGTTATTGACATTTTCATAAATGTCTTTTTCCAAGTATTACAGTGATTTGGAAATCCATGCAACATTAATGATTTCTACCATGACATTTTTGACATACCATACTGAGGTCAAAATCATTCACCTCCTTCATTATCTCTTATTATGACATTCTAAAACTACATATCAAAGCCCACTGAAGACTTGAAGTCGAAGCTATGTTGCAAATTAAGCTACATGAAGAAAGATATTCAATAGGTAATGAAAACATTACTTACTTTTTCACTAATACACATTTTAATCAAACTTGATCTGATGATAATTTTGCATCACAAAAATAAACAAAATTATAAAAACATGCTCATTTGACCATCCAAGTGTAAACAGAAATAAATGTTCTCCAAGGTAAGACTTAATTTTAGTGTATTGAGATGGTAATTAGACACATCAACGTTAGAAATTGACACTAGTCCTGTAGTCCTTACCAAACTGCCCAATAGTAAAGGTATCCTAAGGACTAGTAGAAATTGGCCCATTTTAAGGGTTTTTCTTTGTTGTTATCATTATAAGGACTAGTGGACAAAAACTGTTAGTTTCTAACCATGCGCATAAATTGATAATGAGAAATATTTCTTTGGGGTTCGAAAACCCATAACAAAAGGACATCATGGTTGGATTGCTAAGCATCTTAAGCTGACTACATCAGCCCAAGGAACCAAACAAACACATTTAGTCTTGCGCATCATTGTCATGAATTACCCTGGAAAAGAGAAATAGCAGCATAATATATATATATTTCTGTCAAAGGTGAACTATGAGCAGTAATAATTCAAAGCAATAATATTACCAGGACTACTTTAAACATCATAAACATGATAAAGACTAATTAAGGCCATATTCAAGCCTTGTCAGCTTTACACTGTCATGTCTTAATTAGGACATAAAGGGATATTGATGATCTCATAATGCCAATTATTTTCATGTCAGTCTCATAAGTTGACCATGGTGCTCACATGGTCTGTGGTACTAAAGCATGTTAAGATCTAATCAGCTAATGTAAGATAATATGCTTGATTCATAAAACCGCCTTAAATTTGTCCCACATACAGGAATAGAAAAAGATATCTTCATAAGTAACACATAGTTCCTTACTAAAAGAGTTAATGTTTTCCCATATAACTAGAATGTAAGCCTATCTCACTGAGAAATTGTACCCACGAGACAACATATATTTTGTTATTGACAATTAAAAACAAAAGTAATTAAAAATGTTTATGACAAACTGAAACACAATTCCATAAAACAGTCTTCACGTGATATTAAAACTTCAATGATTATATTTTCTATCATTATAAAACTGTAGATGAAATGTTATTCAACAAAACTAGACTGAGTGGATTCCCACAGAACCCATCTAGGCTATGACTGGGCATAAAAAGAAAATCAATATGAAAGCAGATGAAATACTTACAAGGCATCAACAGAAGGTAGTGGATATGCTACTTGGAAACTTGGTGACTTTAAATTTGTTAATTGGAATGTGTAAAATCGTTTTAGACATGGTCTAATCACAAATTTGATGTTGGATTTTTCCACTCGAGACCTTGGTTAGAACAAAGGCCAAACGGATGAGCAAAACACCACTACCAAGCGAAATAAACAGCCCCTAGATCATAATTTGGTTGGCTTCTTTGAAGAGATGAATTACTAAAGCACCGATATGCCGATACGCGAAACGCCAACGTGCACACTTACCGGTGTAATAAGTCAATAACACTGGCCTTGTGATAAAAGAAGTGTCCCAGATTGCTATTTCCGTGATCAGCTTCAAGCCAGTGCGCACGGAGACTACGCATGCTGGCCCAGAACCGGTGTTGAGTCAATTTGACCCCACAGCATTATTAGGCCTCAAAGGACGCTCGTTTTTGCGAAACAAACTTTTATCATATACACTAAGAGATTTAATTGATTGTAATATCACGCATTTGACACCGACTACGAATCTTAAACAATATCATATTGGTCAAATATAAATGTATTCACGACAATAGCAAACCCTAGAGATTCGAATCACATGGACGTATAATTGTTAACTCACACGCGTAACAAGTTTGAAGATTTGAGGAAGCGTATTTTCCAAATGTAGTTCTCCTAAACATAACCATGAAAGTGAAGGGTATGCAATAGTACGATACTGGCAAGAACATATCAATTTAGACCATTGTATTACAAGAAATTACAAACGGTTTAATGATTATGAACCCGAATAAATGTTTGTCTCTGAACAAGTGCCGCCTTCATAGTAAGGGAAGCAACTGCTCATGAAGTACAATTCGTCGAGCAAAGATTACCTCCCTTTGACTAAAAACCAATCACAAACATGGCGTCATTGACAGCGGGGTCTTTGACTGACTAGAGCATAACATGGAATTTATCTGGTAGGCTCTTATTTTTCAGTTAAGAAGCAACGAAATAAATTGCACATGTATTTCTTTAATGACTGATTTGGCGAGGTTATTACTCTCAAGCTGGACGACTAGGAATTTTTTTCTGTTGTCGTTGGTTCATGTGCAAACTTGCATCGTTTCTTGAAATATTGTTGACAAGTGAACCGAGTTTAAGTATTCACATGGCTAGAGGAAAAGCATGACAAACTGCATCATGATTCTGTTGAAATGATATTCATTGATAGTTCACATCAGAGCAATAGTGACAGTCTTCTACATTGTAATGTGAATCCTATGGTAATTTACTAATTATTTAATGCTTCAAAACAATCAATGTTTAATGGTAAAACTGCGTTAGAATTATTTACTACTAGTCGAGGACTGGTTAAACCCTGATTTTATTAGTATTCAGAGTGTGTAACTAGTCCACCAAATGAGATAACAGATAAAAACACCAGTCACAATAATATTACCAGTTTTAGAAAACCATTGTGGAATCAATTCAGTTTAATTGTCACAGTCTCAGCTGTTGCTAGTCTTGACATATGATAAAGCTTTAAGCGTTAATGTAGCCCACCTGTGCAAGAAGTCAAAGTAAGAACGCTTGTTACCAAATACATGTAGTCAACTAATGTCTCCAGTCATTAGGGACTTGCATCAGCATGATCAATAGCTGGTTAAAGCAACCTCATTAACATTGTAAATCAGATCTACTCCAATACTAGCGATACTATGTGAGAAAACCCCCATAGCAAGTCGCATCATGTGAACCCTGAGCAACTCTTGATCACCCATTCCAAAAGTAGGATGCATGGGTTCTTGAGCCAGTCAGATGTCAATCTCATTAAAATCAGAACTTAGTTCTTATTACTGCTAAACAAAGACCTGAGGACATCCCATTCTGGATCCCGTCAGAACGACCTTTCGCCAACTGTGTCCTACCAATGTAATGACTAACAAGAAGTTGACATTAGCCAATCACAAAGCACCTTTCTCGAGCTTTATGGCACTAGTTTCACACTGGAATCTTCCATTTCAGACTACATTTGAAAAATATGTTGACAAAGTTCTCTATTAAAAATTTGAAAACTGAACAAAAGAACATTCTGGAATGTCTAATATATGGTCGAGATTGTATGACACTATGCAAGGTCTCTTCCGTTCAAATGTTTTCTCACGTTGAAGCAAGAGACAGGCAATGATTTTGAGGGAATCAGTCGTACAGGCTGCACCTGTCATTCGGAATACCCCATGTTGTCCTTTTTTCAAAGTGCATGATTAGAAAACACATTCCAACTGTCACTATCCTGATCTGGTAAGCCATGCTCTGATTGGTCGGTTGAAAGGTCGTTCTGACCTGACCAGTAATGGGATGTCCTCAGATCTTTGTTTGAACGATGTAGAAAACTAATCAATCTTTCTAGTTTCATTTAAGGTTAATTTCCAAGAGAGAAAACTTCATAATATTGGTAGAAAGTATTTAAATATCCCAGAGAAAGTGCTGATATAACACACTCCATAATCAGCTTCGAAAACAAACCTTTTTGGGTTGGCGTGGCTAAAAGCTACTGGCAAAGCGGTTTTCATTGGCTGATATGTTTGCAATGTTTATCCATCTTGTGATTCTTAGCTGCAATATATATACCTTTTCTGCTATTTCTGTTTATCGTACAATAATAACAACTCATTGCATGCATTGTTGAATGTGTGGAACGTCACCTTTGGTCCTTACAATTAACAATCTGTAACAAGCCTTTTGTGACTAGTATCCTGTTTGGGGAAAATAACCACCTGCTGCCCTATATCCCATTCCACACAATGAATGCCTGTCAGGAATTATTCCCTTGAGTAGACAACTGAAGGCATCATCAGTGTTGTTACTAATAAGGCATAAGTTCACGGAAGTTGTGGACACAGTGAAAAAGAGTATGAGCAGACAGAAAAAGACCGTAAAACGATTAAGCATCCAAGGCAGAAGCAGGCAGACAGGGCGCCAGCCAAATTGTAGAAATAGCGCAGCACGTCAAACACCAGAGCCCCTTTGAACCCCAGCGAGGGGAGTTTCATTTTGGGGATTTCGCCTGTCATTTTTTATTGTCTGTTTTGCGCAAATTTCCGTTTTTCAAAATTAATTTTGGTCAAGTGTTTGTGACTAAGTATGCCCTAAAGTATCAAAATCTGCAAAGATGCTAAGTTGAGTTTACTTGCCCTTTAAGCTGGCTTAACATGACAAACAAAAGTTTGTCTATTTATGTTTGCAAGCATATGTTTGTGTTTGTGAACATTGCGAAAACAGTTTGCAAAGTAGTTTGTGAAGTTTGACAAACTCTTAGCTCTTTTTTCACCACTTTTTCATCCAACAGTTTAGTGTTTTCAAAAACGATTTTGATGTGTAAATGTTTGTGAGACATGTTGGTTGCTTACAACCAACCAAAGAGTATGTAGATATAACAGTTTTTTACATTCATCTGCTACAAAATGGCATCAGTATTTGAGAGAAGTGAAGAGGAACTAAGTAACAACAGCAAGTATTTTGAATGAAAACACAAGTTGGCAAACTTATTGGAGTTTGCCAACGTGTATTTGCAAACTTATGTTGCCCAGGGAGATCGCATTTAGTTGCGAATTGCAACCTAGGGAGCAGTTCAAGAGTTAATTAAATGTGGGATGAAAGTTAATTTCTTTTTGGGGTTGGGAGGTTAACATGCCTGCAAGTTGGCCATCTAACAAATGTGACTTGATGGCATGACAACGTGTCATGACAGTTTGGATTGTTTGCCCAAATTATCAATCACTGGATTGATTGGTCCAGACTGGATTATTTAGAGGCCACCATGATATAGCTGGAATACTATTGAGTAAGGTGTTAAACAATGAGCACACACTCATTTCTTGCTTTTCTGACCAATATTTTTTCTACATGTTTCAGTTGTAGTTAAGAAAGAAACTGAAAATGTCTTTTGTGAGGCCAGGACACAAGAAGAAGCGAGTTGTTACTCGAAAAAAGCCAATTTGGGATGTAAGTATGAAGTACAATTATGTTTATTTTAGACATGCCCTTGAAACAAATTAGTGCCTTTGTGTGAAAGAATAACTTTGTCATTTTGAATTGCATTATTCTATAGGCTATTGTGAAATATTGATGGGATTATCATCCCCTCCCACCTCACTACCAAAACAACTCCCTCACATTTTACTGTCCTCTAGTAAGTTCTGATGAAGAAAATATCTGTGTTCCCTTCGTTCTTCACTTAAAGAAATACAGCAAATACATAGTCCTATCAAACAACTAGGGATGATACAGCGATGCACCGGTGCGATGATATGATACATGATACATTTTCTTTTTGTATTGATATGAGACGATACACTTGCTGAAATACATTACTTACTACTTGTTTAATGACACCACCACCCTACCCCCTCCCAGCTTTTTGTCAGTCAGTTATTGCAAAATGTGTTGTAATTAGCATTTCAAGCTCACTACAGAAAAAAACCCACAACAAACATGTGTCTACTTCTAGTTTTTCCTTTTGAACCTGCTTTGAAATAGTTTATAGTCAAGAGGTTTCCACACGATTCAATGTAACTATGCGTATCGTGACCTGTATATCATGTCATTGCTGTATTGTTTCACCCCAACAAAGAACCTGCCTCACATGATATTATTGTCCCCAAGTATCTTCTGATGAAGAAAATATCTGTATTCCCCTCTTTCTTCTTGTGATGAAATACATAAAATACATAGTCCTACCAAACGCTAATACCCTTAAGATTTAAGTGTATTTATTGTCATTATTATCCCCCGCCCAACAAAGTTGGCGAGGGATATAGAAACGGGCTCTGTCCGTCCGTCCGTCACGTTTCGTCTCCGGAGCATAACTCAGAAACCGTTCAATATTTTTTCATGAAACTTTGCAGGTCTGTCAAGTACATGCTGAACTGGTGCCTTTTGCTATTTAGAAATTTTAGAAATATTTATTTTTTACGTTTCCATGGCATCAAGATGGACTTAGATTCTGTGAGGCTAGGGTTCGTTTCCGGAGCATAACTCATATAAACCGTTCAATATTTTTTCATCAAACTTTGCAGGTCTGTCAAGTACATGCTGAACTGGTGCCTTTTTCTATTTAGAAATTTTAGAAATATTTATTTTTTACTTTTCCGTATCAACAAGATGGACTTAGGTTCTGTGAGGCTAGGGTTCGTTTCCGGAGCATAATTCATATAAACCTTTGAATATTTTTTCATCAAACTTTGCAGGTCTGTCAGGTACATGCTGAGCTGGTGCCTTTTGCTATTTAGAAATTTCAGAAATTTTTATTTTTTTACGTTTCCATGGCAACAAGACTTCTTCTTCAAACTCTTCTTTTTTTTACAATTTCCATGACAAGTTCCACCTCAGTTAAAAAAGGTTAGGGTTTGTTTAGATTTAATTATGTCATAAATTCAGCAACAGGGGCAGGGGATATAGCCACGTTAGTTGCAAACTCTTGTTAAGCATTAATTGGGTGCTACATTGTTAACAGTACTGCTTTCCAGAACATTTTTTCTTAATTTTGTTCCTTACATTACTGATATGAAAGCTTTTCTCAGGTTGCATTTTAAGATGAGTTTTGAACATTAGCTATTTCATAGAACAAATACATTGTTGAATATATTTGGAACATTGGGTTTGCTTCGGTATTTGTATCAAGGGACGCCTCTATAATTGTAATGTTTTGAATTTAGGCTCTGAGAAGGAGTACTTGACTTTCATGTTTAATTGTCCGAACACTTTGTTTTGAAGAGTTTTTTGTTTTACAGGACTCACTCAATGATCTGTCAGTCTTCAAGCCATCAGCACAAGAGCTGGTAAGTTTATTTCTCTCAACATACCAATTGTGGGTACATGGAGTAAGCAATGCCATCTTCCTGATCAAAATCACACAACGAACTAGACATCCAGTTCGTAAACTGATTTCCGTCCTGATTTGCAAAGCATGTGCACTGTCAACTGGAGGTCGACATATATTTTCCAAATCTTTTCATGTTTTTAATCAAGGTGTTCAAATGTTTGATGCACTTCGCGAAGTAAGAACCATTTTATTACATCATAGATCTTGATTATTGATCTGATCGTCTTGACTGGGCGCCTCCATTTTGTTTCAAGCAAATGCATGATATTAGTTGTGGATTTTGATTGGCTAATTGGAGGGACATACAAGGGACATAACTCGTAATAGCCACTGCTGGCGCTTCAATTGAGCCACGAAATTCCAGCAAGGGTGGAAACTGGACTTTTGTAGTCGGTAAACTCCCTAGTCTCAGGAAGATGAAGCAATGCTTGCTGAACAAATGTGTTCTATATCTGCCTTCATCATCATCATCACCATCATTCCTTCTTGGCCCATGTGTCTCGATAGTTGTGGGGAGGAATTGGTGGCCCAGTTGTCCAAGGTGTCACGATTCACAGAGTTGTTTCCCTTAGGTGTGCCAGAGCCTCCATTACACTCTCGGTAACATTGCTGCTGTCAGTGCAGAAGTGGCCATTTCAAGAATCTTTTAATTTGCCCTCTGACCCCAAATGTAGTCAAGTTTTTATTTTTGTTTTGCAAATGGACCATCACTGTGAGGAGCTTGTGCCAGAGCCCTAGATTCGACCTGATCATGTGTCCAGGTTTATCAGCACAGTACCATTACTTCTGGGTTTTACTGAAGGGTGAATGTCCAGGATCACAAATTGTTTTCCTCCCACATCAAGCTGACATAGAGAGATAACACTGAAATACTGGTCAAAGTGGTGTTAAACTAAAGTCACTCATAATCAGATGTGTTATAAAACAATAATTAGGCCAAACATACATTCTTCTATGGAACTGAGAGATAGATATCAACCATATTTGGTTGGAAACATTTTCCGTTTGTGAGGATCAAAATTGTACAAATGGTGGGGCTGACCCCTCAAGGGTCTGAGGGGCGGGGCCAAATAGGAGTAATTTTTTTTTTCTTTTATTGTTTTAAGAAAGACGCATGTTACATAAATGGGCTTCCACCCATGGTAGCAGAAAGCCCATGACATAAAGCACAACTTATCAGTACATCTTACTTTGTTTGTTTTTTACAGAAAATAACATACTTCTCACTCACACATTCACTCTAGTTTATATATCATATTGCAGTTTAGGAAAGTACATGGTCTCAAACATTAAAATCTTAAGTACAAAACTAAAATTAAATTGAAAGCTTCTCCTCATTTTCGAAAAGTTGATGATACAGCATCCAAGCACCATAGAATTTCTGTTGAAAAATAGGAGTAATTTGGCGTTATTGTTTTAAACGACTTCTTCTCTGGAACTAAGAGATAGATATCAACAATATATGGTTGGAAGCATTCTCCAGTGGTGAGGATTCTAAATTGTACAAATGGTGGGACTGACCCCTCAAGGGTCTGAGGGGCGGGGCCAAATAGGAGTAATTTGGCATTATTGTTTTAAATGACTTCTTCTCTTGAACTAACAGATAGATGTAAGCAATATATGGTTGGAAGCATTCTCCAATGGTGGGGTTTCAAAATCAAGAAATAGAGGGGCTGAACACCAAAAAGAGTTTATAACTTGGACACAGTTGAGATCCCCACCATATAACCATATGTACAATTGCTGAGTATAATGAGAGGAATGCACATATGATACCAGGATTGGCCCTTATGTTCATCTGTCCGGCACTCCCAAAGGAGTAAGAACCTTGACCACAACATACAAACCGATATTATCCCCACCCTACACCCCCACGTTGTATTTGTTTGTTTGTTTGTTTATTGTTTAACGCCACACTCAGCAATATTCCAGCTATATGATGGCGGTCTGTAAATAATCGAGTCTGGACCAGACAAACCAATGATTGACAACATGAACATTGATACACGCAATTGGGATCGATGACATGCATCAACCAAGTCAGTGAGCCTGACCACCTGATCCCGTAAGTCGCCTCTTATGACAAGCATAGTCGCCTTTTATGGCAAGCATGGGTTACTGAAGACCTGTTCTACCCCGGCTCTTCACGGGCCCCACATTGTATACATTTGTTTGTTATGAAGAGAATAATACATTGATGCCAATAGGATTCACCCTGGGGTGCAGCCTTGCCTCTGGAAACTTAGATTCTGGATCATAACATGGAAACAGTTCAGATCTTTATGCTACATTTGTATCTAGAGAAATACACGATTATGCTGTCAGATTTGCCATCCACCTATTTTAAATGCTGACAGTCAAAATTACAAAATATTTGCAGTATTATATACATGTACAATGCAAATGTATATCTTGTCATGATTGCGTAAATATCCAGGTGAGCGATACAGGACCTATGGGTCTCTTGTTTTTAATATACTGAACCGCAAAAGAAATGTCACCCCATGTAACATTGCATGAAAAGTTGTCATTTAAATATCTGGGTAATATTTGTCAAAGTTTCTAAAATTTAACATTATCTTGTCCAGAAAAATGAAATTTGATGATAAAAAAACAAAACAGATGACAATAAAACTGATCGCCCAAACGCATCACGGCAACGGCCATGGTAACTCGATGCACGTGAGTTCCATGCAAATTGAAATGCACATGCGTTCCCCAATTTCTTGCTTTATAAAAATCCACCCAGATCGGATAACATTCATTCATTATTGAATTGCTACCACATGCCAAGACGATTGACAAGCAGACACCTCCACTGTCACAGGCCACACCGAGGACATGTCATCGCCGTGACTGTCTTCAGTGGGCAACACAGCACCAGCTTTGGCGCCACCCGAAGTGGAGAAGAGTCCTCTTCTCAGATGAGAGCCGTTACTGTATCTCAACAGCAGATGTCAGAGAGAGAGTCTTGCATTGCCGTTGGGAACGTATTCGGATGCTTGTGTTGTTGAGAGAGACTCGTGGAGTGGTCCGAGCATCATGGTGTGGGGTGGAATTGGTCTTGCACAGAGGGTCGGCCCTGTGGTCTTCCAGAACATCAGTCCAGGGAGAGGCAATGGTGTCACAGCAGCTCGGTACATTGATCAAGTCTTGAGACCACCATCCATACCTCATTTGGCACGTTGCAGCAACCAAGAGTTTCAACATGATAACGCCCGTGCCCACACTGCGAGAGCAACAGGAAACTTCCTCCAGCAGAATGGCATCAGAACCATGCAGTGGCCTGTCCTCAGTCCTGATTTAAATCCCATTGAGCACATGTGGGACGAGATTCAAAGACGCCTGAATGACGTCCGACCAATGCCGACAACTGCAGCAGAACTGTGTCAGGCGTTCCTCCGAGTGTGGGCTCAAGTGCCTATGGCCTTCATCAACCGCTTCATCCATTCCATGTATCGATGTTGCACGGCAGTCATCAATGCACATGGCGGACACACAAGATACTGACTTGTGATGCCATTTTCTCAGAGACTAGTGTTGTGTTTCACCTTAAGAACATTTGACACTTTAATTTCAACCTTGATGATCAGTTTTGCCAAGTTTCATCTTTTTAATATGTCTCAAAGTATGTTTACAATGTTTGGACAAATACGGTTTCTCATATATCTATCCATGGGGATGTTTCTTATGCAGTTCAGTATATATATGTGTTTGAATGTTTGTTAAAACCTTTACTTCAAGACTTTATTTTTAGGAAATTAACCACAGATAAGACCTCATAACACGTTTTATGTATTTTATTTTGCCTAGTAATAAGTGGGCAAGACTCACTGATAAGTGAAAGCACATAGTCATCCAGTTCTGATAAACTTTTACAGATTTTAAGACCAGGTGTGGTCAGTGCATGTATGTCAAATTTTCCATATGTACGTGATTTAACTAAATAACACATTGTTGAATACTTTCAATACAATTTCTCAAAGTGAAGCCAATTCTCCACTATATATTTTAGGTAGAACGACATGTCGCCCATAAGTCAAAGAATCACATGACTGTCAAACTAGAGAAAATGAGAAAAGGTGAGTATGTTACTCTCAACTTTCTTAGTGTTCATCTTTCTTGGACTATACTTGTTATGTTCTTGTTTCTCTTCACAGTGTTGCGCAAGCTTTTCATAGCATCAATCATAGGTATGAATATTGGTGGCTTAGAAAGCAATCAGGCACCTAATATGACAATTGTTCAACATGTATTGTTAACCCAAACTTACAACGACTTTCACATAAAGAATGCTTAACATAAGGAACCTCCCATGTCTGGTGTCCCAAGCCATGATATTGCTGGAATATGATGAGTAAAACCACACTCACTCACAATATGGAGCTTCTGTGTATGAGAGCATGTGTCTGACATTCGATTGAGGCCTCTCCAGTCTCTATATACATGCTTCAGGTATATACACAAGTGACAGGTATTCATATATACAAAACATACTGTATATATGCGGGATGTGGTGTACATCTATGATATATTATTCATATCTATGATACAGGTCTTACTTATATATCTATGTAGTGTATGGTCTGAATCTGTTTCTGGTTATATGTATGCACATTTTGTGTTCAGTGTTTATTATAGGGTTGTTTTCTGCAAGTTTATATTTCCATAAGCTACCACTACCGGATAACTGTGTCCTGCTCAGCTGATAATCATCATTGCAGGATTGTGCTGAGCAATGTCACAGATTTTGTATTGTTATCGACAGTTTTTGTGTGTTTATGATGAAATAAGCAGCCTGTGATGTTATTATCATGATTATTGTTGACGTATTTATCTATACAAATACTCCAGTATCTTGACCTCCATGAAGTAGTGTTTTTATTTACAAGCTTGACATAACATTTATGAAGACAACAACTCACTTGACTGCAGAATTACACATTATCTCGACATGTAAATTAAAGTGGTAGGTTGAACGTGTTTCATCCAATTGTCATACACTTCCCTTTGTTTTCCATGACAGTTTGTTCCCATCACAGCTAATGGCACTGTTCCACTTTCAGCCAAACAGAAGAACACAAGCTTGTCCAATGCAGAGGCTCGTCAGATGGCCATTATGAAGGAGGTTCTGTACGACCAGCAGCAGGTGTGTTAATTTGTGACCTTGATAGTAAAGACCACTCCGTAGCCTAGTGGATAGAGTGTCTGCCTACGGATAGTAAGGTCTGTGGTTCAGTCTCCTGACACATCATACTAACTTCCTGTTGCAATATTGAAATGCATTGGTCATGTGTTTTCCCAAACCAGAAGTGGTGTTATTGAACATTTATCATTGTGATTGAATGCATTAAGTCAAGATCAGTTTGTCACCTTATCAGTTGCAGAAAGTTTATAGTAGAGTGAAACCATGTATACCCTGTCCATGATTACTGTAGGAAACATCAATGTAAAGTAAAAGGGACATTATCTGGAAATCTAATCAGACGAATTCACTTGGAAAGGTACTGTCTGCATTAACAATGTTTCACTGTATATAGCCACGAATAGCTGCAAGATTGCTGATGAGGCGTAAACAGTAATCACTCACTCACAATGTATTTTTCAACTTGGCATTTCTTCTTCATTCCAGCACTAGTTTTCAGCCCAGGTTTGTCTTTAGTACCATTGCAAGAGACAATTATAAAACAAATATAGATGCTGTTTTTGTGTCCATCATGGTATGAATTATTCAATGCCTCCACAGCTGAAATATTCTTGTCTGTGGCATAAAACAACATTCACTCATAATTTTTCACAATATATCTATAAATCATTGAAGTGGTATTATTTCAGCTCCATGACACTTTATCAAAGTCTGACAAGATGATGGCAGTTGTGAAAGACCTGTTTGGAGATGACCCTCGGGTATGCTACCTAGGATATTTTAGTTCATGTTAATGTCAACATTTCATGCCTGCAAAATAAATAAGATAAGGATGTTAATTTCTATTGTAAATGACCTTCAAGAGCCAGCTGGGTTGTTGCTCTTTGATGCTCTTCAGATATATGCTGTCTGTCTCTTCTCAACAGAACTATGTAAACCCATTTCTTCCGGTCCTTGCAACCATAATTGTCCAAATTTCCCCGTTACTGATATAGCAGGGTCCATTCAATTTGAAATGTACTTAAATTTTACCCTTTCTCTAACAACGTACTTGAAACATGCTGGATTAACAGAGTATGTGCAGAAAAAGTATTAATACTAACAATCCTTGAAATTTGCAGGAATTGTATTAACACTAGCAATCCTTTATATGTGCAGGCACTGTATTATCAATGCTAGAATTGTAACACTGTTTGAAAAGTGCTGACATTGTATTGATATTCCATGAAATTAACTGGAATTGGAACTGGAACAAACATCTCCTTGAAAGATTTGTGAAATAACTCACTCTAATCTCCTTGTCACTTGGAAAAAGTGTCAGGTGACTTTTATTGAAACTTGAAGCTCTTAAATTGTTGAATTGATTCTGTTGAAGTGGAAATGGATTCATCTGAACCTTAGATGACTAATTGGAATATTCTTGGATGATTTAAAAAGTCCTTGAAAAGTGATTGAATTGTGACCCTAAAGATCTGTATGAACCCTGTAAAGTGATACTGAAAAACAGGGGGAAACAGCTACCGGTATAAACTAAGTTGCAATTCACCAGCAGGGGACATTTTATTTAGGCCAGGCTTTTTTTAAACACATCCGAGGGTTGTTATGTAAAACCCGCATCCCGAGGGATTTTTCCGAGGCAAAGGGTTTTAAATATCATAACAACCCGAGGGGAAGTGTTTTATCTTACTTATAAACCGATTTTGAACCTTAAAACAACATTTATCAACATTTTTATGTTTCGAACATACTTTCCATGAACCTTAGGAAAAGGGCGTAAAATATTTGTTGCTGGCATACAGATCTTGAAAAGGACATTCTAAAAAGCAGTGAGGCTTATCCATACCTCTGTAGCCTTGTGGTACACTCACTGGGCTACAGATATGAAGGTTGCGAGTTCGATCCTCGGGAATATAAAGATAATATTTGTCATTTGATTTTAGGGGGCACGGGTGGCCCAGTCAGCTAATGCGCCGCGATTCGCTGTGCAGAGTTGCGTCCCTTGGGCACGCCAGAAACTTATGATTGTGGGTTCGAATCCCGGTTCGCCCCGATTATGTTTCTAGGTTTGTCAGCACCATACCCGTGCTCGTGGGTTTCACCGAAGTGGTAAAGGTCTGAGACCTGCATCACTTCGGGCTCTCCTCCCACATTAAGCTGATACGCCGTGATATAACTGGAATACTGTTGAAAAGCGGCGTAAAACCCAACTCACTCACTCACTCACTCATTTGATTTTACATTTCATTACATGTTACAATCTGAACAGAAGTTATATAAATAAAATACCCAGGACATTATATAAAATCCCTGGGATATTATATGACACATTATATAGCAAATATGACTTGAATATCCTTTAAAATCCTGGGGATGTTATATAAAATCCAAGGGACATTATAACGTCCCTGTTTATGAGATTTAACCCGACTGGAGAACAATAGGGTGACGTCACTGGAGGTTTTTTATTTTAGGATTACAGATTTTTCAGCCCAAAGTCCAGGGTCGGAGGAAGGGGAAAAATAAAAAAGCTAGATGCATTTTTTTTAATGCAGAATGCCTCTGGCATACTTTATGAACATATTCTGTGCTCAAAAGACAACCATTTGTGACGATAAAGCCCCTTGTAACAATTAAAATTCTACCACTTACAACACGGACAATTGTCAAGGGAGGCTATTCATGTTCGGCTTCGAGATCAACAAAGATCAATTATGTATCAGTTTACTAGTTTACAACGTAAAATTCATATGCTTTTTACTAAAAGGTGATGATAACAAATAAAATAATTGACTACGCGGCTATCGGGGGGGAAAAAAATGGAAATCTGATTGATTTTTTTTACATTTCCTAAAAAAAATGAGTTGGCAAGGTCCGTAATCCGAAAAATATAAAACACCTGACCTTAGGATCATGGTGTAATGATTGTGTATGTTTTGTGTTGTTTATTTCAGAGATTCCTGGGTATCCCCAATGTAACGTCAGTGCCTGGCCAGGAGGGGACACACACAAGGTCAGGAGACTACCCACATTGGGTGGGAATATCATAGAATAGGATTAAACCCTAATATCATTCAGGAGTCTGTTTGGAGGCATAGGTGGACTAGTCAGAATGCACTGCTTTTTGCTGTGAAGAGTTGCATCCCTTAGCAATGACAGGATCCATTATTTGTGATAGGTTAACACACGCAAAGAGGGCACGGGTGGCTAAATGGACCAAGGGGCTGCAATTTGTTTTGATGATTTGCATCCCTCTATTGTGCCAGGATCCACTGTTTGTGGTACTTCCCCTGATTATGATCTTGGATCTGTCAGTACCAACAGGACACCCTAAGTGGCTGTGATAAAATTGAAAGTGTTCAAAGTAGTGTCAAACCTCACTTACATGATTGTTTGGGTATTATTTTTCATGAAATATGGATTGATTTAGGATTGCATTGGTATAAATGTGTGAAACCTATTTTTGTTTTCCTGTGCTGTGATATGTCTGGAATATTGCTATAAGCTGTGAAAAACAAACATCACTCACTTTTTTAACAGGGTGCCGTTGTACAAAACAACCTCAGAACTACGACTGTCGTAAGACTATGTTAAGGTATGGGAGTTACGATCACCTTAGCACTAAGATCACATTGTACAACGGCACCAGATCTTTATGATTCCTGACCTACTGTCTGACACAGTTTATTGAGGTGAGGACAGCCCTAGGGAAGTGTTGGTTAGAATAGGTCCCCAGTAACCTACGCTTGTCGTAAGAGGAAATTAAATGAATCAGATGGTTATATGCCATGCCATGGCTGATTGCGTGTCATTGAACCCTGACAGCGTGGGACATTGCTCATAATATCAACCACTGATTTGTCTGTTCAAGACTTTACAATGCTGTAATACTGCTGACTGAGGCGCTACATAGTGTGAAATAACTTACAACCAAATATCAAAGGACTTTAGGAAACCATAAAATAAGTACACATTCCGTAAAATATTTGCCATGCCCTTCTGTTCCAGGACTAAGCATATTGTAGCCCCAGTGAAGGACATCAGAACCAAGTCTGAAACTATGAGTGAGTCGGTGATGGACCAAGTAGCACTCAATGATTTTACAGATTCAGAATCAGGTATGTAGCTAGATTGGCAGGGAATGATACAAGGTCTCTTCAGAATATGTCACTTGTGTAATGTGAAGAAATTCTGGAAATGTTGGTATGTTTAATGAAGTGAACATTATCTTTTCTTAGTTGTAGAAGCTACGTACACTTGTTATACCCAGAGGAGTCATGTGTATATGGTATATTGCCTCTTGAGTTTGTGGAAGAAAAAAGTATGTTCATTGGCCAGAATGATTGAGGATGGCTACCACCAAAGAAGACCAGAGTTCTCACTTCTGTGTTCTTGCATGTCATAAATAAGAGCAGTTTTCAGGATATCAGGGATGAATTGGTCCCTGGTATTAAACATGTGCTTATTAGAGCATTGGAAGTTGTTCATGCAGTCGACTAATGGTTTGTCTGGTCCAGACTTGATAATTTACGGGTCGCTGTGATATAGCTGGAATATTGCAGACTGATGTTACACAACATTCACGCTGTAATATATTCAAGGGATAATTTCTATAAACAACCGAAAGATGAAGTCAAACACTTTGATTTTCCGTGGGGTGGGAGGCTGGGATGTTTTAGAAAAATATATTTTGTCCTGAGGAATTATCCCCCTTATGCTGGATGTCTCTTAAAACAATGTGTTGTGAACAAAAAATTGAATTGTTTGGCTTCTTTCACAGAATTTTGTGTTTGTTTTGAAGCAGTGAATTAAAAAAATATCCTGTATCTAACAATGAACATGTCGTTGTGATGGTTCCATTCAGGATTTGACATTCTTCTGGAAGCAAGAGGCAAGTTATGAGTAACAATAGCTTTTAACTTAGTCAGGCTGATACAGTCACTAATGTGACAACACAATGCTATTTCAACATAGAAGCCACAAGAGCATTTCCATTGGAAGTGTAACCAATTGCGATTGAATTTATAAAGAACTCTGAGGTATATGGTAGACGTCATATTTCACTGCTTGACATGATGCATTGCTTTTTTCATTAATTTGTCCATTGGTGTAAAGATTATTTTTAACTAATATATTGAGCTTAAGTCAGTGACTGGTTGAAGGATATCTAGTATCTAAGGTTCCCAGACTCAGACTGTAGCTACTGTTGCATAGTGGAGTAAAATATCATTTAGTCAGCTCAGCTCAAATTAACCCATATATTAACATTAAGAGCTGTTAAATTTGCTGCCAATAGTCAAGTACAGGCAAGTAGAATAAAAAGCTTCAGGCGCAGACTTGTGCTTAACAGAGTAGTCTCCCTTCTAAACATAAACCAGAAGTGGCAGTCACAATGTTAATGCTTGCAGCTTAGATCATTCCCAGGAATTGATAGCTGTAACAAACAGTTTGTTGCTGAAGTTGGGGGGTGTTTAAGAGAGTGAGACATTGGAAATGTTAATTTTCAGAATCCTGTTGCAATTAAGTGGCCTCAATGCATTATGTTCCTTAGTGTATTGTTTTATGCTGTAGTACATGTATTTGTATTTTGTTCTAGCAGAATAAACGTTTTAAAAAATGAGCACACTGCTAATATCCATTCTGTAACTGTTCATGTGTAATATCATAAATTGGGAGGGCATGAAGCCTCTCACACTCCCCAGCAATCTCTGTAGCAACTATATAAATATGTGGATATCAATGTCTTGGATAGATCTTAGCAGGTTTTCAAAACATATCGCCAAAACAATGGGTCTGTTTGTCTCTGTGTGTCTGTTTGTGACCGACTAAATGACTTCACCTATATGACTTCAGGATTTCACTAAACATGTGGCTGACTTGCAGTGACATACCCAAATTACTGTTGAAAGCAGTCTTAAGCTCCACTCGTTCACTCAGTAATAAGAAAGTATAATTTGATAGGCATTACTTAGAAGTTGATGGATGACAAAGTAGACACAATTTATGGATAACAACAGTAAATAAAGAAGTTGTTATTCATAAATTATGCCTTTTGTTAATAAGAAAGTAAGTTTGAAAATAAGTTAAGTTTGACTTGTCAGACTAAGAAAAAACAATTCTCTGTTGCAATAACACTTTGATGTGGGATTTTGTTCTTTGACATGATGAAATGTTGTCCTGTACCTGTCTCAGATGACGGGGATGCCATGGAACCCATCGTGTACCAGCCCCAGATGAACCTCCAGAGATTCCAGCAGTTCCTGGCTGCAGAGGAGGAGAGGAACCAAACCCTGAGCTCCATCGGTGGCCAGGCGCAGCTCACCCAGAATGCATCAGGACCAATACAGAGCACCAGACTTCAGTCCACACAAGGTTGGGGGAGAAACAGACGGAATGGCAACATTTGGTTGTTTGAGACAAACAAGAAGAGTTACAGAACTGGATAGCTAGACTGAGTTATGTTTGTGCTGTTACCAGTAAAGGTTCAGCCGAGGTAGAATAAGGGCTACAGTTAGGACATAAACCTTGTTTTTCAGTTGAGTGGTTTTGAATGGAGATTCAATACCTGTACATTTTATTAGCAATAGCTTGAGGTTTCAATTTTGAAGAATTGATGGGTATTGAATCTTCATTGAAACCTCTAAATTGAAAACACTAGGTTTACCTCCATTCTATCTTGAGGGACCGTCTCTGTGGTCTAGTGGTAGAGCATCTGCCCAGAGAGCAGAAGGTTGGTGGCTCGATCCCGAGCTGTGTCATACCAAAAGAAGTTAAAAGATGGTACTCGTTGTTATCCTGCCTGGCACTCAGGATCAAGGAGCTATATCAAAGACTGGTCAGCTCTGAGTCAGTATACTGTTGTCTGAGTGGGCTATTCATGTTAAAGTCCAGTCTAGTACAAGCTTCCTATTGATTGATTATCTTGACGCACCGAGGGGGGGGCACGGGTGGCCCAGTTGTCTAAGGCGCTGGGATTTGCTGTGCAGAGTTGCGTCCCTTGGGCACGCCAGAAACCTATGATTGTGGGTTCCAATCCCGGTTCGCCCCGATTATGTTTCTAGGTTTGTCAGCACCATACCCGTGCTCGTGGGTTTCACAGAAGTGGTAAACATCTAAGACCTGGATCACTTCAGGGTTTCCTCCCACATTAAGCTGACACGCTGCAATATAACTGGAATACTGTTAAAAGTGGCGTTAAACCCAACTGACTCACTCACTCACACACCGATGCATCATGTGGGAGTAAAAGCTCTGATTTAATGAGATGGTGATTTATACCGACTATCATAAGGCTAATGTCCTGGGATGTATTCTACACTGACATAAAAGATACATTGATCTTCTATCCAGATGTCACTGGCTGTGAGACCCCCAAGAATGGCCACAATGAGTCTATCGAGATGCTGCGAACACCCCGCTCAGCCATCAACGACACACGGAAGGTGAAGAAGACGAAGAAGAGAGTCTCCCCACAGAAGGAAAACAGGCCACAAACTGCTTCCGCTCTCAACCTTACAGATCTCAGGAAGGTCAGATTATGAAGTTGTTTTCTCGTATGTGCAGGATTTGCACAGGTTTCAAAGGATTTGCACTTTGAGGTCTATTGAAAAGTTTTTGAATTTAGAATCTGCTTTGAAAAGGCCTTAAATTTTCTTCACCAGTCCCCATCTCAACTAAATTACCTAAAAATAAACACAACTTTCATTCTGACAATAAAGGTGAAAATGTCGTAACAAATCTGTTTTAAAGTACATTTGGGTCTTTACTAATGCCTATCTCAACTTAATTACCTAAAAATAAATACAACATTCATTCTGACAATAAAGGTAAACATGTCGTAATAAATCTGTTTGAAAGTACAATTGTGTCTTACTTTTTTCCCTGAAAGTTGTCATTATTGCCTTTAAAAAGACTTCAAAGGCCTAAATTTAGGGGCTCAAGTTTTGTGTGAACCATTGTATTACTGTGCGATGTTTGGTTATTGTGTTTTATTCCACATGCTCAGGAAACTGTTTCTGCTGTATCAAAATTCAAATGCAAGAAAATATGTTGATCTAGGTTTACATGGTTTGGGTCAGGGATGCAGCTTGACCTGGAACATTTACTTGCCTGAATAATGATAACATAGAAGGACATCCCTTAAAAGGCCCTGATTATGTTTCTAGGTTTGTCAGCACCATATCCGTGCTTGTGGGATTCAACAAAGTGGTAAATCTCTAAGACCTGCATCCCTTCGGGCTTGCTTCCCACCTTTAATAAGCTGTGATATAACTCTGCCTAAAAAGCCTGAAATTCTACTTGCCCTTAGGATATCTTTGACATCAGACAAGCTGACTCGAGAGGGTGCCATGTTGCATTCCTTTTAATATTTATTTGGTTTTTGGACAATCCTTCAGAAAAGGCAGATCAAGGTCAATCTCATTAAAATCAGATCTTAGTTCTCGCAATCGCTAAATAAAGATCTGAGGACATCCCATTACAGGTCACTTCAGAACGACCTTTCATCCAACCAATCAAAGCGTCGCTTACCAGATCTTGCAAGTGACAGTCAGAATGTGTTTTCTAATCATGCAACCTCGAAAACGTTAAAACAGGGTATTCCGAACGACAGTTCTGACCCGTACGACTGATTCCGTCAAAATTATCGTCTATCTCTCACTTCCGTGGGATAAACATTTGAACTGAGGAGGCATTGCACATTACGTGGGGAGCACTGCCATACAATCGCAACCATATATTAGACATATGTTAGTTTGCTCAGTTTTCAAAATTTTGATCGAGAACTGTGTCAATGGAAATGGAAGTCACCAGGTTGAAATGAGTGCCGTAAAGCTCGAGAAGGCTGCTTTCTCATTGGCTGATATCGACTATTGTTATTCGTTTCAGTAGTCGGTCAAAGTTTGCGAAGGGACGTTCTGACGTGACCTGTAATGGGATGTCCTCAGATCTTTGTTTAATGGCAGCGAGAACTTAGATCTGATTTAAATGAGATTGGATCAAGGTCAACAGTAAGCCAAATAGATTGACATCAATGTCAGGACAACATAAGTTTTGGTATGTTCAAGGTAGTAACTTGTGTCTAAACTGTGTTGACACTGTTTGTTTGTCTTTGTCAGGTCTTGGGTCATCTAGAGAATGAGATTGAGGAGTACGAGAAACAAACAGGTCGTCGTCCGCCAGCTGAGAAACAGAGATCTGAGACATTCAGTGGCTACACGGTGGCTCTTGTAGATTCTGTGTCAAAGCTTGCCACATATCTGCGGGAGGTGAGATTGTGTGATGAAGGAAAATAGGTGGATCATGATATGCTTACATTGTGAATTGATGCGTATTGCAATACTTGAATCACGATGTGCAACACATAAACAGTTTGCTGGGTTTTTTGTTGTTGTGAAATTCTCCATTTTCCATGTGGCCCAGCTGACAAGAAGTTGTTGCTATCAGTCTGTTTGTGTTTAACCTTCATGACTGGATTTAGGTTTGTTTGATAGATTTATGCAGTAAGATTTAACATTTTGTTTCATGATGCTGTCATATTACACATGAGTAATTATGAGGCTGAGTGATTGCAAAACTTTGTAAATACATGTAATACTTTTGAGAATTGATACAAGATAAGACATTAATGGATACATGGGTAGGCATATCGTAAATCACATCAGTGACAACATGTCATTAGAAACAAAAACTTATTTCCACAAGTCTAAAGAGGTTTGACTATACCTGTTACTGCATTATGGCTAAAGCTGACCATCTGTATTGTGTGTCTTCTGCCGCAGACTGACCTGCGCATCCAGGCCGAGGTGACGGTCAGGGAACAGCTGACCCAAGATGTCTTCCAGCTGCGACACATCGTGGACACCCTCACCTCTGTGAGTCATACCAGTAGCAACATATATATGTCATATCCAAACCCTCCGTGGTCTAGTAGTAGAGCGTCCGCCCGTAGAGAGGAAGGTTCGGGGTTCGATACCCGGCCGCGTCATACCAAAAGACGTTAAAAGATGGTACTTGTTGTTACCCTGTTACCCTACATCGAGCAGGAGACCATTGTTTGCATAGAGTGGCCAGCCCAGTCACCAGGCATCAACAAGCTGCAGATCACCATCTCACAATGCCTTATCCTTCTGGCAACTCTTCAGGAACTGGCCAATGCATTTACTGAAGAGTGGAACGACCTTCCCTTGGCAACAGTGTTCGAAATAAGTGCCTGGCTGTATGCCCGGAGCAGGTAGATCTTGTGTCGGGCCCGTAGTTTCAGATTTGTATGGGTTCTCAAGGCCTTCTGTAAATTTATGTGTTGATTTATTTGTCACACAATAAGCTGCATTTTGTTGCCATGATGTCCTAAAGAGTTTAGTCAGGGCCTGCAGCCTCGAAAGTTTATGGGTCCTGATGGTAGCCTCGCAATCGTTTTATTTCAAACGCTGCTTGGCAACCATCCAGACACTTATTGGGAACATGAGATAATAGTGCCAGGCTGTGATCGCAGCACATGGATCATATACATGCTGCTGAGTGTTGTTTTTTGGACAATGAATTCGTGTTCATGATTTTTTATGTTTCATTCTTTGGCAGATACTCTCATTTTGAGGGGTGATCTGACTGATTATTTGTCACATGTTTGTTGGCATTGTGTGGCACATGACAACAAACTTTTGTTCTTCTGACATGTCTTCACGCTATATTGTCTTGGCAATTGCAACAGATGCACACAATTTGACGTATTACCTTTTAAAGTGATGATCCTTAACACACTTTGAGTCATATATAACAGAAATACTGGTCAAAGAGGTGTTTAACCAAACTTGCTGAGTCAATTATCATGTTAACCACCCAAAAGAACATATTTTGTATTTTAATGATAATCTGTTTTTGTTTAGGATATTATCGTAACTCAAGAGGATTATGGGAAGATGTTGACATCATTTGAGCGGTATCGGTCTGAGAGTAAGGAAGAGATAAACAGGCTGAAGGTATTTATGTCGCTGTGTAGATCTAAGGCACTACAATGAGCTGTTGCATCCCTCGGGAGTTGGAACTGCTGGTTCAGGGTTCAAATACAATATTCAAACTGATTCTGTCTGTGCCAAATACTATAAAGTCTACCACTCCAAACTTGTATCTTTGCATTGTTTTCAGTAGATTTTAGTCTTTATCATATGGACAAGTATCAGCTGGTTTTATCAGCTATTTTACCTGATTTGGGCTGCTGACTAGTGGCTATAGTCACAGACTGCTGATCATGACTGAAATTAATGTTGGAAGCAGCATCAAACCCAACTCTCTCTTCTAATGCAACTGAACACTAGTGGTGTCAAGATGTTTGGGGAATTTACACCTGGATGGAAAGTAAATGGTGGTATTTTGGGCTTTAGATGCTTTGAAGAAATGGGTGTGAACAGGGCTGCTTCTGTTTTTGCAAATACTTGCAAACACTTCTTGTTCTATTTTGTGTTTGAGGGTTTCTGTGACAAGATATGTTTGGAACCATGCATATAGGTAACCTTCCAATTGTCAGATGGCCCAACTGACTGTTCTGTTTATGTATGGAGAAGTTAATTTTTTCAATGCATTCTTATTCTCTCTAGCATTTAATTCACTTGAAAAGAATGCAAAATTAAGTTAAAGGTCAAACGATTTTATTAACATACACTGAGTCCTATTTCCAAACGATTTTATTAACATACACTGAGTCCTATATCCTATATCATTGACAAACTACTCCAAAGACTTTTTGAAAGAACACAAGCGGCCTGGCACAGGTCAAACACAATCATAATCTGGTTCATCTGTATCACCTGACGAGTTGGAGTATCTCACTCTGACAGTGGAACATGCTCATATATTATGTAGGTAAGACAAGGTAGTGATACTAGTCACACTTCACTGACCTGTCTCATGATTGGCATATCTGACAATTGGGGCGTCTGACAATTATGAGTGAACCTGCATATATGTTTGGGTTTCCATGTCATTTTGAAAGAGGCAAGTGTACATATTATTACTACTCCAGCTTGCACTGCAAGAGACAGTGAGACTTCAGTCATCTCCACCAGAAGGATCCTCAGCTTTCCACACACAAGATGGTGGCAGGTCACACACACAAGATGGTGGCAGGTCACACACACAAGATGGTGGCAGGTCACACACACAAGATGGTGGCAGGTCACACACACAAGATGGTGGCATTTCATACAGACATGAACATGGCATGTCACACACACAGCACAGTCAAGGTGAGAAGCATAAGTTGGATATCATTATAGTGACACTGTGATTTCAATATTTCAAAAAAGATGAATGGGACAAAATTAACAAAGGTCTGATTTTGTACTTGGAAAAATATCAATAAAAGTCAAACGATTTTTTAACATACACTGAGTCCTATGTTCTATATCATTGACAAACTACTCCAAAGATCTTTTGAAAGAACACAAGCAGCCAGGCACAGGTCAAACACAATCATAATCCACTTCATCTGTATCACCTGACGAGTTGGAGTATCTCACTCTGACAGTGGAACATGCTCATATATTATGTAGGTAAGACAAGGTAGTCTGATTTTGTACTTGGAAAAATATCACTCAGTGCCTAAATGTTTGTGTACTTCAGAAGCATTTGTCAAACCTGCCAGCACCATAGACATTGACACAAGTTACCCAGGTCTGCCTGAGCGTGTTCCATCACACGCTGTTGTCCTGTCACCACCCATCAGGAAGACAAGAGTCACTGATGGACCAGAGCCACAACCAGCTCCACCAAGTGAGTGACAATAACGGTCACTTTTCAGTTATGCTATTCATCACATAATAGGTCGGTTTCTCAGTCAGATAAAGCCAATGGATAAAAACGGTATCCATTGGGGTCTGATATGGAGAAGTAGACATATAAAGATGTCAGTTAGGGATTACTTTCAGTGTTTACAAACAAACATGGTGCTGCCTTTGTCTATCTATGATCAGGTCAGAATTAACCATTGGGTATATGGACAAATTACTGGGATAATTGGTGTTATTATTAAGATACCAAAAGACATTGTCTAACAGGGATGTAGCTGAGGCCTTTCACAAGTGTAGGCAACATTGAAGATATAAATTGCAAAGACATGTACAATGATGGTCAGGAACCTCCCACCCATGTGCTTGCAGACCACTGCGGCTTGGAGTCTTTTCCCAAACAGTTGGATTTGGATGAAAAATGCACAGCAATCACTGACAAAGATGAAAATATTTGTGTAGGCAGTTGTCTTTTTGCCTATGTGGTAGTTATTTACAAGTTAAGGCGCTATCTAAAAGTTTCAGTTGGAACTATCTTGACAATTGCCACTATCTGGCTTACTAATAACTGACATTGTGACATAATGTGTTAATGCGCATATTCTAGGAAAACTTGCGATGTTTAGATACTGTGAGAGATGACATTATGTGATAAAGAGGTTATCATACTTGTGTGTTTTGGGATAGTAAATATCCTGTATTAGGAATAAACCCTATGTATTTAGCTTGCCAAGGATGACTGGTGTTTATTCCGAATACAGGATATTTACCATCCTTAAACTCGTATGATAACCTCTATACATGTATGACTGTGGTACCTAAGTATGCAGACGCGGGGGAAAAATCTCCTCTTTTATGGGGCATTCCCTCTCCCTTGCCATGTATCATCAACCTTTTATCTCTATTTTCGCCTTCCCCTGCATATGGTACTTCTCTATTTCTCTTATTCCCCTGGTTCTCCATTCTCATATTTCCCTGCTTCTTCTCCATTTCTCATATTTCCCTACACTTTCTCCATTTCTCATATTCCCCTGCTTCTTTTCCGTTTCTCATCTTCCCTGCTTCATTTCCATTTCTCATATTTCCCTGCTTCTTTTCAATTTCTGACCTTTCCCTGCAAGTTCTCCATTTCTCATATTTCCCTGCTTCTTCTCCGTTTCTCATCTTCCCTGCTTCATTTCCATTTCTCATATTTCCCTGCTTCTTTTCAATTTCTGACCTTTCCCTGCTTCTCCATTTCTCATATTTCCCTGCTTCTCTGTTCCTCATCTTCCCTGCTTCATTTCCATTTCCCATATTTCCCTGCTTTTTTTCAATTTCTGACCTTTCCTGCTTCTTCTCCATTTCTCATATGTCCCTGCTTCTTCTCCGTTTCTCATATTTTCCTGATTCTTTTCCATTTCTGACCTTTCCCTGCTTCTTCTCCATTTCTCATATTTCCCTGCTTTTTTTCAATTTCTGACCTTTCCTGCTTCTTCTCCATTTCTCATATTTCCCTGCTTCTTCTCCTTTCCTCATCTTCCCTGCAACTTTTCCATTTCTCATATTCCCCTGCTTCTTCTCCATTTCCCATATTTTCCTGCTTCTTCTCCATTTCTCATCTTCCCCTGGTTCTCCTCTTCCCTTGGTTCTTTTCCATTTATCGTCTTCCCTTGTTTTTTCTCCATTTATCTTCTTCCTTTGTTTCCTCTGCATTTTCCATCCCCTTTGTATCTTCACACTCTTCCCCATTGCATTATCCTCTTCTGATCATTCTTCTGCATTACCCAGTTACTTTGTGTTTCTCTGTCTGATGTACTCTCAGCTCTTTAGTCTTTCATGAATTTTCTTTTTTACTCTTTTTCCTCCCTTTGTTCTGCTGTCACTTTTCTGTATGTTGTCATTGTCATGGTAACGGTATAGCTGAAATATTGCGTAACTCTTATTGTAATGATTCAAATGGCTATAGCAATACCTGACTTCTTCCAGAGCGACAAACCTCCCTAATTGACATCTCCACCTTGAGTGAGCCTGTTGCCTCACGTCACCTGCCTCCTCACACGGCCCGATCAGGTCAGCCACCACCCCAGGTGGCCACGGTCAGTGTCCCCCGTCCAGCCCCCCTCGTACAGTCCAACCTTCCTGGGGGGAGCCTCTCCACATCTGGACACTATCACCCCACCCAGTCTGTGTCCATGCAAGTGACTGAGACCTCAGGACCGATGTCAGCACAAATTGCTGAGCTGAACAGACAGCACGAAGAAGCACAGAAAAGGCTTCAGATCCTGTTTCAGCAGCAGGAGAGACAACACATGCAGATGGTGATGCAGCAACAGCAGAAGTTTGATCATCAGCAACAGGGGATGCAGCAGCTGAGCTCAGATCCACAGCCTGTTGGAGTGTCAAGTTCCATGAGACCCGGCCTAGAGCAAGGTGTACATGGTCTTGATAACATCTCACATGCTGGAGTAAACGAGATGGCACAGTTTGACACACCGCCTAAACCACAAGCCCAGGTAATGTTATAAAAGATGATTATGATTAAATGGTCACCATCAAATGATCCATGGAGACTGTATGAGTGGCACTATTCAAGAGATTACAGATGAGACTTTGCATAGAGAAGGCACATGTTGCACAATCCATGGAGGGAGTTGAGCGGGTTGTATTCTTGTTGGGGGCACTGGTGTTTCTATTCTTGGAGGTGGAACAGGTAGGACTATTCATAGAGGTGGAACAGGTAGGACTATTCATGGAGGGGCACAGGTAGCACTATTCTTGGAGGTGGAACAGGTAGGACTATTCATGGAGGGGGCACAGGTAGCACTTTTCATAGAGGTGGAACAGGTAGGACAATTCGTGGAGGGGCACAGGTAGCACTATTCTTGGAGGGTGAACAGGTAGGACTATTCATGGAGGGGGCACAGGTAGCACTTTTCATAGAGGTGGAACAGGTAGGACTATTCATGGAGGGGCACAGGTAGCACTATTCTTGGAGGTGGAACAGGTAGGACTATTCATGAAGGGGGCACAGGTAGCACTTTTCATAGAGGTGGAACAGGTAGGACTATTCATGGAGGGGCCACAGGTAGCACTATTTAAGGAGCGAGCACAGGTAGCACTATTCATGGAGGAGGCACAGGTAGCACTATTCATGGAGGGGGCACAAGCAGCGCTATTCATGGTGTGGGCACAGGTGCATTTCATCAAGTTAAGAAAGAAGGGACCACACACAGCTGTTTTTCTTGTCTGTTGGTACTTGGCAACCATCAAATGATGGAATGTGTGTGCAGCAGTGAGGAAGATGGGAATAATAATACAATATTGAGTTTACTCTGAACATGTATGTAATTTTCTGAGATCAGAAACACAATATTTAATTCCAATATTTCCCGTTTCCAGTCTCGTATCCAGGGGCCAATCTCCCCACCAATCTCCCCCATCTCCTACCGATCTGATAACTTCACAGTGTTACAACACCTGCAGGACAGACAGAGGCAGGTCAGTGTTTGTGGTGTTCTCAGTCAGGGGTTGTAACTCAATTTAATCATTTTATTTCTTAGACTGATGCCAATACACATTCAGGGGCAGCGTCACAAATACCCCATACTTGTAAACATCAAGACTTCAATTTCCATTTTACTTGCGAAAAAACATTATCAATGACTTCACATAATTAACATTGTTTATATAATGTTAAAAAGATTTATATCTATTGCCAAGAATACTTATTCCAACCAAAGACGTATATAGATATATATATTGTATATACGTCCGTGTTCCAACCGTACCCTTATGCTCTTAGCTGTGCCATTTGCACGACTGTAATACAAGGAATTTTTCAACCCTGCATGCAGGTTAACATTATAGGATGTGTACTTGAGGTTTGCTGCTTTAGCATGTGAATCTAGTGACCTCCTAAACATTTACCTTTCAACATTAAGATAACAACACAGACACTTTGACTTTCATGCTTATTTTCAAATGCTGCTATTCCTGTTTTCTTGTACATGTGAGTATCTGTTTTACATTCTCTGCTTCAGTATGGTGGAGGTACTGGTCGGGAGATAACCGTGTCCCTCCCGGTGATGGACCTTGAGATATCAGGAGGAAGTCCATCTTCGCCTAGAGCTTTCTTACCAGGCCATTGACAGGACAGATGACCTCACATACTAGCCCCCCTTGACCGACAGAAGTGGCTCACAAGCAACACCCTCCTAACACATCAACTGGACATAGAAAAGTGATAATTGAAATACATTGTTTGTTTTTTCCCTCTGTTATATCACAATTAGGGGACAATGGGAGGCCATGTTTTCCAAGGTGCTGATATTCTCTGTGCAGAGTTGTGCCCCTTAGAAATGAATTATTGTGGGTCGATATCTCAGTTTCACCCTGATTGTTTCTAGGTTTGTCAGCACCACACCTGTGCTCGTGGGTTTCTCCAATGTGGTATACATCTGAGACCTGCATCACTTAAAGCTTTCCTCCAAAATTAAACTGATATGCCATTATGTAGCTGGCATACTGTTCAAAGCGGCATTATACTAGATCCACTCAGTCCCTCCCTCACACATGAACGTGTAAGGTTAAGTCTTAACATTGTTAATCTATAGCCTGGTCATGTATAGGGTAGAAGCATCTTGTTCACAAGCAGTGCCATATCAAACATATGGGTGCACACATGTAGGATTTTTAATCTCGGACTTCTTCAAAAGAAAGAAATATTTTACTCTATTTCAAATGTTCCACGTTGTACATGTAGTAAGGGGAAAAGTTCCTTTTAGCAGGTCCAATTTTAGTGTTATGTCTAAAGTAAAGTTCTGATAATCATATCACCAATATCACTTTGTTAATGGGCACTTTTTGGCCTGGACTGGCCACAATAGTTGTAACAACTCTGCAGTTAATGTTTGCCGTCACAATGCTGGGATGTAGTTTGTAAAGGATGTAAGAATCAAATCATGGCCATTGCTGCGACATAAGACTGTTTGTGGACATGAAATTGAAACTCCTGCTATATCAAGCTATGTGTCTAATCATATTAATTCAATAATGATTCCAAATAATTTATTAAGATTCTTCACATGTTCCCTTGAACTGCCAGCATCAATCCTGCTGAAAATGGTTGATGTATTGTTGCAGCATCTCAACAACGCAGAATCTCACTCTTTATCAACTTGCCAGTGTCAAAGACAGCAGAGGGGTGGTGGGGTAGTTTAGTGGTCAAATTCGTCTCCCATCATGCCAATGTTATGGTTTCTATTCCCCACATGGGTACAGTGTGTGATTCCAGTATCTGGTGTTCCCTGCTGTTATATTGCTGGAATATTGCAAAAAGAGACATAAAATTTAACTCGCTCATGACAACTGAGTGCTGGATGTAGGGTTAGTGGTGCTCTTCCCCGCACAGTTATGGACCGTGATTCCAGTGGCTGTCAAAGTGGCCATACAAGTATTAGTACCTTTGGATGTTGGGGACCTGTATCTGTGTACATTTTGTGTCATATTTATTACAAAAACATGTTTAAAATTTTGTACATTTAGTAATACTTTACTGCTGAGCAACTGGTTTTTTTAATATTTGGCGTGTCTGGATTCATATTATTTAATATGTTGACATTTGGTAATACCAGTTGTTGTGATGTGATACTCATTGTCTCACAATGACTGATGTGATATACTGACCATCCAGCCTGATACAACTTGAGTCAGGGTTTAGACAATATGCAGAAAGTTTTCTGAAAGGACACCATTCCTCATCAATTATCCAGTGTAGCATATTTCCATTTTAAAACACTGTTTGGTCAGGTTTAATGATGTGGGAAGTATAAACAATGCTATTGGGAGTCTTACTGACCTCACATCGTTGACCATTCTGGGATTAATATTTGTCAGATTGTTATTATACATCTGTTTGCTTATGTCCAATTCTGTAAATATGAATAATAAATGACACTATTAACCTTTGTCATGAAAACATATTATTTATTTGATTTTAGAATCTTGTCTTTGTTCTGATGTAAATTGTCTTAATTTGACGGCTAGGAGTTCAAACATACAAATAACACCTGCTTGGAATACCAACTAAGTATTTTGTTGTCACTGGTAAGCATATTGTACACAGAGCACTTATGCACAGTGAATGCTGTGCTATACAAATGCATTTATTATTATTATTGTATACAAGCATTCAATATTCACTTTGAAAAAGACTTCCACCATATCTATTAAACATTACACTTTTAGCAATTTGTCACTACAACTAACTTATTTGAGACTCGACACGTGCAGATCTGAGTTACAATTGGTCTTCAGCAACCCATGCTTGTTATGAGAGGCAACTAACGAGGTCGGTGGTGAGGCTCACTGACATGGTTGATGCATGTCATCACATCCCAATTGCATAGATCAGTGCTCATAATTTCAATCAATTTCCATTGTCTGGTTCAAACTTGATTATTTACAGACTGCCCTCATATAGCTGGACTATTGCTGTGTGTGGTGTTACACAGCAACAAAACAAACATCATTTAAGACTCTCAATTTCTATGTATACTGATCCCAGACTAAAAGGGGACTGCATGGTTACAGTGTGTGACCTGGCTGAGAAACCTTATCTTGTTTGTCGGGTGTGGAGATACTGGGTTAGAATAGGTCCCAAGCAACCTATACAATACAGATCACTGGATTGTCTGGTCTAGACTAAATTATTGTTGAGAATGATGATAAACAACAGAGAAACAAACCTAGTTTGTATAATTTCTTAGGGAGGGGGAGGGGTGGCACAGGTGGCCCAGTCTTCTAAGGCGGCACAATTCACTGTGCTGAGTTGCATCCCTTGGGCACACCAGAAACCTCTTGTTGTAGGTCCAAATCCTGGTTCTAGGTTTGTCAGCCCCATACCTGTGTTTGTTGGTTTCACCAAAGTGGTAAACGTCTGAGAACTGCATCACTTCTGGCTTTCCTCCCACATTAACCTGACATGCCATGATATGACTGGAAATACTGTTCAAAGCTTTGTTAAAACTAACTCACTCACATGTGTAGCTTCTCACAGAGAACTTATTGATAATTTTCTTATCACTTTCATTTGTCAAAGATCTAAGAAAAGACATTACGACAGAGTTTATTTGCTCATCTTCAACAAAATGACTCATTTGATAAGTATCTAAACCCATACAGAGCTGACCACAAGAGAGCCCTGTTTGGTATTATGGATGACCTACAATACTCCACAGACAATGGACATGTTTTGACTGGTGATAATAATCAATGATTTCATTTTGTTTCAGTCTTTTCATCTTGTGGTGTTCCTTAGGGATCAGTTCACTGTCCGATGTTTTTCACCCTATGTACCAAAACCCTATCCTGCTTTTAGGGATCGTAATTGGCCACTAAATTGGGTCAGATGGTGAGGCTGTGATTTGGCTGGTAATTTATTATGGTATCCGACAGCATGGAATGTTGCTCTTTCTTCAGCATGTTCAGTCGCTAGTCTGTCTGGTCCGAATATTTATACAGGCATCCATGTTATGCCTGGAATGTTGCTGACAGGTGGAAACAATCTTGGATTCAATCTATACACCAGGTGCATTTCTACAAATGGAGGACTGCATCAGAAATATCAAATCATGTATGACCTTTATCAGGCTTTAACATGTTGTTGACAATATGTGCAATGCTTGATGGTACCATGAAACAAACAGGAGCTATTGACACAATTCTAATGTTCTGATTCACGATACCGATCCATACATCTGCAAAATTCTAGGTATGGGTATATACTCTGATCTGAAAATAGAGAGTCAGACAAACAACAGCTGCACAAAACATGCAATGCAGAAGTTACATTTAAAATTGGGTTTAGTGAAATCTATTTGTTTTTAAATGAAGTATCTCAGAAAACATAGGGTCAATTTTCAGCCCATTCTAACACCTGTACCGCCTCTGGTCAAGTTAATGGAGCATCTGCCCAGAGAGCGGAAGGTTGATGGTTCATACCAAAAGACAGCAAAATATGGTACTTGTTACTCTGCCTGGTGCTCAGTATTGGGGGGATAAAACAAGAACTGGTCAGCACTGTGCAGTGGTTTGTCATTGGGTTAGCACCATAAAACCAGTAGTAGTCTGGACTAGTGTTACAGCTGATAATGCCGAGAAAAATAACACTTGCTGTTGGGTGTGAATCCGTTTATTTACGAGACATAGAAGAATATTAATACCCTGTGAACATATACCGGTATTATAATTATGAAATATATGAACATCACAGTAGAGCTCATATCACAGTGGTATCACAGATTCAATGGAAGAGAAAATAAGGGAGATAACTGAGACAGACGTGTCACATTTACTATTAAATAAATACATTTATGACAATTTTCCCTTTCAGTTATTTCACTTACAAGATTTTACTTGGTATATAGTAGTGATTCATAAACAGTACATATATTCTCCACACGAGAATGTAATGTACATCTTAATATTTCCCATTCAAAATTAGCTCACCCATCTAGAAGACAAAGCAAATGTGTCGTCTCTGTAGGACGGCAAACTGATAGTTACTCCAAAATGAGTACAGACATTCAACACAAGTTTATGACAAGACCACATTACCAATAACACATTACTCCTCACATTCTCAGAACCTGTTATCACAGTGATACAACCTACACGCTTGATACAGGCAATGAATGTAATATTTATTAAAGTACCTGAAACATTAGCTTAATGAACTTTGCGACCTGAACCAGTTTAGCAAAACATAGCGACACATTTACGTCTATAAAATCCTTAAATCAAAATAAGTTATACGTTTTAGTCGAGAACTTTAGTTCATATATACATGTAATACTAACCATTCTAGGACCTAACATTAAACCTATTTACAAAAAATATATAAACTAACCAGGTGACCACTCTCTTGCATTCAACCTAAAATGTTGAGCTCACAAACTGCAGTGGACACTTCACCTCAACTCACCTTATCTGAAGTATAGCTGTTGAATCAAGAACAGGCAGAGTGGACATGTTGACAGCTTAACAGGTGTGCCTTTGTGATACATGTACCGTGTCTCTTCACTATCTGAGCAATGATTCAACAATCAGTAGGCTGTTGTCTGTTCAAAGAAACTAAGGCAAAAGTTGGGTGCATCTAATTACTGGACATATCAAACAGAAGCCAATCAGTGTATGCTTAACAAAGGTAAATGGCAAGTTAACCCATGCTAATTGGTGTTGGCAGTTCATCAATACAGAGGAAGTAGAATTGGGGGCGTATCATGATAAAAAGAATATTTTATAATCAAATATAAACAGCTTTTGCATTTTGTCTTTTGAGAGAAAGGTCACCAAAAATATAAGTTTCTAGGGGAGTGTTCTAAAAAAATAATACACATTGTTGGGGGGTCACAATAAAAGAATATTTTATTATATTTTTTTTATTTTGTCTTTTCAGGGAGGGTCATGAAGATAATGTACAAGGACACGGGGCAGGTCATCCAGAAATATAAGCATTAGGGGAGGATATTATTTTCAGTATATTAGTTCCTTCCCCGAGTGCAACATAAATCATATTTTGGCTATCATAACATTATAAAATCTTTAGATTTTCAACATAAATCCTTTTCACTGACTTCTGTTTACTATCCATAGTAAACTAAGCCAAGATCTAGTTGAGATGCCACTTTTCCCATATTTGAAAATAACAATTTAAAGTTTCACAATTACTGAAGCCACTCATCCCATTAACAGACGAATTCGCGTTGACAGTTACCACAAAATGGATTGAATATTCTTATCTCGGTCGACTTTGCCTGGAATCTACTTGATGGATGAAAATAAGAGTGCGTGAAATCAGATCACCAGTGCAACCCCACTCTCCTAGCCAGAGTTCCGTGCGACCATCTTTCACAGCCCATTCAAGATATTGCATATGCTTTTCATCCGTTTCATGTTTGACAAGTCTACACATTTTCATAAACAAATGTCAAAGAACGATTACTACATGTTCATTAAGAAAGTACCCTAATGCGTTAAAATCTACTTAATTGTGCGTAGTTATCCTTTGTTTACATTTGTTGTACGGCTCCACGTGCTGCCACCGAAGCCCAACGGAGAGATCGCGATACGGTCACTTTGGTGTATAAATATATATTGTCATGCAACTCACTGTCGCAGTTGTAGTAGCATATCTATATAATTACGCAAAACAATATGTAAAGCGCCCCCAAATACTTGCATTAGCCGTTCTATACTGATTTCTGAAAAAGACCGTTTGTTTACAAACAAGAGAAAAAGTTCGGTCACGTGATATGCAAATTAGCCTGTGGCAGTGGTGTTATGCTGAGTCACCACTGCGCCGGAGTGTGGTGCAACCCCCGTTGTTGCTACCCAGAGTTCCATGCGGCCAACCTTGTGTAACTACGTCACCACTGCACCGGAGTGCGACCCTCAGCGTCTTTTCATTGGAGCGAGTCAGCATTACCAGTTACAAGCTTTTCCTGGGGGAATTATTTTGTTGAAAATATTTCAGTGAATATCTAGATACATGTCACCTTCAACTTTGTGTATGAAGGAAGCCATATACCTGCTCTCACCCTAGTATATTAATCCAAAAAGAACGGACATGGCTTTGTGCGATCAGAAACAACTACATCCTCGAGCCCGCAAAATGGTCCACGACGCTGCCCATTTTTGCGCGCGGGGTTCAGGTTAACAAGTAACGGGGTCTCAAAGGTCCAAACAAATATATGTTGGGTTTTTGTCTAGCATAATTTAATCCTTCATTGTACAGCCATTGGCACGTGTACGTGTGTGGAAATAATTAACTGCATGGTTATCGATTCGTCTCAAAGTCACCAGGGTCATAGGTTTGAAGCGACCGAGAATAAAAATGATTTTAAGGCCCATTATGAGACTGCCAACTCCCTTTTGGTACGCAGGGCTCGGGGCTCTATTTATAGGGTGTAAAGACTCTGAGCAGTGTGGTAGATGTCCGCGGGGCGCAAATAGATTTGCATCTGGTAGTATAGGCAGATTCAACATTTAAAACACAATGTTGTGTAGTTAAATGTGTCCCTAGT